TAAAGAGCTTAATCTTTAGTAACTTAAATATATAAATAAAATATTTAGTCACTAGCTAATTAAAGTACTTCTATATATTCTAATTATTATTACTTTCTCATTATAAAGAGCTTAATTAAGGTCTAGTGATAGTGACGGCGGTAGTAGCTATTAATAGTAGAGATTAATAAATATATATAGAAAATTATGCTAAGTAACTTATTAATAGGATTCCTTTAATATTAAGTATAAATAAATATATATAGTTTAGTAAATAAATAAGTAAAGATTAATGCATAGTATTATAATGTTTCTTATTCCTATTTTATTCTAAGAGAAAGGTCACTATAATCATATTTAATACTTAGTTAGCTATTATATTAAAAGCCTTCTTTATAATTATATTACTTTAACACTAAACTAATAATATAAATAAAGAAAAATACTATTCTTTATAATTAATATATAGATAAGAGTAATTCTTATAATTCTTTAACTTATAATAATGTCTCTTTAAGATATTAAGAAAGCTTACTTTAGTGGTAACCTCTTTTTATACCTAAAGTTATTTTTCTTCTCACTATTATTATATTATAAAGATTACCTTACTCTTTAACCTTTTATTCCTAGTCTTTTCCTTATAATAGTAATATATTTAGGTTAAGTTAAGATAATAGCTTAAGAAAATATTATTATAAGATAATAATAATATTAAAATGTTCTCACTAAATAAGCTATATTAACTAGTTAGTTAATGTTATTTTAGCTTCTTAATAATTAAGTATACTAGTACTAAATACGCACTAAGTTTAGTTCTACTCTTATGGCTATCTTTTTAAGTATAATAAAGCTTTCACCACTTTTAATAAGCCTTCTTAAAGTGTTTCTAAGTCTTTATAGTTAAGAAATAAAGCTTTTTATTATCTTATTTAATTATAAACTTATTCCTAAAGATAGAGAAACATAATTTATAAGTCTTTTAATTATAGTTATTATATTAATACTTAAGTTAACCTTTATACTTAAGAAGTGTATTAATAATATTAAAACTCTAATATAATATTTCTATACTAAGGATCTTAACTTTCTTAATAAAGATTTCTATAGTGATATTATAAAAAAGTTTATTAATCTTAAATATTAATTTAATAGAGTTCATATTAATTAGGCTTAAGTTATTCTCTATAATATATAGTAAAGTATTTAATTAATAACTAAGTTACACTAATAAAGAGACTTATATTAATATCTCTCTTTTCTCTTTATTATCTTCTTTAGTATTACTAGATATAGATAAGACTTTATTATCCTTATTAAGAAGATTTAACGCTTTCTATACTTATAACATAATATTCTCCTTAATACTTAGTCTTAGCGGTAACTTTAGTAACTCTAATAACTCTAGTAGGTTAGAACTAGCTATTTAAGAGAGATAAGAACTTAGAGACATAGTGTAACACTTTAAACTTACTCTATTAGCCCTTATTATAAGACTATTACTGTTACTTTTACACTTTATATAAGCATTATAAGTAATAAGGGTCTCACGAAGTAATTAAGAGGCTAATAACTCCTAAAGTTAATAGGATAGAGTTATTATGCGCCTTGTACGATTCGACATCATATTTATATGTAGTTATGATATATTGCAGTAAATTATAGTGCTATCTAGGGCTATTGCGGCTGCAGGATGAGTTTGTTAATATAGGTCATATGGCGGTGTGCAGATTTCATACAACTTGCAAAAAAATAAGGTTTTTACGGAATTTTGCAAAGCATAAATAATAAGTTATCAGGTAATTAATCAAGAGATCACATGATCAAAATCGGGTTTACTTCTAGTGTCGCGTTATCGGCCTCTCGCGAACTAGTCACTAGCTGCATAAAGTGAGCCTCAGAACCCGCAATAGGACTAACTCCAGTAGGCAATTTTGATATACAACCCACCAAACGAGGCACTTCTACAACACCTGAAATCATCCTCCTTGACATCACTGCTCCAACGATAAAACATCTCACCGATGAAATGGCTCTATCCTTTCCCTTTCTAATTAGTCAGGAAGCTCCTCATGTTACCCAGAAAGCGAAAATATGCCTCTTGGGTGGAGAGCGAAGCTGATAAATCTAAACATGTTGTCTCTCCTTCAAGTCGTCTATAAAAAGAGGCACATCTCCTCCACGACGGTTGCACTTGTCCATCATTCAAGAGCGTTCCTTCACTTCTTGCAAGACATCTCAATTGATTCTCGATCACCGCGCCGACCTGCAAAGCCAACTTCAAGATGGGCTCCTGCAACAATGCCACTACCTTCGTCCTCATCACCGGTGCTAATCAGGGCCTCGGTCTTGAGTGTGTGAAGAAACTAGCCGCCGAACAACTAGATTTTCACATCCTTCTAGGATCACGAAGTCTGGAAAAGGGTAGACAAGCAGCCAGCACCGTTACAACCCGGGCCCAGGGCACCACGGTCGAACCTGTCGCACTCGACGTCAACAATGAAGACTCGATAAGTCAAGCCGTCAAGTACATTGACGGAAAATATGGTCGTCTCGATGTTCTACTCAACAATGCCGGAGTCATGACGCTCCCGGGCCTCTCTTTCCGTGAAGAGATGAAGCAGGTCATCGAGACCAACGCGATCAGCGCGGCATGTGTCACCGAAGCTTTCCTCCCACTGATGAAAAGGGCCCAGGCGCTGCCGCCCCGGCTCCTCTTCATGTCCTCGGACTTTGGATCCATCGCCTACTGCCTGGATCCCTCGCGACCTTTCTACGGCTACGACGCGAAGCCGTACTTCACCTCCAAAGCGGCAATGAACATGGTCGGGGCTCAGTACGCCGTACAACTCGGCAGGGAGGGGTTCAAGGTCAACATGGTGGACCCGGGCTTTCGGTCGACCAACCTCAACGGCTTTCACGAACTCGGAGGTGTGCCCGCTGCGGGCGTCCTCGAAGCGTGCCGATTGATGATCGACACCGACAAGAATGGCCAACACGGTACCTTCACATCGAATGAGAAGCAGCATCCATGGTAGTGATGATGAGCACCTTCATGGGTGAATTCTGTAGACCTTTGTGGGAGTTTCAGATTCTAGATTCGAATACTCATCTAAATCCATCCAATCGGTTGTCCTCTACGGTATGGCGGGTTATAGTGCCATCGTAGCCGTGTGTGCCTGGAGTCTACTCGGTCGATGGACGTGACTACAAGAATGAATTGCTCATGTGGAAGTAGGTAAATGACAAGAGCCACCGAGTTACCGAAAGGGCCCATCCAAAGATGAACGAAAAGAAAGGAACTATACTAGTCCATGAAGGGAATGTAACCGAATTCATCGCCGAGTAGCCGTGGGAACAAAAGATCCATTTACCGTTTGCCCCCGCATTCAGACAGCCTCGCACTTAACATCTTAACAACCTGTTGGCTGTCGTATTATTCCTCGACGCCCGGCTGCTTCATTATTCTCAACTCATCTGACCCTCTCAAGATGTTATCTCATGATGGTCCGTTGAATCCTCGGCAATAGGCCAAAAAGGAGTAGTATGGAGTACTCCTACCTCTTTTCGATCCTATAGCGAGAACCATGGCCCATCTTAGTGGCTATATCAAGTTTCAGCCTCGGCTCTCCAAAGATTTGCGGAGAATATTGCCTAACTAAACTGGCTCTCCATACTCCATCATTATCGTTCGTGGACTTATCTGGTTCGACAAAAGATTGCTAGACTGTGTCACTTCTCGTGTTGGAAGACACATCGTGGGAAGAGAGTGCGTGTGTGCACCGGAGTCCTTGCCGGTAGTTCAATTGTATATATATAAGAGACGACCCTCCCACGACACCGTTCAAGTTCGTTGACACATCTCAAGCCAGTCCTTTGGTGTTTCCGTACTGTTTCTCTCCATCTATTCCAGACTACCTAGGGTAACAAACAATGGCCCCGTCTGCCGTCACCAATGGCTACGGCGGCATGTATCTTCCGGCGGACGGGAGTACGGACCCGGAACTCTCGAGGCGCGAAGAACGTCCCAAGGTGCTCAACAACCCGGCGGCAGGTGATGTCACCATACTCGAGCAACTGTACGGGACGCGGAAGAAGATGAGGGTCGTCATGCTCGGGGCGGGCATGAGTGGGTTGAACTTTTTCAAGTTCGCCGAGGAGAAGCTCAAGAACGTCGAAATCATCTGTTACGAGAAGAACCCGGACATCGGCGGCACCTGGTACGAGAACAGGTACCCCGGGTGCGCCTGTGACATCCCGTCCGTCGCCTACCAGTTCCCGTGGCGGACGGTCCCCTGGACAAAGTACTACTCCCAGTCCAAGGAGATTTGGGAGTACCTCAAGATGGTGGAGCAGGAAAACAACTTTGTGGAAAAGTACGTCAAGCTGCAGCACAGGATCGTGTCCCTCTCGTGGGACGACGGCGTCGGACAGTGGACGGTCCGGGTGAAGGATCTCGTGTCTGGCCGGGAATTCGAGGACCACGCGGACTTCGTCGTCGACGGAGGAGGGGTGTTGAACAAGTGGAAGTGGCCCGACATTCCGGGCCTCCAGGACTTCAAGGGCACCCTGCTGCACTCGGCGCAGTACGACGAGCGGACGGACCTGACCGGCAAGAGGGTGGCGCTGGTCGGCGCGGGGAGCTCTGCGGTTCAGATCCTCCCAAACATCTACGACAAGGTCGACAGAGTGTACACCTGGGTCCGAACGAAGATCTGGATCACGGCCGGGTTCGCCCAGAACTTTGCCGGAAGGGACGGGGCGAACTTCGTCTACAACGAGGAACAGCGCCGGATGTTCCAGAACGACGACGAGTACCTCGCCTACCGCAAAATGATCGAGGGCGAACTCAACCAGCGTTTCGGGTTCATCATCAACGGGACCTCGGCCCAAAAGGCCGCCCGCGAATTCTCCGAGGGTGAAATGAAGGCCAAGTTGAAAGATCGACCGGAGCTGCTGGAGAAGATCATGCCGGACGACTTCTACGTCGGTTGTCGACGACCCACCCCGGGGAATGGATACCTCGAGTGCCTCGCCGGACCCAAGACCGTCCCATACACCAAGCAACTGGGCCGGATCACGGAAAAGGGCTTCATCGACCCCGACGGCAACGAACAAGAGGTGGACGTCATCATCTGCGCGACGGGGTTCGACACTTCCTACAAGCCACGGTTCCCGCTCCTCGTCAACGGGGTAGACAAGGCTGAACAGTGGAAGGACAACCCTCACCCACACGTGCCTTCATATCTGAGCCTGGCCTACGCCGGCGTCCCAAACTACATCCTCTATGGCGGTGCATACTGCCCGTCGGCCCACGGGTCCTTTTTCCCGCTCATCGCGGCTTACGTCAATTATACGATACAGGTGATTGAGAAGATGCAGATTGAGAACATTCGCTCAATCCGGCCCAAGGAGAAGGTGGTGGAGCATTTTATGAAACATGCCGATACGTTCCTCAAGAGGACAGCCTGTGAGTCGAGTCTCCGCTCATCGACCCGATGATACGTTCTGTGTTGCTCCGCATCATACTGACAAACGAAACTACAGGGACCGGACCGTGCAGCTCGTGGTTCAAGGGTGGTAAGAAGGACGGCAAGCCAGCCATCTACCCAGGATCTCGGTTGCACTTTTTGCGGCTGCTGGAGAAACCACGCTGGGAAGACTTTGACATTGAGTACGACCAGGAAGGAGACATGTGGAGTTTCATGGGCAACGGATTCCATGTCTGCGAACGAGACGGTAGTGATATTACCTGGTACATGGGCCACCCGAAGCAAGAGGTGGACGAAGAAAAGGTGAGGAGGATCATGGACGGTACGAAGGGCATCGAAGTTGGCATCAAACGGTGATGATTGTAGTGGTGGTGGTGGTGGTGGTGTTTGTTTGTTTGTTTGTAGATATTGGTATAGTCGTCTCTAATGTAGGTAGATACCACCTTGTCATTCGACCTGGTCCAAGAATTGTGATTTTGATGGCCCTCAGCCGATCCCTGTCGCTAAATACGGCACATATCGGAAGAAGAGGATGTGCTGGTTTGAGGCGACCATTGACGGTCTTGGGCGCCGGTCAGGAACGAATGACGATGCAATTCTCGATGCGCCGAATTTTATGCCCCGCAACAAAAAACAAAAAAAAAATTGCTTCCAACGAGACGAAAGAGCGAAACGCACCAAGCAAAGCCAAAAGACACACACTTCATTGCATTACCATTTTTCCATCCTTCAATCCTCGTTTCCTGGTCCCTGTGAAAAATAAAATCTTCTTCCTCTGCAAGACCCATCGACCTGTCTATCCGACTTCTCTCCTCCCCCTACAAACTCCGTCGTCGATCTCCATTGACCCCGCGCATCCTCCCTTGTTCCCGCCGTCTTCGTCTTCGTCGCAGTTTCTCTTCCCTCACTCCCAACATGTCTGAAATCACTCACCCTACCATCAAAGGTAATGACAATGACGGACCACACAAACCGAGCAGTGGCTGACTGTCGGGGCAGATGGCTGGTTCAGAGAAATTTCCGACATGTGGCCTGGTCAGGCGATGATCCTCAAGGTCAACCAGGTCCTCCACCACGAAAAGTCCAAATACCAAGATGTCCTGGTCTTCGAGAGCAGCGACCACGGGACCGTACTCGTCCTTGATAACGTCATCCAAAGCACCGAGCGAGACGAGTTTTCATACCAAGAGATGATTACACATTTGGCCATGAACTCCCACCCCAACCCCAAGTCGGTCTTGGTCATCGGCGGTGGTGACGGCGGTGTGTTGCGAGAGGTTGTCAAGCACGAATCCGTGGAAAAGGCCATTCTTTGCGACATCGACGAGGCCGTGATTCGTGTCAGCAAGAAATACCTCCCGGGCATGTCGATTGGTTTCCAACACCCGGCGGTCGACGTCCACATTGGAGACGGCTTCAAATTCCTGGCGGACCGCAAGGACGAATTCGATGTCATCATCACCGACAGCAGTGACCCCGAAGGTCCCGCGGAGTCCCTCTTCCAGAAACCATACTTTGAACTGCTCAGTGGAGCCTTGAAAGACGGTGGTGTCATTACTACCCAAGGTTGTGCGCACCCATCTCCCCCTTCCCAGAAGAAACGTTTCATATTTCTACGACGGCTTTTCAGGAAGTGCCCCTGCTGACGTGTTGTTGTTTTTTTTTCTAGCTGAGAACCAATGGCTTCATCTCCCTCTCATCACCAAGCTCAAGAAAGACTGCAAGGAGGTTTTCCCAGTGGCCGAATATGCCTACACCACCATCCCAACATACCCATCAGGCCAGATTGGTTTCATGGTCTGTTGCAAGGACCCCAACCGAGATGTCAAGAACCCATTGCGATCATGGAGCCCAGAAGAGGAAGAGAAGTTGTGCAAGTACTACAACAAGGAAATCCACAAGGCTAGCTTCATCCTACCGACCTTTGCCCGCAAGGCATTGAAATAAATTTGAATGACATGCCGGGTCGGTTGTCGCTTTGATATTACGTCTTCCAGCATGATACCAGGTCTTTTTTTTATTGCTGTTGTTTTGTCTTGATACAAGTATTCCTAAGCGGTGAAAGAACCGTGATATGGTGATGGAGTGGGTTTTTCTTAGCTCTGAATTCCTACAGTACTCTTACGAGGTATCGGCATCTGGATGATCAGGCTGTGAAGGGCTTTGCTTCTTAGAAATACAGTTTCAGGGTGCGTCTCTGGCCACAGGAGATAGAAATGAACACACGCCCACACACAAAGAGTCACCTTCACTTTAAAACAGTAAACGAACAAAACATGCGAACCTATGGGAACTGAACATGTGAACGGATGTTAGGTGTCTAATTAACTTGTAGTACTTACTGGTCAGGTTGTTGATTCTTGATTGGTTTGGCACCTTTTCCGGAACGTTAATGACGAGCGACTTTGTTTTTACTCTAAAGGAGTGAGAGTGCTCGCATTACACATCTCACTCGTCTGGAGTTACATCCCTTCCTCAACTCAAGCGAAGAAAAGACATGACTTCATCTGATGGAGTCCCTCGTGAAGAATGATGTCACGTCTACGATATCACTCGAAGAGGTGACCGTATGAGGTATGTATGATGGAATACCTGCCCTCGGTGACGAAACTTATATCAGACAAGGCACACACACACACACCTTTGACTTAGCATTCTTATCCTTTTTTTGTATTGTGTCACTTGAAACTACTTTATAAACAAGTAAACATTACAAGAATCGTAACGAATATACCTCGACCACCCAAGATTTTTTAGTTTGCTTTTTTTTCCCAAAAAAAACAAAAGGTACGAGACACAAAAAATGTCATTCACCGCGAACTCCAAGGCACCTCGGATCCATCCAGACCAGGCTCCCCAGGAGCCGACGGGTCAAGTCGCGGCAGACTCTCTGGCGGCAGAATCCTTGAGTCGGCGAGGAGAATTTTCGAAAAACGTCCACGCCGAGGCTTCGTCCGTGTCGGGGTCTTCATCGACCCTGAACAACACCGACACATCGGCGGCCAAAGTTCTCCGACCGGCTCCTGATAGCGCGGCGAGAGGAGATGACGACGAGCAGACAAGCCCAGGGGGGGAAGCGGCGGCACCGGCCGGAGCAAGTGACTTTGGAGCGTCGACGACCCTGCAAGGAAGCAAGACTGGACCAGATCCAAACATCAAATCCAGTGGTACGAACACGGGCTCGTCGACCGGCACGTCAACCGGCGTACGTCCTCACGTCGACGTCGCACCCGGGTACACGGCCAGCGTGACCGGGACGGCCGCACCGAAGGGAACCTATCAACCCAAAGGTGACAATCTGGAAGACGCGGACGAGACGGAAACGATGCCCAAAGGACCCAAAACTTTTGTCGGGGACGTCGGAGGACAAGACGATCCGGGGAGGTCGGCGGAACAAAAGTTCGTCGCCAGAAATACCGGCGGGGTCGAACCGAACACGTCCTCTGGTGATCCTGGAGGTCGTGCTCAGAGACGAGCGGCAGACTCTACCGCCTCGGGAGGAGCGGTGGTGGGTGAACAAGGTGGAAGTTTTGGTGCCTTGAGTGGCAGTGAGAGGGCTTAAAACACCGACTAGGAAAAGAAAAAAAAGAGAACATGGGCATCAAACATCAGATCGTATATTGTATGGCTGGCTGGTGCTGATGGTACCGTTGCAGGAAGTAGGACAACCAAGGCGTTTTTTTGGACCCCTTTGTTGATGCTGTGTCTGGCAAGGGTTGGCCGATTTTGCCTGCCACTGTCCAACCGTTTGTACATCCTTTCCCAGAGACCTGGGGGCAAGAGCAGCCTCTTTGCCCCCGGGTCATCTGTTGATACAACAAACCCCCTAATAAAAATGTGTTTGTGCTGAATGGGGGGGTTTCCCCCCTTCTGCTGTAACATTGACAAAAGTCATCTCTCTGTGCTTCCGGAAATCTCTGTCTCTGAAAACCTGGATAAGCCTCCTCTCCTCAAAAGAGGGCACACCACCTGTAGAGGTTTGTTGTCGATGGGATTGATACACGTAGTACCAAAGTTTCATGGGTGACCCCCCTTTTTTTTCTTCTGCATCTCTTGACTAAAAAAATGTCAGGGGCACGATGGTGTTGAAAGTTTTGGCTAGATTGTGTGAATCTCGGCGCGAGAGATAGAGTCGGAAAGGATGTCTTTCGCCGATCAATCTTCTGAAGCGGACATAACAAACAGGTGGTGACATTTTTTCATCCTTTCGTGTGCTGAGCGGAGACATGATTGTCGTGAGCCTTTGTGGGATATCATCATGTCCATCCCTTCCTCCTGAGAGTGACTTCTTTCAGGATGTCATATCTCATCTCGTCTCATCTCGTCGATTTTCGTTCGGCTGGGGTCGATTCCAATGTTTCATAAGACAAGCTTCAGAGACAACGTAGTTCATTCCCATGGATGACCTCTCTCTGTCTCTCTCTCTCTCTCTCCCTAGCTTTAAAGACATCATGATTCCATCGTCGGTCAGGCCGTCTTTACCGGCGGCATGATATTCGCAGGACTTTTTTTTTCATCATCACACAAGTATCATCTTGCTTTTTTGGTTTTTCAAGAACCGAAAAACCCATCCAAACCCATAAATACGTCCTTTGCAACGCCATCCCTCGTCACACTCTTGACCACATTCTTCATCACGTTTCTCTTGATCCCACCTACCCTAGGCCTCCAAACCCCAGGTACTTCGACTCCCTCGGGAGCCTCCCCGGTCAGTGGGACACCCTTCATGGTATCTCTCGCCGGTGTATCGATCATTCTGACCGCCAAGACTCTGTAGTAGTATCCTGAATCGTCCCCTCCTTGTCCCCCTTTGGGTAGGACTGCGTCCCTCCCCACGCTCACGGCCACGACCGAATCAGCCACCGACAATTCTTCCCTGCTAGGATCAAAGACGACATTCTCCCCGACCACCACGACCATCAACGTGACGGGCGGCGTCGACCCCGTCGGCTCCTTGGGTCCGTACAGAAAGGTACTGGCCATCCAATCGTCGTCCGCCACTGGATCTTCCTCCCCCTCACTCTTCAGTTTCGGTATCCTCGCGTCACGCAACGCCAGGTGAACCGCCGTACTCAACAACGGAAGCGGATAACTCGCGAGGCCGTTGTCGGGTGAGATCAGGAGGACGTCGACGTAGGCGTGCCAGTGCCATTTCGAATTGATGATCAACTTGTCCGCGAGTCCAGAGACGATCAGAGGTTCACGTAACATTTCCTCCAGAAAAATCAGGTTCGGGTCATCATCCCTCAAGCCGGGCAAAGTGAGTGTCGTACTCAACCACCGTGCGTTTCCACAACCTTTACCGGTTGTTGTGTCTTGGTCGACGTCCATCGCCTCGGGCCCCGCGGTTTTGGATGTAGAAATCACATCTCGATTCTGACTGCTCGTCTTTTCGACCTCCAACTTCACACCGACAATCGCCTCTCTACCGTCGCTGAACCCTACGTGGGCGGAACCGTTGACGGCGGGTAAAACTCCCGTTTCGGCGCGAAGAGGCCTGAAATCGGTCGGTCGTGGCCTCGCGTCCGGTCGGAGAGGCGGTGTCGAAGAGAGAGACGTGTGTAGGTAGGCGAGTTCGGCCGGGGAAAAGGGGAGGGACGTCGTTAGTGAGGGCATCTTTGCTGTGTTGCCAACTTTGTAAATCCGAGGATAGTAGTAGTGGTCGTGGAGGAAATTCTCAAGGTGCGCAGTTTTGGACGTGAAGAAAGAGAAAAGGCTCAGGCAGAGGCGCCAGGCCTCATTCGGCAGCAGGATTCGGAGGCAAAAAAAGGTCACAATCGCTGAACGCCTTGTTGTCAAAAAGAGGTCCCTATGCAGTTTGTTTCACAGTCATCGAGTTCGTTCCAAAAAAATAATTGCTTGCTTGCGTTCCCCGCAAAATTGGTTATGGAACCGGAGTTACTCCCGTCCTCTATCAGAAGATCGCACAACGAGGGGCATCAAAGTAAACGACGTATTAATTCAGCAACCCAAGTTGGTTTCTGAACGAGTAAATAATTGTTTTTCTATCGAATTTAAAACACTACAACAAAAGAAGGAAAATTATCATACATCATATTTTCTTCATCGTTGTTGCTGTATCCCAACTCAGCACAATTCTCATCATGAACTATCCAGTCCAATACCTTCCAAACCACTCGTCCCAATGATTTTGGGTCTTGCAGCTTTGGCGCCATAAACCATCTCCATCAATTTACTTTTCTGCTTCTCTCGTACTCCTCGCAAGTAGTCGTAGGTCCCCTCAAGGCCTCTGATTTGTTGATCAAGGACGCTCGCGTTGTCAATGCTAACTGAATCATTCCTCCTAACCAGTGGACTGACCAACTTCCTCCGTAAGGTTTCGAGGTTGACTTTGAGTGTTTGGAGACGGCCGTGGTGTTCCATAATCAAATGTTTGTTGTTGACGGTCCTCGCTCGTACACTTGACAACAACTGTTTGTTCTTCTCAAACTTCCTCAGCATGGCGGCGTTGGGTCCGACCACTCTGGTCCACAAGGACGACAGGAGATCGTTCTCGAGCCGTTCTTGGGTGTCGGTCTCCCTCACCACAGTTCGTTGCAAGTTCAAAAATTGTCTGTCGATGGACTCAAACAGTGCGAAGAGGGCCGCTGAATGGGTCAATTCGCTGTTGATCGACTCCTCGAGAACATTCACAAATTCGTGAAAGGTCCTTGTGAGGGTCGCTCTGGTTCTTTGTGGTGAACTCGACCCAAATACATCGGTAAGTAGCTTACCCAATGCTGTTGGGCCTTTTGACGTCTCGAGCAATCCGCCTCGGTTGAAGATTCCATGAACATGGTCAAACACGACCCCTGACATGGACACGCCTTGTCCAGTCATCACCCCTTGCAGTTCTCGTTTGGCCCAGTCCATCACTATTAAGATACTGTCCACATCAGAATCGACATCGGAGAAGAAGCGTGTCAACTCGAGACCCAAGGTCTTCAAGCTCTCCGACAAATCGTCCAGGGATCGAACGATAATTGGTGCCGAGGTCATATTAGCACTCCGGACGGACTCTCCAAGATCCCATACAGCCACACTTGTTTCCTGCAGCGCAATAATCTGAGTGTAGCCATTCTCGGAATAAAAGATCAAGGGTTCAAAGGACTTGGCCAATGTCGATACTTTGACGAGATCGGGTACCGGCGACGGAATCGGTGGAGCGACAATGATACGCAGTAGACAAGCAAATAACAGGGTTGTTATCACCGACAATAGGGTCGTCGATTTCGTCTTCGTCATGGCGTCGAATTTCCTCTGAACAAAATTGAAAAAGGGCATGAATGGTTCGCGATGTTGGACTTCAGCCCGGAATTGCAAACGGACGTCTATGAGCCTATTAGCCACTGTCACTGTCTGGAGCAAATGATGATGATATTCACAATTATTTGGCTCGGTCGCCGTTACGTCCTCTTGCTCCGGACTTTCATTCCTCGAACCTCGTTGTGCTTCGACCCCTGGTGACTGTCCTCGTGTGGGTGAGTCTGTACCCATAGGCAGAGGCGTTTTAACCGCTATCGTGATGTCCGGGTCTCCAGCGCCGTCCGTGGCATCTTGATACACCTCCGGGCTAGTCTGTCGCGATCTCGAGGGGCTTATGGAAGGCTTCAAATCGTAATGTCCATACGGGTCTTGCCTAAACCAGTTACTCGCATTGGACACCCTTCTCTTGAACCCAGGCGGTGACCACGGCAATCCTTCACTCGACCTATCATCAAACTCGCTCTCTTCACGCTCCGACTTGAAATCGGGGAAGAGGGGCGACTGGCGCTCCTGCTCTTCAAAGTCTTCTATCGACGCTTGTAACGAATGTGTATCGTCATTCATCCCTGCGGCGTAAAATTCGTCAAATGGCGGTGCTGGCATCATAGCAGCCATGTCAGGAAGAAGGCAAAAAGGTATGAAGTAGAAATGTACAGCATGCAGTGAGGTTGGAAGGAGGGGTAGGAGCGGTCGATCAAACGGCCAGCCGTCACCTCACGCAGTCCCTTTTGTACTCGAACCCAGCCAGATGCAGCAGGCAGTGTCCAAGAGGAAGAGAGGGCGGCACAGAGCAAACAAAGCGCATTGAATGTTTCAGTTCAAACAAAGCAGATGCTAGAGTCATGATGTTTGAGAAGGCCGAATGGAAAAGTCCATGTCTGGAGACTGCGGGACACTTTTTTGACAGCCCAGCCCTCTCTTCAAACGCGCAGAGTGATTCTCACCGAGAAGGCTGTCTACCTGCGAAGGTCATGGTACGCGAGATGCCGGCGTAGGGCAACTCTCTCGCTCTCTGCAAGAGACAGCAGGAACCAGGGACGAAATGTTGGAGGCTGGGACAGCTGGCATGCCTTTGAGGGGGGAAGCCGACCACCAATGATGTCTCAGAACTGGCCTAGAACAGGGATTCTTGATGCAAGGGCGGCCGGAGGGTCGCGTCTCTAGTCTCTGTCAGTCCGACAGAGAAATGTCCGCCATTGGATGTTATCGACAGACCAGGCACTTTGTCTCTGGGCTTATCAGCTTTGTTTATGGAGTTGCAGGGACAGACTGTACAGCTGAGAACGAGGCTGTCGGGAAGAGGCTACCTGCACGGACCAGGGATAGACTTGGACATTAAATGCATGAGCAGAGAGTAGTTGCTTTGATTATTTGTCTATCCTTCGCAGCTATTCTGCCTTTGTCGCGTGCGAAAAACGCAGGTACGCCCAGAAGGAAACAAGGATGGTTATGTACATTAGAGCTTGATCTACCGGCTTCTCCGGGATTTCTCATCATGGTCTCGGTTTGCAAGCAGTGCAGAGGCCCAGTTTCAATGATCCGATTACGAGGCAATGCGCCCTTGCCGTTGTTGATGATACAGCAGCCGACCATTCCGCCGCAGGAACGAAAATGGAGACAATGAATTCCGTCGCATGGTTTTTAGGAGTCAAAAAAAGAGGTAGTCGTCGTCTAGCACTCTTGCTTCAACCAACTACAAAGCAAATTAGCACAGCCAGAAAAAAACCCAGCGGCAACAGGTAAAACTAACGTGATCAGATCATTTCGGTCCTTGCCCTTCTTGAGACCTCCAAAGGCCATCTTGGTGCCAGGAATGTACTTCTTGGGGTTCTCGAGGTATTCGAACTGCGGCTCCGTCAGCATTGTTGCTCCTGCAGGCCACACAAATCATGTAGACATACCAAAGTGTTCTCGTCCCACGTGATGCCCTTTTGCTTGTTCGCGTCGGTGTAGGAGAAACCCTCGACTGAACCAGTCTTGCGACCGAAGAGACCATGTAGGTTAGGTCCGATCTTGTTGCCTTCTGACTCGACGACGGTGTGGCATTGTGCGCATCTCGTCTTGAAGAGACCAGCACCCTTCTTGGCGTCACCTGCAAGGAACTTTTGTGAGCTTGCGTTCTCAACTTTGTTTTCAACCTTGAGTGGTATGTTTTCCTTCGCAGCAGCAGCTTCTTCTTCTTTGTGTCTCGGAGGTACCCAGGTCAGTTCCGCGAGCTCTTGCGGAGCGCATGCAGAGTCCCAGATCGGCATCTCGTAGAACAAGAGTGGTGGTTTGTCTTCCGAAGTGTACGATCATGCAATGAACATGTGCAGAAGTGGTGGTGATGGAGTTTGGTGACAGAAGACAAAAATTTGCACCATTGTGACCGGCACACCCAGCTTGAAATTCACGCCGACCGAAAGACCGGTGAGGAGGAAGTGAATTTGCAGTGAAGTAGAGTCGGGACAAACAATGGTGAAGCTGCTGCGAAGCTGTTTGTTGCAGTTAAGAGGACAAGAAGCAACTTACCCTGACTGAATCCTTCAGCTCCCTTGGCCATTTTTCTTGTTTTGTTTAAAGGTGAATGAGGTTGTCTATTAGGAAGAGACTAGTGGTAGAAGAGGATCTCGAGAGTGTTTGAGTATGTTGTTGCTCTGGGATAGGTTGGTGAGTTAGATGGCAAAGAAAAAAAAGAACGAAGAAAGGGAAAGGAAAAATGTATGTATGACGGAGTTGACGGCGCAAGGATCGAATCGCTTGTTGCTGCGCGCCAAATCATGGGCTTTTGCTCTCTAGGCACAAACTGTGGCGCCCTCGACCCATCGATTATCAGGAAAAGTGGCTCGTTCATAACTTCTTCCGTCCAATTACCGCATTTCCATTGTCATTCTGAGGCTGTTCGGGCACTTTCGGGCTTTGCGTGAAATCTGCTCCCTACGGCTGCTCCGTACATACACTCCTACTCCCCTATTAACAAGTCAACCATCCGATCTGCCGAACATAGGTGCTGAGTACCCACGGAGTATCTTAGGTAGGTACTAAATAAATTGTCTCACAGTTCGTAATAAACAGTACAGGTATGAAGACTTTAGGTCGGCGTCTACCACCTAACTCGCCTATGACGTCCCCCCCTAACATGGCCCCCCGGGATACCGGCTGGCCACGCAAAGAATCAAAGCTCGGATGCGATCACCACAGGCACCACCAAACCTGCTGAGCCACCGTCATTACTACTACGTACTCGTACTCGTACTGTACATGAGAACCAAAAAAACAAGGTCATGCCGACATCATGTAACCATCATTCATTTGATTCCCCCCAGGGCAAAAGAAGAAAGCCGGACGGTCTCCGGTGCTGATGAGTCCTCAGACCACCTTGATCGTTGTTGGTTATTTTTTTCTTCTCTAGCCCTGTTGGGCAAGATTCCTACTTTTGACCAGGCATCTAGTCACTCGCGTGGGATCTTACCAACTGGAAATGAAATTCCACCTCTCTCTCTCTCTCACACACACACACATACACACATTACTCGTTACCCTCATATGTACGGGTTACTGTATAACATACCTACCTAGGTATATCAAAGTGACAGACTAGCCCAGAATTCATCAATCAACTCGTGCCTCTTGACGGCAAGGTCGAAATCCCCATAAGGCTGACCCTGAGCGTACGCCTCGTACAGACGACCAATGTTTTGGCCCTGTGTCGGCAACCCGGTCCACTCATCGCCACCCTCGTCGACGTCGATATCCTCGACCACACCCTTTTCGGCATTCGAGAACCGCATGCTGACGGCCTTGGCCATTTGTGGCCCGGCACTGGCAAACTCGACGGCCAGTTCCCCTTTGGTCCCGTATATTCTCCACGTCGACCCGGGGCAGCCGATGAACCGGTCCCCAGCTCTGAGGTGGAAGCTGAACGCGGCCGAAGGGTGTCTGTCCAACCTTCCCTGCAGGAGGATCTGGTCGGGTGTGTCCTTGTCGTACAGTTCCTCCGACAGCGACCCGTCGTCCTTCATGACGTGCATCCGGGGCCTCAAGTTGACCGCCATGGGCGTGTAGCTGCCCGGCTTCAGCTCCCCGACCGCGTAGAGGATCGAGTCGAGCACGTGCCCCCCGTATATCGTCAGTAGGTTCCCTCCCACGGTCCGGTCCATGAAGTAGTGGTACCTCTGGCCCGCCGCGTTGTTCTGCCACACGTGGATGGCCCCCTGGTAGTTGACGCTGTGAATCTCCCCGATCGCGCCCGTGTCGACCAGCTCCTTGACCTTCCTCACGCTCGGCGCCATGCGCCCTTGCAGGCCGATGACGGTCCGGAGGTTCTTCTCCTTGGCCACCGCCGCCATCTCCCTCGCCTGCTCGGTGGTGGCGGCGAGGGGCCATTCCACAAAGACGTTGCGCCCTGCCCTCAAAGCCGGCATCGCGACGTCATAGTGAGTGTCGGCTCGGGTCGACACCACGTACAGGTCGACGTCCGGGTCCGCCGCGAGCGCCTCGTACGTGTCGTACGCCTTGGTCGTCGGCGGGAGGTTGTGCGCTTTGATGGCGGCTTTGGTCGACTCCAACGACGAGTTGCACAATGCCACAATCTGGTAGTTTGGTGACGAAGCCAGTCGGGGCAGGTGAGCCAACGTCGCCCACGCACCCGGTTTACTGGACAGGCCGACAATCCCGACACGGACTTTTGGTGCCATTTTTGTCTCGTGCTGCGAGAGGGAGGGGGCTTTGGCTTGCGGTTGATGATCGCCGCTGGTTTGATATATAGAAAGACGACAAGATTCCAAAAAGAGGTCTCTTGACTTACTCACAGCAACTCTTCTGTATATACTTGATATCAGATAGATAGATAGAAAGCTGCAACACTCCTCTGTTGATATTATTAATGTCCGAGGATTCTCAATGGAATGATTACTTACTCTGTGTATGTTGAAAATGATAAGTCCAAAGTGACGACGGACCTTTGGACGTTTCCATTACAAATCAGGCATCGGTGTGTCACTGGGTCAAATGCTGTGAAACCCTTTTCTTTATTTCTCCTCATTTCATCAACCCTGGCCAAGGTATACAGTTACTGATACGAATATCGGCCGATCACTACTCGCTAGGTATCGAATGATCGCAAGTGTTCTTCACGAGGGGCGGAGAAAATTATTGGATATCGTGTTACTTGTAAGAGTGAGAGTATCGTCCACCACCGACACACCACATACGCAGAACTCCCCCGCCGGACTGGACATTTATAGATCATTTCTTGTAGCCCAATTGAATTTTCCCCATCACTCATATCTAAATACCTGACTGAATCCATGTTACTCGTGATGCTCGTGTTTCCCATCATCAACAGTTTCTCATGGCGCATTTCCTTGATTCACTTTTGCTCGTGGGGAACCCCCACGCCTCAAAGCCTGCCTCTCCCTTTAACATCAGCATGGGCCCCAGATAGTCAATGCCCATTCTCCTTGGCACTATCGTCAATCTCGCAGAATGCGCGGAAAGTGACCAATTCCTCGCCGGTGCTCTCAAGCACGAGCTCGGCCGTCGCACCGACAAAGTACACCCATCCCTCCTTGATCTCCTCCGTCTTGGGACCGACGCTGATCCTGCCTTGGCCACTGGTGCAGATGATGATGCTGGGGCCCGCGACGCCCTCGAACGTCGCCTTCGCCCCGTCCTTCTTGAGAACGGTGCGCACGACGCTGAACTCCTCGATGGGCGGGTCGTACAACAGACTCTCACTTCCACTGCTGTACGCGGCCTGGTTTAGCCTCACGTAGGGGTAGTCCGTCGGCTTGAGGAGTTGTTGCTCCGGGGGGTCGTGGTCGTACGTCAGAATGTCCGTAAGAGTATTGACGTCTTGGAACTTGGGCGTGAAGCCGGCGCGGATGACATTGTCGCTCGACGCCATGCACTCGATAATGTCGCCGGAGATGTAGGCGTGGATATCGTCGGCTTTGAGGTACATGGCTTGACCCGGTGAGAGTTTGACGTAGTTGAGGAAGAAGAGAACAAAGAGGCCAATGTCCTCGGGAAATTGGCTGTTGCAGCGTGTGACGAGTTCGCACAACTCGGGAGTCGTGTTGACACTGGGTCCAGGCGTGATGTCGCCGGACTCGGCGAGCGATAGGAGTTCCTTGGACTTGGACGCGACTGCAGATCGGTCTGACTTCATCAGGGTGCTGAAGGCGGATTTCAGGGCGGATTTGGATCCTGCCACAGAGGCGTTGGAGTCCGATGCGACCTTCTCGAGAGCCGACGATGCTTCTTCGCCGACGAGGGATCGCAGAGGGGGGATGGTTGATAGAAAGTGTGAGATCTCCTTGAGAGGACGGAAGCCGCAAAGACCTTCGAATGGTGTGATGGCGAGGGTCATTTCAGGCTTGTGGTTGTCGTCTGGGTAGTTCTTGGGGTCTTTGGCATGGAGCTTCTCCGCCAGCTTTTTGTTGGGATGGGCCTGGATGGATAGAGCTTTTGCGATGGACAGCACCTTGAAGAGGAAGGGCAGTTTATTCTGATATTTGGTCGCAATATCGGTGCCCATCAGACCTTGATTGTCGACTACCATGTCCAAGAGGGAGCGGCCAGTAGACAGGTCTTTGGAGGGAAGAGACGGGTGTGTGCCCATCCATAACTGTAAATGTGAGCTGCTTGTCGGGAGAGGCATGACGGGTAAGAATCTACCTCAGCATATGGCTTATCTTCCTGGATGGAGAATGTGTCGGAGGGCGTGGCCGCAGCATAGCGAGCGGCTGCCGAATCTTTACCTTTCTTTCCTGGTGGCAGTTAGTCAGGCGACAGTACTGTGTATATATAATATCCTGCTCACCCCAATCGTAGCTGTTGCAGCCTGTATAATGTTAGTCTACCGTAAAGGTGAAGTGAACAAAATGTGTGACTTACCACACTGCAGTCGAATAAGAGGAACCTGCATTCTGATGCCTTTGAGAGACTTCTATCTGAGGGTCTGTGATGACGAGCAATCCTTTGTGGTTGTCTGATTCTTAACACGATACGTGTATCTGAAAAGAAAATCTCTCCTGGCGGTGAACAACCTATGTGGCTTGAAGTCATACACTCCTTTTTGTGCCAACGTGTCTGGTCCATTGGCCAGACCAGGCGATGACCCGGGGAGCAGATACAATCCACCGTAGGAAAATCTGCGCCTTGTGATGTATTGTTGCAACGTATAGACCTGCAGCCAATTACCATTTGGAATCAGCCATCGCCTAGGATGTAGAGGGAGCGATCCCTTCTACCACCCTTGTAGTCTCATACTCTTCCCGTTTTCAGATTTCTAATCTTATAGCCTTGGAAGATGTCTACAGTTGCCGCGCGCTGGTATATGAAAGTGTTAAGTCGTGGCTAATTAACCGCACGGAGACACAAACACGTCTTCATCGCGACCACCTTGTTACCAATACCGAGACATTTTGGGGCGCGCCTCTGTGGAATGTAAAGGAGAGACAAAAAAAGGACAAAACCCTCACATCTTTAGATTTACGTGGCTTTACTGTTCCGGGTTTGTTACATTCTTGTCGCCACAGCAGATAAAATGAGCGGCCGACCTCGGGGCGGACGTGGTCTGAGCAGCCGTGAAGGCAAGGAAGCAGATCTTGAAAATGATTTCCTGAGTCGAGTCATTGAGGGTCTGCGGAAAGCACAAGGGTATAACGATCAGTCCAAACGAATAGGACAGGATATCATGACTCTGGAAGAAGACATCAAGACAGCTGGACGTAAGTGCTCTATCCAAGCCTATGTCTTGGCTGCATCTTATTTCACGCATCACGCCTTCTTTGTTCGTTTTGAAAAGTCTCACAGGGTTTGATAATGACATGGCACTCCAGATTCTACCCCTGATAACCACCGAAGACTCGATGCTCTGTACCGAGAAATGCTCAAGTGCGCAGAGAACGAAAAAAAGGTACATGATGACGAGGACATTATTAACAATCTTGCTATCCTTGCGACTATGAAATCTGCGGATGAGCCTGCCCCAAGAAACGGAGGGGGCAAATCTCGCAAACATCAAAGACCAGTCGTTGAGTCCGACATCGTGGTTGAATCGCCTGGCCCCAGCCCTGGAGATGGACGTTTGGAGATGATGAAACGCGTCAAGGGAGCCTCACAGCGAAGTTCAAGCACGGCCAGCCAAAACCGAGCGGCAGCTGCTACAAAGGATGAAGGAGCCGAGGTCCATAAAGGAGTTCAAGCAGAGCGAACTGGTCAACTTGTTGCTGGAACTGAAGTATTTTATAAATACCCCAAGGATCAGCAAGAACAAGAAGAAGGTGTTGGTATTCATGGCATCATCAAGAAGGTGTGGCAGGATAAGAAACCGTAAGTCAAGTCTGCCTCAGCCCAAGCGTGGCATGCATTAATGTGCTGGCAGTGTTCAATACGACGTTAGAGATCCAGAAGACGACCTTTCTGGCAAACAGGCGGTTCGAAAAGCAACAGCCCGGGATCTTGTACCCATTCCACAAACCACGCCAACCAACGCCCAATTCTCAACTGGCGCCAACGTCTACGCAAAATATCCCGACACCGATACGTTCTATCGAGCAAAGGTCAAGAGTTTTCAAAAGACCATGTACAGTCTGAAATTCGACGAGGATGATAAGGAGATGCTTGTCGATGTACGATTTGTTTTGGACCCAAGGATGAGATGATTTTGACGATGACGATTTGATACTGCGAAGGGCTTGATCCCCAGTTAGGGCCCAGATGATTATGAGTACAATATTATTTTCACACACCACACATTCTCTTTTTATTGCTTTAGTTCGGCTCTGCTAGCTAGGTAGACAGCGCCGGTGTCTGCCCAGATCTCGTATACCTTGACCTTGTTGTGCTCGTCAAATTCGAGGACATAGGTGAAGACTTCATCCCAGCCTTGGCCAGTGGCAGCCCAGACGAACCTCGCCTCTCCGCGACATGATACCTTTGACACTTCTTGGTCGACCACGAAATTGCTGAAGCGCATGTTTTCATAATTCAGGGTCTCAGAGAGGAGCTGAAAGTACTCTCGAATACCATCTTGACCCCGGAAATCTCTGCCTAGAAAGGGCGCTAGCTGTGGCAAGCCATGCTCGAGGGCTAGAACATCATCCGAGGACGAGAAATGGCTGAAGATGTCTTCGGGAGGTTTTTGTTCAGCGAAAGCGTTGCAAAATGCCTGGGCGGCAGAGAGGAGGTCTCGACGACTGGTCGCGGGCATGCTCGGTGATATATTTTCGATCGGGGCATTTGTGTGTCTCGATTGAACGACTCGAGGTCCTTCGTAAGCGGGTGGCTTATTACCCAATTCCCAGGTGCGGAATGACCAAGCAATAATGATGAGAAGAAAAAGTGCGGAGTGCAAACCGAGGCTCCGATTTCGTCAGCATCGAATCAATCAATCAAAAACTGCGAAATGATTCGATTCCCTCCACTTCCATTGTCGTCGTCGTTGTCGTCCCCCTCTTTCCCGATACTTGAAAGAATACAACTCGGATTGTTGTGAAATTGCTTCTACATACTCGTACTGTTACATATATCCGAGATGCTGTTTTGTTTGATATAACCCAGCAGATCTTTATCTATCATTGCCCCTCCTCCCGCCGCCATCATGGCCCATCCGACCGAAGATCTTCCCTCCCATGCCTCTCCGATGATCTCCCCGGTCCCACGACCTTCGGCTGGTTATTTGAGTAACTGGTCAGAACTTCAGGAAGATGGACCTGGGACTCCGGGCCTCCCAAATAATCTGTTATCGCCCGCCTTCACTCCACCCGCAACACCGGGCGCTGCGACACCGTCTCGCCATCTCCACGCCGAACCTAAATCGACCCCAGTCGATACGTCGCTCGACGAGCCTTCTACCAAACAGCCACGGTTGGTAGAGAGATTACCGAACGTGGAGTGCTTGGTGCGGGCCAGGATACCGACAACTTCTGGTGCGGAAATGTTCCTACACTTGTATCAGAACGATTCAGACAATAAAGAGCATTTGGCGATCGTTTTTGGCAACAACATTCGCAGTCGCAGCTTGGACGCCGAAAGGCCTGGGGAAACGGAGATGGACCGTATGATCAGAGGGGCCTACGTTGGGAGACTTCGACCAGGACGTACGAGTTCGAGAATTGACCCGGAACCGAAGAAGCGCCCACTCGGAAAGCGTACAAGAAGTGGTTCTGCATTGAAGAACGTCACCACGGTTCCCGAGGAAGCTGCCGTGTCAGAAGAAGAAGAAGGAGAAACAGAGCAGCCCACTGCTGCTGCTCCCGTACAGTCACCTGTGAGCACGCAGGACCTCGAACGACAGCCTCGAAAGCAGGGCGAAACTGGCCTCGAGCCGGTGCTAGAATCTTTGGATCCGAAAGCCCCCGGGAAAGCACCCCTGGTAAGGATACACTCGGAATGCTACACCGGCGAAACGGCGTGGTCCGCTCGATGTGACTGTGGAGAGCAACTGGACGAGGCGGCCCGTTTAATGTCACTCCCCCGTTCTCCCGGAGGCGTCATTGTGTACCTGCGACAAGAAGGACGGGGGATCGGCCTGGCCTCGAAATTGAAGGCGTACAACCTCCAAGACTTGGGGAACGACACGGTCGAAGCCAACCTTTTGCTTCGACACCCCGCCGACGCGAGGACGTACGGCTTGGCGACCGCCATCCTCCAGGACCTCGGACTGGGGACCGACACCGACGCACAGAAACCCCCCGAGGAGCGAGGCATCAGGCTCCTGACGAACAACCCCGACAAGGTCAGGGCGGTCGAAGGACCCAACAAGGAAGTCCGCGTCCGCGAGAGGGTCGCAATGATCCCGATCGCGTGGCGGACGTCGGGAGCGAAGGGTGTCCGAGGAGCAGAGATCGAAAAATACCTCGAGACCAAGATCGGCCGTATGGGACACATGATTCGCGAGTAGGACCTGCACAAGTCACAAGAGATGATGAAAATAGTACACAGCCAGGTGGCAGTATTTTCTCCAGATTCGCCCTGTGCAGCCGAAAAGAAAGATCACTCTACGCAAGCCGGCATAAAATTCCTTCAAGGAGTGATGCTGGGCATCAGAAACTTGGAACAAATGAAAATATAACATTTCGGCCAGACCATTCACAACTGCCATCATGAGTTTGGTGTTGGTCTTGTATACACAGTCTACCGAAGTCCTCCCACTCCTCGATGGAGAGAACAATTTACGAAAGGTGTGCATGCTTTTTTTATTCGAGCATGGCGGATTTTCTCTCGATCTCAAGCCATCCTTTATATCTTACGAATGGTTGAGCAAAAAAAGCGGGACTCGACACCATTCATCAACCCTCTCCTCGCGATCCTCCTTCTCTCTTTTTCCCCCTTTCGACAACCCAGTCACCGTCCCCCCCTCAGGGATCACGAGAAATCACACCCCCCTTGGAGTCCAAAATTTTTACAGTTTATGTTCTTGAGAAGATGTGACCGGCAAAGTGTGGGAATACATATCCTGAATAGCTTTTTGCCTACCTTACCTGAAGTGGTACCTTGGGTAGCTTGGTAGGCACTGGTCGGTCGTGGGTACTGGCATACAGAGAAAAGCTTTGGGGAAGTTTATCCGTGTATATAAATGCAAAATCAGGTAAAGGCAAGAAGATTTTGTCAAGATGGAATATACCATATACATCACATACTCTGTACATACAGCAGAAGTGTTTATTACCTGCTGGTTTTCTTTTCTCTCACATCTGTCTGTTTGACACCATTTGTTTTGTTCTTGATCCATTTTTTTTTCTGGCCGTGGTGATTATCTGAAATGAGAAAATATGCTTTGTGTTTTTTTTCTACTTTTCTACCAAATGCCCAACCAGAGCTTTCTCTTCCGCCTTTCGGGCTGCTGCTGCTGCTGCTCCTCCTCCTCCTCGGGCTCGCCGCGTTCCTTCCTCTCCCTCATCCTTCTGGCAAACTCGTCCACGTCGTCACCGAGCTGACCTCCCTTTGCGAGCACGTCCCGCCCGGTGACGGCGTCCTCCCTGCCGCCTCGCTCGCGCTCGGCGTTGGTCAGGCCGTCGTCCCAGGGGACCAACCCTCTCACGTCGATGCCTTGTTCCTCGCGGGCGTCGAGGTCCTCCATGCCGTGGGCGCGGCGGTACAAACGGCGCTTCTGGGCGTCGAGGATCTTTTGCTGTCGGCTCTCGTTGGCTTGTGCGGTCGTGTAGTCGATGTGGAGCCGGACCACGGCCATGTATTCCCGCAGGTAGTCCAGCGGGTGAAAAGGCAAGGTCGAGACGGGGGGGAGGAGGTGAGCGTAAGGGGAGGTCTTGACAAAGGTCTGTGTGAGTGTGATGCCGGCGAGGATGGTCAAGGTTCCCTATCATACACATGAGCATACTCGATATATACACCCAGCGCCAGAGCAAAAAAAAAAGAAAGGCCAAACCCCCCAAAAAAGAGGCAAGCGTACCATTGTGATCCAAATATGAATCCATCGGTCCGTTAAGAACCAATGCATAAATGATCCCTTTTCAGGAAACATGTGAGGATACGTCCTCGTCTTTTGTCGTTCCTTCTCTTGTTCCGTCGTGCCCTGGTTGTAACCACCGCCCACGCCACCCAACGACGTCGTAGTCGTCCTCCGGCGGGCATTCAATCTCGAAGGGTGCGACGGCGGTCGAAACTTGTCCGGCTGTTCGAGGACGACGGGTTTCTGGTCGGTCGACGCCGTTCTGTGGAACGACAAGCTCGTGCTCTTCATTGCCCGTAGTGACCTTCTCGACGCGGGTGGGATCTGTAATGCCGCAGCATGTTTTGGGCCGGAGCTGCTGGGGGTGCTGGCGCTGCGGAGTGCACTGCGCAGACAAGTATGGCAGTACACCGAGAGCGTTGCCCCTCGGGATGCCATCGCCAGGATGTATTTAGTATGACGTCTCTCGTCAGATTCGGAAAACGGGGAAGTAGTATTTCAAAGAAGAAAAAACAATCTGATGGTGTCTCTCTGGGCTGCCAGTGTCGACGGAGAAGTAGTTCCTCTGAGGCGTAACCTAGTACTTCTACGGAGAGAAGTAAGGGCCAAAAGCAAAAAGGTCTTGGCAACGGTTCTGGACGGATTTACAGTACATGCTCCATATCCAAGGTAGGGAACCAAATTGCTCCTACGCCTACGACAAGACCAGAGAACATCGACACAAGTCAAATTACCAGACAGACAGAGCAGAAAGATCTCAGTTGATGCATCGATTGTCCTCTTAAAAGACGAGTCATCTATGCAAATCCTAGACTAGGCCCAACAGTATTGTTCCTATTTCGCCAACAGTCCTTTCCATACATATTGATATATCTAGCTGTACAACCTCTTTTGTCATGAGGAGGATTAACAAATGGAAATCTCTTCGTCGCTGTTCAAGCTGACAAGGTCGCCACTATCATCGCCGGCAAAACCCAAAATGCAGTCCATACAAAAACTTGTCCTCACTAACTCTCGGTTCGTTCGCGCGAAGCCCAAAATCAAATGCAATAACCAGGCATGGTGAGCCCGCGGCTCACAGGAGAGTATCAAAGTTTAACAGGCAAGGAAAGAGCAGCAACTCGATGTTGCCCAAAGGGAAAAAAGAAAGCCGTGGTAGGCTGCCAACGCCAAAATAACTCAAAAACACCTTCATAGGTGACAACACTCTTTGTCTTTTCGTACAGGATATCAAGGAACACGATTTTCGTCAGGTAGTCAAGACTAGGAACTTTTCAGGTTTGAAACGAGTGTGGTCGGTCGGATAGATCTGTTTTTATCGGTAGATGGATGTTCCAGCTGCGAAAATAGAGTTGGCAGCCGCTGCTCCCCATTCGTTTTCCTCATAAGGCGGCGTAGGCCAGAGGGAGTTTACATGCTCGTTTTCGTTACGTTTCTTGGTAATATTCAAAGGCTGAGCCGGTGTTGGGTTGAATTGCACACCATTCCTTTTGGCGGATGGCGATGGAGTCAAGTATGCACCCTGCAGTGCATGGTTGCTCGATGGGTGTGGTAATGACTGTCGGTGATGATCCTTTTGTGCCAGAACTTGTCGTTGTGGCTGTTCTTTTGTATTCGTGTTTTGGTCCAGACGTCTCACGGCACGGTTAGCAGACCTCAGAACTTCATCTAGCAGTTCGTCGGCCTCCTCAGGCGTCTCATACTGATTGGCTTGGATGGGCGGGCGCCGTGCCCGAGTTGTCGAGTTAGTCACATTTTGTCCAAGATTGTCGCTGGATCGTCGACCTTCTGAGCGAGGCACAGAGTGAGTTCTCTTCAAAGATCCTTGGTTGTTCTTGATGTTCGAATGGCTTCTCGAGGCGGCTTCTGCTTCTTCACGGTCCAGGCTGTATCTCACGTTCTGCAAGATTTTGTCCAAATCCGAGAAGTCCTGGTTGGTCTCAGGAATAACACTATCGACCATGAGAGAGGATCTATTCGACCACGGCACATTCGCGGCATTCGCTTCGACGTCATCACCGCTGGGTGACGCCAAGCCGTGTCTGCCAGAGAACCGCCTTGCTCGCTTCCGCAAATGCGAGAAGAAGCTCTCCTTTTGGCCACCAGGAGGTGAGACCAAGCCACTGTTGGCATTTAATGCTCGCTCGGCTTCTTGTCGGTGAAGGTCCGCGTAATGGTTGCCATGGGAATTGAGCGACAATTGTCTGCCAATCTTCTTCGACTTCTCTTCCGTGGCCTTGGAACTTGGCTTAGCTTCTGGTTGAGAAGTAAAGGCAGAACTTGCCTGAGCTGTAACAGCATTCGGCAAGGGAGAAATGGGTCGAATGGATGGCAGAATGGGCATTGGTGCGGCCCCGACAGGGTTGGTGCCATTGGTCCACGTTGCACGCTTATTCGCCTGAGGGCGAAGTCTGCTGACTAGACCCTCGGGTTCTTGTTGTGGTACCACTTTGGGCTCGGGATTATGTTGAGGGACAACAGGGGCACTTTCTCGAGCGATGAGTGATCTCCGGAACCAGGAAGCCTTCGATGTGATAGTGGGTGTTTCAGTGGTATCCTTGGACCTGAAACTGAGATCTGAGTGTTTCCGGCCAAGCAATCTTGATGATGATTTCGGCCTGAGAGGATCAACAGCATCTGTGAAGAAATCATGCTCCATGGCTTGTCTCGAATTTGGTCGGTTCTTGGGATCCCACATCAGGCACCATGTTACGAAGTTACTAAACGCCAAAGACCACTGTGGAGGCTGCAGGATCGTCTCCATGGCATGAGGGGCCATCTGTAAAGGTCAGTATAAGGCACAAGCCATACAAAGGTTGTGAAAACCTACCTTTGGAAACGAAAAGCCGAGCTTTTGGGCCAACTTCGTACCCTCTCTCCATTCACCGCCACCAACACGGGTGCCAGACTTGGTGTACCAATTTCCTGGGCTTCCCATGATTTCGCAAACCCGCCAAACTTGGTCGACTTCATTGCCTCCAGGAAACAGTGGTTTCAATGTAGCGATTTCAACAGCCATAGCACCAATGGCCCAGATGTCGACCGGCGCGGAATATTCACCCGCACGAAGAAGAACTTCAGGAGCTCTGTACCATCTTGTAGAAACATAGGTAGTGTAGGGTAATCTTGAGTGCGTCTCTCGAGCCAGACCAAAATCCGCAATCTTTATCGAATACGTCGGAGGTGTTGATGGAGGTGTGACGAGGGATGAATATCTGCTGAATGAAGATTGCGAATCGTGAGGTGCGGATGTAGAGACAAGAATGTTTTCTGGTTTAATGTCGCGATGGAAGAAGTGGTGACAGTGGATGTGCTCGAGACCAGAAAGGATTTGATAGAGGATGCTCTTCACACTTCGGGCATCCAGGCATTTGTGGTCGCGGGCTTTCATCAATTGATAAAGATTACCATCCATGTACTCCATACAAATATGGAGCTTTTTGCTGAACGGATCGAGGAAGATGTCAAGGGCAGGGACGAGGTGGGCATGTGTCGGCAGGGTTCGTAGGAAGATGACTTCTCGGAGTTCTAAGCACGGTGAAAACGACTCGAACGTCTTCTTCATCGTCTTGATGGCAACCTAGGAGAAGATTAGCTTGGATGCACTCAAATGAGGTCGTCCTTCACTCACCATCGTATTCCGTCGAGCAACACTGGCGCCATTTGCCCTAACTCTGGCAAGATGTACACTCCCGAAACTGCCATCTCCTATCTCCTTGATCACCTCGAACCTATCCTCCAGGGCGGCCATGCTATAGGAGGAGGGCCTGTGGTTGTAGTCGATAATAGCCATAGTGATGGTTCAGATATTCTCTTTCCAACGTCTCGCGGTTGATTCTTCTGATCAACAGTAGGAATATCAACCAAATTATCTCAACCAGGCTGCCTGGGGCCCTTTTGGGGGTGTCTGTGAAGCCTCACAGCGTCATTTCTATGTATATCTGTCGTTGAATGCTTTTACGTCTCTTCAGGGCTGTTAGACAGTCGTCGGAGGAGTGGTTTGTCGAGCGGTCGTTCGATCGGGGTCGAGAGGTTTGTAGCGAGCGTGAGGCGATGGAACAGGGAGGGTAAAGTGTCGAGTCGGGCAGAGCTTCAAGAAATTGATGCTGAGGACATAGGATCCAGGTCGACAACGCTCCAGGTATTGTAGCTAAGGGAAGCTAGTTCGGGAGGAGTGCTTGTCGGAAGCAGACCCGCAAGGGGTCGTGCTGGGAAAGTGGATAGACAAACCCTCCCCTTTCCTCGTACTGGCAGCGTGGTTCAAGCCTGCGGCATGGGAGAACTGTAGTGTAGGGGGTAAAGTGACAGATGTTTTCGGTTATGTTGACGAGAGTGCTCAGACAATTTGCTGTGAAATGGGAGGCGCGTTCCTCCTTGTATCGGATTGGCAAGGGGTGTTGGCAGATGTGTGAGAAGGTAGCGGAAGTGGCAGGCCCGGCGTGCCACGACGGGCTTAATCACCGCTAAGACGTAGGCTAGGCTGAGGAGGGTCTGGGAATTGGGCTGACGCAGGATCTCAGTACTGTACACGGCGTACGAGTAGGTATCTGATGCTGCGTTTTCTGGCCAAGGCAGTAAGTAGTCGGTGAGAGAAAAGAAATTGAGGCGACTGCGGGTTTTTCTTTTGGTTTCCCTGAATGTATGTGCGCGATGAGTGTTGGCGGCGGGTGATTCCCAGACCAGCGGTGACGACAATAATGGGTTGTCAGCAACGCAAGCAGCTGGAAGATGCCTGAGATTGTGGCCTTGGAAGGGAGAGCGCCCGGGCTACGGAAGCTTCTACTGTACTGTCCTGCGCAGTCCGGAGTACCATGACGGCCCGGTAAGGCAGACGGCTGCTAAGGATCTTCTCGGTCGTGTGCTGAAGACGCCAGTGGCGCTGTGGTGATGGAGCCACTACTGTATTGTACTGTACCGCAACATTCCAGTAAAGAGCATGGGCTCTTGGGTAGCGCGTTGGGGCTGTCCAGGACTAGTGAGTCCCTCGCAATTCCGACCCAAGCAGCCAGGTCAGCGTGGCCCGTCCTGCACGCCAGAATGCTTCATCCCCAGCGCCAGAAGCTGCGGAAGCCGGACACCTGCTAATTCATCGCCCTAGCACTCATCTCTGGTAAGTCGCGCTCCGGCAACCGCAACTAGGCTGCCTACAGGACCCCGTAAGTAGGCACCTAGGACATAAGAATACTACAGTACGGAGTCTCCATCCAAGGATAGCATCACAGTCCGCATCTCACCGCCCAGCTGGCTCGCGGATCGCAGCTACGTATGGTGAGCCCAGATCCACGCGATGAAATGAATTCGATGTGTTGGCTGTTGAGTGTTTTTTCGACAAGCAATGACAGATTCCGCGTCTGCAATCGCGCAAAAAACAGCTGAGAAGTGAAGGGTCAACAACACCGCATGCCATGGTCGCCGCCAGAAACACTCCTGTCTCATTCGTGGGCAGTCGGCGAATGTTGTCGTCACTTTCTGTCACACTACAAGAGAACGACCTCCTCACTGGCTCTGGGAGGTGAAAAGACAGCTAGAACCAACAGTCATTTCACGGGGGGAACGGGTATGGTGGCAGTAGTTGGCCAACCTGTTTGAGCAAATCACACCTGTGGCGAATAACGATCGCCCATGCAAAACAGCCACGAGTCGGTTCCTGATGCAAACCCTGTCTTCCCTTGGCCTCTTCTCGTTTGACCGTCTTGCGTTGGACAAGCTAGGTAGCCACGGCCTGGTACTCCGCGTGCACCTGTTAAAAGGCTTCTGGGACAGAGACCACGAGGACATCTTTCGAAGCCACAGAAACATGGATATCTACCAAAGCTACGGAGTATATAATACTGAGAGACTCATGAGAATCAACGCGCATACGGACACGAATACTCCCCTGACAATTTGTGATCGTCAAGAATCCTGGCGAAGAGCACCAAAGTTGGGAATCCGGCTTTCGCCCCCTGGAACTAATGACGACGGGCTCTCGTTCCTGGTTCAAGCAAATGCGCGATGCCAAATGCAGGATTAGCCTTGACCTTGTCCCTACTTTGCTCTTGTCGCGGCAACCAGGAGAATGGGTCGGGGCGCTGCTGGTGCCGGCCAACGGTGCAGTTTGTTGCTGATCAAATCTCCAGTCCACCTTGGATTGGCTTGAACCTCTTCCACAAGTATTTTGACCTGGTACGTGTGGAGTGTTTGCTTACCCTTCCGCCTTGCTTTTTCACTTACAGTACGGAGTAGTGGCGCTGACGATAGATACCTCGAGTCGAGTGGGCCATGCTTCTGGAAGTTTGGGGATCCGTTACGGCGTAGTATTATTACCAGTAGATTTGTCTCGAAAAATTGGCAAAGGTAGTGCCACACTCCAAAGAGATTACTTGGTGCAGCTGCTGAACTATAAGGTGTCCATAGCGAGTAAAGAAACTGAAAGTTTGCATTAATATTGGGACCGACGCTTGGATGTACTTTACTCTCTCAGTTGTTTGTTCAGCTTACTCCGTACCGCAAAATCATAAATTCAGCTCAAAAGCTTCGGATCACAAAAGCTCCTTAATTTGTAACACAATGTTTCCGGGAGTACCCAGCATCGTGACACCCCCAAATTCTAGGCTGTTGCCAACATCTCGTCTTTTTTATGTGAAGCAACAGGTCAGGTGCCTGGATAGGCACCTGCTCTCCATACGATAATAATGTCTCACACGCAAGCAAACTGCAACAAAGGCGCTGCCAAGAAACGTTGGTTGCAGTTATCAAACTTGGGTCTCATATTGCAAATCAGCCTCATAGGAGAGAGTTATGTAATGTACCTTTATTGACTTCACCAACACCCACTGCAAACTTCCAAACATGTTCTCCTGGATCGAATCCTCGCTATCCCAGAAATGATGACCCAGGAAGCCTCGTAGACTTAGGTCAAGGCTCTCCGAGAGATGAGTCGTTGATCAAGTCACAACTTTACTCAAACCACCCCACCACAACCTGTGATAAATTTTGATATATCCAGTAGTGTTTCAGTGACCTGGAATATTGCCAGGATAAGGGTCTGTTTTTCTTCAATCACACAGTCTCTGAATGTGTTGCCTTGAACCCCGTGACAAGGCAGGTTTACTTGAGATCTAATGTGTGATAGGTTCCGCCGCATTTGTTTCAACTTCACTTTCCCTTCATTCAAGGCGACGCTTGACAACAATTTCAGTCTCTTCTGTCTTTAAAAGCGTCAAGAGCGTTCACAACTTTCCTCGTTACACAAACAAACTCGATTATCCTCCGCAGCAGGTGCTTCTGGGGGTGCATCTCTTGCCGGAAGCCATGCCTCGCAAACAGACACCTCATTGGCAAAAGACGCCAGACTCGTAAGTGTTTCTCATTCTATCATCGCTGCGTTACCTGCGTCTCTCAACGACTTTGCTTCCGCTTTCTTGCGTGCCACTCCTCCCTGCGATTGCCGACTCCAGCGTCACCATGACTCCTGATACTAACCGTTTCAGCATCAACAACGTCGATGTTGGTAACATGTATGTTCTTCTCTCCAACTCAACAGATCAGCCAACTCATGATTTTACAGCATTGAATGTGCCAATTGTTCCAGAAAACTCTTCCGTTCCCGATTCTCCAACAATCAATACAAAAGATTTCAATCAGAAGTTCTACATGCTCGTCAGGGCGGACCACCAGCACAATTACCGAGATGCCAGGACTGCACCGCAGGTAATATCATGGAGTTGAAATGTACCTCATGTGGTTACACCAAAGCTATCGACTTCTTCTCTGGCCAACAACGGAGACACCCAGACGAAGCAGTGAGTGACAAGAAAATCTTGGCAAGGGACATGCTGACAGGCTCAGAAATGCATCAACTGCCAACAAGAAATCCAAGATCGCCTTCCCGGTCTGAAAGAGTCGGCTGAGGAGGAGCTGATCAGAGAAGAAATCAAGTCAAAACGTATCGATCCTATGTCTAGTATGTCGGCCATTGGTTCTTCTCAACCGAGCATCGGTGGTTCGATAGTCCCCTCTCAAGAAGGTGATCAGAACTCCTTCACCACGTTAGGGCGTGTCAGAGTGCCACAAGAAGGCAGATCGGACTGGGGCGAGGACCACCAGAGCCCGAGACGCTCACCATCGCCATCAAACAGCGAATTCTCCGGTTTGAACTCCATGTCCGAATTTCCCGCCGCCAAGAGGGGCTTCCACAAGGTTGCCGCATACAAGACCCCAGTTTCTGAACGCGCACAGAACCAGATACAACGCGAGTATCTCCAAAAAGCTCAAGCAGAGCATGGAAAACAAGACGAATCTGATGCCGACGAAGACTGGGAGCTTTGAAGAAGACCATCTCAGCTCGGTGATGACCGACTTGGGCATCAGGCTTCCATTCCACCTGACCTCTTTCCCTGGAGCAACTTTGGTATTCATCAGGTGACCATCGTGTATCACGATTCGAAGAAAAAAGGGCCACACAGCTCGTGGCCATCGATGTGTCGAAAAATTGGCGCAAAGATATCCGGTTTTGAGGCAAAGCCCTTGAAGATGGGAGCAACACAAAGCACGCCGAAGGAGCTCCACAGCCTAAGATTACTGTGTGCACATCTGCGAAGGTAGAAAAACAACTGCTATCTATCTAATGGATGTTATCGAAGAGCATGATGTCGTTTAATTGTCCGCAGTCCACAGACACATAAACATATGATTGAGAAGTAATGTAGACCTGAGTAAGGATGGCACTTAGTAGCTCCCTGAAAAGGAACCATCGTCTAATTCGAGCCGGTTGGCTACACGTTCCTAGGCCTCAGTGTACACGGCCTCGTCAGCCTCGGTGAAGTTGTTCTGGTGGCGTTCTCGAGCCTCTAGCTTCTCAGATTCTATACAATCTTCTGGCTCCTGAAGGCACTCGTATAGCTCTTTGTACGAGACGAATATCTCACCCTCAATACCATTATCCTGTGTGCTGTCTCCAAATTCCGCTAGACGAAGTCTAATACCGAGTGTAGTGTCGTTTACAGGCTGGCCATCATCAAGCCGGAAGCTCTGTGATCGATCAGTATATAAAACGGCAGAGATCATGAAACTTACCTGATCGAGGATTGTTGGCTCTACAGCCCATGCTTCGTCGTTGGCTCGCCAGACGGTGAGTGTGGTCCGTTTGTGTTTCTTGTACTCCAGGTCTATTCCGATGACGACACGGATCTTGATGTCAGACCCCAAGGTGTAATCTTGTGCAATGCGGCGCAAGTCTATTACTTTTTGAGAGTTGGCGACTTCGATCATGACTGTTCTCGCTCGCGCTCCTAGTTTTCAAAAAGCGCTATCTGGTTCATGAACTCCGTAGCGCGCGTCTGAAGGGGATGATTCTGCTAGAACCAGTATGGCGGACATCTTTGGCGAAGAGCGCAGCCGGTTCAGGCCCACTTGAGAGTTCATATGTTTGGTGCAAGATACGCTTTTCGAGGGATGCAAAAAACACACCGTGCCGCACACCTGTACCCATTTGTACAACGAGGCGCCCGCTCGGACGAAAGTAATGGATGCTATGTCAATGTCAGCATGATGTATCTCTGCGTGCACGATGAAACAGACGTGACATACCGTAGTTTAGGAAAATTCATCTAGCAGTGGATTTAGTTCGGTCCATAATCTCTCGTCAACATTCTTGAACGTTTCTCCGTGCTCGTACTGTAGTTTTGTGATTTGTTGGAGGATTTCGTTTACGCGTGGCTCCTCTTTCTCTTTGATCAGGAGAGGGGCGGACGAGACTAAACTCGCAACAGGAGCGATCTCTTCAGTGTCGTGCACTGGTTCGTCCATCGTCGAGGACAACAGACCTTGAAAGTATTTACATACAATCGACGCGCAAGAGGGTAACATGCACCCACACTTGCATGTCGCAGTTGCTGTTCTGTGTTCATCCTTAATTGCTTGAAAGTTGCCTTTATGCAAACAAATTGAAACAGGCTTCACTCACTCTCGGCTCTTCGCATACCAACAAGCTTGGGATCATCTTCGGTTCCTCCAAGCTCACGGCTGCCTGTTACGTGTGCCGCTGTGACAGCAAACACTTCACCCGTGAATTCTAAGGAGCAGAAGTTTACATCGGTTGGACAGCTAAGTGGACGCGCTATCACTACTCAGGTTCACATTACTTCTCAACCAAAAGTGTATGTCTGTGTGAGAGAGAACCGTCAACGTTAAAGCACAACAATCGAAGCGTGACTGGTTGTCTCAGATGCTTAGACCCTCGGCTCAGTTGCCTAGTACAGACCTACGGGGGGAGTATTAGACGACTAGGGGGGCTCCCAACCCATGTTCGGTAAGAAAATGCCTTCGCCCTTCATTAAAGCCCCGAACCTGTTGTGTCATTTCTTAATATCAATATGAGTTGAAATGGTAACTGACAAAATACAAACAAGTCAAGAGAAATTGTTAGGGACAGAGAGAATGACGAGCAGCAAGGCACTAATCAGAATAGCAATAACGGCCAGGTTGTGAGCATTTTACAAATTAATCGCCTAAACAGCGAATGGCAATTGGAGGTGCTTCAGTGATATATCTGGTAGGTAGCCTTGTGCGTAATGCAAAGGTAGGTGTGCGTAATACTTATCGTCGACAGAAGGGTCTGAGCTGGGAAATGATATTATATCTTCTAAATTCACCTCGTCATTGTCTTGTCCAGACTCACAACAACACACGCACACAGTGGTGCAATACAGGTATTCCTTGAAGTTCAGCAGTCAGGGCAGTCAACACCTGTTTCTGTCATTGAGCCATGCAATGCATTGGGGGCCAGACGACGATCTGAAGGTTACATGGAGAACCCTGCTGTGGCTGAGGCACTTGCATTTGAAGACGCCCCCATGGCATGCATGTTAGATGCTGCCTGGGTTGACATGGTGGTAGTATCCCCCAGCTAGATACCCTAGAAAAATGTGTGGTTTACCATCCGTGTTGTACAATGACGTTAGAGACCTAGTTGCCTTTTGTACGAGTATGACTGTCGCAGATGCCTCGGTGTGCTTGACCACCCAAGATCGTGATCCGTCTCAAGAATTGTTCCATCCCTGCATCAAGGCCAAGGTGGACTTCGGTAACAGGGAACGTGAACGTGGGAGGCCCAGGCATTTGCTATTCATGGCACAGGGCGGGCCAAAATTTTGGAAAATGTTTGACTGGATTGATAGGGCTCGTATTCGTACAATGTGGTCCGTACAGTAGGTACCTTACACTACTACGACACCACCATCAGATAGCAAATAGACGTGGTTGATGGGCGTCGCTGGGTCGCTGTGGCTTCTCCCGTCCGCCTAGACTGCGCCCATCAAGAGACCCATGTTGATCGCTCGCTTCATTTCAATGCCATCATCCAACCAATTCAAGTTCACCGGTCACAACACTAAACATGGCCTATGACGAAAATATACCTCCTTTAGCCTCCTCCTACTCTGTACTGAGGCGCCGCTCAACTTCCACGCCTCGATTCAGCCCATTTTCAAACTCCATCATTCCAGGACTTCGGGCACATCGGATTGCTTTCGCCTGACAAACCGATAGAAGCGGTTTCCTCTTTGACGCTCCCCATTGTCCTCACAGATTACCACCGGCACGTGCGTACTAAGCACAACCTCCTTGACCAAATATTCGAGAGACGCAATCACCTGCCACGCAACGACGATCACTGTACAACACCTCCCGAGCCTGACGACTGACATCCTTCATTGTCCTATTGCTCCATCCTATCACCTTCCATCCTGCCCAGATCTCGCTCTCTTCCCTCTTTGAGGTATTTCACAGCAAGAAACCAGCGTCACTCTCAGGCTGCGGGCCACATGGCCTCGGCTGTGTGTGCGTCCCAGCTGTAAACAAATGCACGCCGGCTCCTCTCCAGCACTGCATACGCTATCACAATCTGAAAACTGGTTGAGACAATTTCCTGAATGCCCTGAGGACAAGATTTGTCTTCGGTGGGACTGCGGCCTCCCGAGCGATGGCTTCCACTGATGAACGTCTCCCATGTCGCTCGGATACCAGCAGCTTGAGCGACAATGGTGACTCGAGGCACCTCCATCCAGCCATGAGCAATTCCATATCAAGAGAGGGCAGAAGCGTAAGACCACGAGGATCTTCTAATCCTTCGCTCGACTCGCACCATTTCGATCCCTCCAAATATCATCAGGCCCGGCAACCTATAAATGATGCCATCACTTCTGCCTTCAATAATGCAGACGCAGCTTCTGCCGCGTCTATTTCCCCAGAGCTATTGCAACAGATTACTACGCAGATCACTGCCAATGTCCTGCAACAGTTGAAGGGCATCACCCTGTCTGCCCCAGCTCCTTCGGCACCTGTCCCTGGTCCGCAGGCAGACGTAGCCTCATCAGCAACAGGATCTCCTCCTCTCAATCGTGCTACCGTCTACACTCCTCCGACACCGCATCGCACCTCAGAAGACGCTGGGATGAGTCATTCCTCTCCTCAATTTCCTCCTCCGCCACCACCACCACCACCACCACCACCATCACAACAACAGTCAAAGGAGTCGGCTTTGCAGGGCGGGTTCCCCCCAGCTGAGAACCGGCCAGTCTCTCCCTTCAGCCAAGCTAGTCATCATTCTATTAGTGATGATAATCAAGAAAGAGTTGATCGGCCTAGAGGGCCGAAAAGAGTTGATACTGGGGGAGACGCTACAATCTTGGAACGTGTATGGGGCACCTTATTTGATGAGCAAGGCCAGGCCACTCCTCGCCTTGGACAGTTTCTTCGTGGAATCGCTGTTCATCTCGTCGAAGACTACGAGCCCAAAAACAGCTTGGTCGTTACCCCGACCAAGATGCAGAAGTACTACGAAGCGACCAAAATCTCCAACGAAACCTACCCCTGGAAAATCGTCTTCGATGACAGGACATCCTCCATTTCCCGAATGTTCAGGGAGATCGAAGCCGAACACCATCTGGTTCAGGAGAAACTTGGCGAGAGACCAGACCTTCCTGGTCTGACACCACGAGGTTTCGAAACGTGGGCGACTTTGCTCCTCAAGGCACACCCAGATCAGGAGTTTGAAAGATTGGCAAAGACGGCGCTGGATATGCCCATCAGCAACCCAGACGACAAAAAAGAGCGGTTTCCTAAGGAGATCTCCAGGCGCCTTTTCCCTAGCCATCCCGACACCGAGATAGCCTACAAGCTTCAAAAATCTATGGCTACACACTGCAACGTCAACTACGCCTCTCAACAGGCCAGCACAGCAAGTGTGACAGATCCCACTACAAGAGCCTCGCACCAGGGCCAAGCAGGTGATGATACACCAAAATCCAATCTGAAACCGGCCCCGGAAAACAAGGAACCAATTCCAAGTGCACCTCAGCCCAGCCCAACCTTGTCTCAGACCAGTCAAGATCGCACTCCACGACAACCATACGTAAGCGACGCATCTGACAATGAGGATAACGCGGTAGAGAATTCTGAGGACATGCCTACTCCGCAACCCATTGAGCGAGAACGCAAGCCTTATGTCGCTGCACCGGGGGGCGGAAAGACCTACGAGAGTGTTCGAGGACCCGGTGATGCCACAGAGATCAAAGCACCGCCGGGCCTTCCGCCACAGGAGGTGAAAATAGGACGGTCGAACTCATTTCATACCGCGAATCGTTACACTGACAACTCCAGATCGAGCGCGCCTGCAGTTTCCATTCACCAGAAGCCTCCGCCTCCACCTATGGATGCAGAAACACCTCGACATTACCGCTCTAATGGCACGTATCATCATCGGGAACAACCCAGGCCCGGTCGCAATCGTTCTCCTTCCATGGGTAAGGAAAGCGGATCTGCGTCATATGTACGAAAGCCTGACGCGGAATCAGCCTATGCCTCGTCACGTCACTCGTATAGTGCGAACGACCCATACGAAGATGCCAGACGTTACAAGGAGTATGAGGCGCAACGAGAACGACTGGCCAACGACCGATACGATGCCGCCAGGATGGCAGCGTATGACCCGAGGGAGCGTGAAAGAGAGAGACCGAGGGATAACAGGCCACGCATGCAATCTGTGTCTGCTCATGATGGACGTGCTCCACCACCATACTCAAGCTCGGTTCCCTTGGCTGATGAGGACTTCTATCGGGACCCGCGGCACGGAGGTAGTGCTTCATCGTACAACACTCCTGTGTCTATAAGTACTGGGTTTCAACCACCTCCGCCTCCCTCGGTGGTCAGAGATGCCAACTCGGTTCCAAGAGATGCCGCATATGGGTCTTACCCGTCGTCGGCAGGCTATCCTCCCAGCAGCTATCGAGAACTTCGCTAGCTTACGAACAGCGAGATATCTTTCAAGCTGACTCGTTGGATTTTGAGAAAACATGACCGACCTGTGACCGACACCAAGGAGAATGAATGACCTTTGAGATGATTTTTACATTGTTTGTTTTCCCCCAAAGAGATGAAAGGGGATGCAGGACCTAAACACCCGCGTTGTTTTCTTTTCGTCATGGCATTTTTCCTTTGTTGTGTGCGATATCCCATTTGCAAGCGATGACTGTCTTTTTTTGTTTTTTGTTTTCACTTAGGTTTCCATTGGAAGAAGAGCATGTGATGATGGATCTAGGGTGTATGTATCATTTGATGCTTTGATGAAAGCATTTCAGATTGTAACATTTGTGTTGAATTCAAGTGTATGGCACGAAACTGGCGTGCGTGTACACATTTGCCAGCTTTTTTCTCTCTTTTTCTTTTTCTTGTGTGTGCGTGTGTTTTTGTGTTTTTCCTTTTCCTCAATTCCAAACGTGTCAAGGAAGAAATTGTATTACTAGGCACCATATGTATTTATGTATATGTACTTACGACACGAAATGCAAACAACACCAAAAAAAAGACCATGTTACACTACCAAAGGACTTTTGGCGATAGGGATTACGCACACCCACCTCTGCATTACGCACAAGGCTACCTGAATACTTAGTCGTTATTACTGGCCTTGTCACTGTCTCAATGCTCGTCATTAAACTATTCTTAAGAATATCTCTTATCATTTAACTCATATTGATACCAAGGAATGACAATTGGGGAGTATTCCTGTGCTAACTACTATGGATAGCCTTGTGTATTATCCACAGGTGGGTGTGCGTAATACCTATCGCCTTTTCTTCCTATAATAGTGTAAGCTCAAGATGGTTAAAGCTTCAACGAGCTTGTCGTTATCCAGTTCCTGATCTCGCACCATCTCCACCAGGTCAAACCCCAGAATCCTCGTGATGCATGACATTTCACGGTGGAGTTGATCATCTCAGCAAAAACAGGGATGCCATGGACGGCTGGCGATTGGACGATGGCGACGGCAATGATGGTGGTCGATGCTCATCGCAGCCACTCGGTTCCGCACATGCCGCCGCGCATTCTTTTCCACCTCAACACAGTCAATCAAATCACAGGAAACGAGCCCAGGACTTTCTGGGAATTCTTTGAGCCTGAAGAACCGTGTCGACATTTTCTCTTCACCATGCCCAGGACTATGACTGACATTTCCCAACTACATTCACGACGACTTCTTCACTTCTCCGACCAGCGGCATTCAAGCTGAACCACGATGCCCATTTCCCCTTCGAGATCCTCCAGACGTTTCAATCTGGCTGCGCTATAACAGCAACTCGATACCAGTACATCATGCCTGCCGAATCTCTGTGACAAGAAGTCCGGTCACCCCACTATGGGCTACGACCATGCCCAACAGAAGGAGTTGCATCCTCCAGACACCGGCTCCAACTCCAGTTCGGCCGGGACGGCGAGCGCAAGTGACAGCGCCTTGCATAAGGAGGGCGATGGGCCAAGAGAGAGCAATCAGTCTATAGTCACAGAGGGCGACAGTGAGGGCCGAGAAGAAGAAGAGCGTAAACGTTCACACAGAAAACATCATCATGAAGTACCCAAGTTGAGGTTCCGGGCGGCTGATGATGACCTGCCCACGGACTGGTGGTTTGCGTCGACTGCCATACCTCTGCTGGCTGCTACTTTTGCTCCCATGGCAAACATGATTTCCATCGAAGCCTTGGTCGTCCCTTGGAGGAACAATGTCGTCGACCCAGACAATCCTGTACTATATCAAGCCACTTCGGTCGGGTACCCGGATCCGTCATGGTGTATTGCTCTCAACATTGCCTCTCTTGTCTGCGGGTTTGTGGGAAATTTTTTCTTGCTGCTGAATTTTACAAAACGCGTTCGTTATATTGTTGCTCTTCCGGCGACCATCGTTTTCTTTTACATCGCCGCCGGTATTTTGACCGGCATTACCGTTTCCATGTACCTTCATTGTCCACCGGGGCATAACCAAGTCTACTCGCAGGGATTTTGGAACGCCGTTCTTGCTGCTTGCCTCTACATGTTCAATTCAATGATCCTGATGGTCAACATGGCGGGCTATTTTCTGGGTCACTACCCTCAACACTTTACCTTGACCGACGAACAGCGTAACCTGATCCTTCAGACCATGATGTTCTTCATCTGGCTCGCAGGTGGAGGGGGCGTCTTCGCGAGGATCGAAGGCTGGGATTATCCAGACGCAGTATATTTTTGCGACGTCACCATCCTGACCGTTGGCTTTGGAGATTTCTATCCCACGAACGATCTCGCGCGAGGCCTCGTCTTTCCTTTCTCGGTGGGTGGCATCATCATTTTGGGTCTCATGGTCAGCTCCATCCACAAGTTCGCCGGGGAACTCAGCACCCTCAACGTGCTCCGCAAACATGTCGAGAATAGACGCATCAACACTCTGTCCAGGGTCGTCACTGTCGAGGACAACGCAGACGAGGACTCCCGACGACAGGACCTTGAGAAGGAGGTTGAGAAGGACTTGAACCAGGGTCGAAAGATATCGATCTCTGCCCCAATACCTGATCCTCGGATTGAGAGGGACCTGGATCGTGAGGCGCATGGTGGTATAGAAACGAGTTCAACGTCTCGAGACAATGACCAAGACCAACAGACTACTGGGCGGCAAATTGAGTTCGAGGATCCGAAGGTTGAGAATCTCAGGCAAGCCGATGGAAGTGAACCTCACCCTCGGCAATTTTTGAATCACGACTTTCACAGAGGTCCCATTCATGCTACGTTGAGACTGCTGGCCAAGCCGGTCTACGGACTGGCAAGAGCAAGGAGCAGGAACCATAAAGTCCTCCTCATGAGGGAGGAGAAGGATAAATTTAACGCCATGCGTGCTATCCAGGAAGACGCGAAGAAGTTCAAGAAGTGGTTTGCCCTTTTTGTGTCAATGATTGCCTTTGGCACCCTTTGGTGCATGGGCGCAGTTGTCTTCTGGCAGGCAGAGAAACGTACTCAAGGCTTGAGTTATTTCGAAGCCCTTTATTTCTGCTATGTGAGCTTGCTCACCATCGGCTATGGCGATCTTAGTCCCAAGAGCAACGCCGGCAAACCCTTCTTCGTGGTATGGTCGTTGATTGCAGTACCGACTATGACGATCCTGGTCTCTGATATGGGCGATACGGTTATCTCCAGCTTCAAGCGAGGTACTTTCATTCTTGGCGACATGACTGTTTTGCCAAAGAAGGGTCTCTGGCACGATCTGCTCAAAGCGAATCCCTGGCTGTACAATTGGATGAACAAACGTGTGGAGAAGCATCGACGAAAGAAAGGTCTGCCACTTTGGCCAGCTGGACAGAATCTTTCACCGGCCGCGAGCATCGAGGAGCTTGCCACTGAAGATCTCACCGAGGCGGATTTGACTCAGCGCTTAGCATGGGCAATTCGTAGGGCCGCAGATGATCTGCAGCACGCACCACACAAGCGCTACAGCTATGAGGAGTGGGCCGAATTCACTCGGCTTATTCGCTTCACCAGGAACGGTCTCGAGCAGCTACAGTGCGACGAAGAGACCGATGGCGTGGTGGATTGGGACTGGCTCGAAGAAAGCAGTCCCATGCTGAGTGGTCAGACCGAGTCCGAATGGATCCTTGATAGATTGTGCGAAAGTCTCCTCCGCCTGCTGAAGAAAAATATGATGGGCTTTGACACGGCGCTGGGCCCTTCTGCAACGAACATTTCCACCTACTCACTCTCACGACAGGCTACGAGGGAAGAATCGGCAGATGCAGCAAACGTCAGACAAGACAAGGGCAAAGTTGCAGAGCCCACGATTCCAAACGAGCGACAAGAGCGCCAACGACGCGCTTCTGGCGCCGATGCTGTCTTGGCCTTCTTCACTGGCGAGCGTCAAGGCGAAGGCAAACATGAGACGGATGTGCCACAATGGAGCTCACGCGCCAAAACCAAAGCAAAAGAACTGCGTGGTAGCGATTCGCGCAAGAAGCGACGTGGCCCCTTCAGCAGACTCGAAGCGCGAGTGACTGGCACTGTCGGTGGTGGCCGTGGTGGCGCTGGTATGCGCACGCTCAAGATGAGGCATATGAGTAACAATGCCAGGTCAGCGGAATGAACTTGAGATTCTTGCAACAATGTATCCTGTACTATCATATCTACTGGTTCGGAGGTGTAGATTTAATCTGGTTGATTTGAGGCTTGTTTGAGACCCTGTACGTTTATGGAAGAGATTTAGATGACAGACCAGAATCTGTCAGCATGGCGTATGTACCTCGCTGGGAATTCATTCGGTTTGATCTGGTTTTACGAAATGTCTTTTGCAAGTGACCAGCAACGGGGGATATCAGAAGAGGCTCTGAATATCTAGTCAGGCTGAAAACAATATTCCAACTCTTATTCGCCAAGCACCGCACACAACTTCACCTACCTTCTACGCCTTGCCATCTCATGCCAGAGCAAGGTAAACGAATAGCATATGGTGTTCTAGGCCCTGGACTGTGGATAGAACAGCTGAGTTGGATGTCTTTCAGCTGGTCACCTCCCCACATGCAAGCGAAGCCACACCGACTCGACACGAGCATATACCTGGCACAGCCTGATCATGCCTACACATGATTTGCTGCCGCGAGATATGACCTGAAAGGCTCGTATTGCTGTAAGCAGCAACAAGTCAGACCAAGGGAACTGTGACGGAGCCATGGCTGGCGTTGCAGATGCAGGTGTCACAACATCGTGCCTTCTCCCCATCGTCGAAGTCATATAAACTCGGTGCGTCTCTGCTGTGGCCTCGGACCTCTTCTCTTCTACCAAAATACAAAAGACACCCAAGGTAAATCCTTGATGCTCGACAAGATGCCACCTCCCAAGAGCCTTGCAGACCCCGAAGTACAGTCAGTGTTCGCCAGTGCACCTCCGAAGCATACATTCCATCCTTCCCCAGGTGGATGGGACGACCAAGTCCTCTACTTTCTGCTCCCAGATCGGTTCTCCAATGATCTAGAGACGGGCTACAAGGACCATACTGGTGCCACTGTCTCGAATGGATCGACGCCGAAGTACGAGCGAGGAGACTATGAAGATGCTATCCGTACCGACACTGACGCCGCAAAGTGGAGGACCTCAGGGACGATCTTCAATGGTGGCACATTGAAAGGTCTAAAGACCAAGCTGGGATATCTCAAGCGTCTTGGTGTGACTGCTCTTTGGATTGGTCCTATATGGAAGCAGGTCGCGAAGCTAGAAACCTATCATGGCTACGGTGTGCAAAACTTCCTGGATGTTGACCCAAGATTCGGAACTCGTGAAGAGTTGATTGACCTGGTGAAGGCAGCACACGAGCAGGGTATCTATGTTATTCTTGACATTATCCTCAACCACAGCGGCAATGTTTTTGAATATGTTGCCGACAATCCGCATTACAATGGTGATACATTCGACGTCAAGGGGTTCTACGACAAGAACAGAACTCCGGACATTCCACTCGCCAGAATCGACCCAAGTAGGTATATCGATGATTTCCCTAACGCCGCAATCTGGCCCGCCGAACTGCAAGACAAGGCGAACTTTACCAGAAAGGGACAAATCAATGGTGACGGTTGGGATAGGTCTCCTGAATACCTGGACGGTGACTTCTTCGATCTCAAGGACATCGCACTTGGATCCTCAAATCCGGACAATTTCTTCGCAACGAACGCACTGAAAGCCCTGTGCCAGTGCTACAAGTACTGGATCGCCTACGCAGATATCGATGGGTATCGTATTGATACAGTCAAGCACATGGGTGACGGACCAACAAGATATTTTGCCAGTGTCATCCACGAGTATGCACAATCCCTAGGAAAGGACAGATTTCTTCTCATGGGGGAGATCACCGGATCCCGTGCGTTCGAGACAGTGGAGGCCACCGGCCTAGATGCTGCCCTTGGAATTGGGAATGTCCAGGAGAAGCTTTGGCGTGTACCCAAAGGTCAAGCTAATCCAGATGAATACTTTGATCTGTTCCGGAACGCCCTCTACCTCAACAAGGGTAGCCATACCTGGTTTCGAGATAAGGTTGTCACGATGATCGATGACCACGACCAGGTCTGGCGCGGGGGTTACAAGGGCCGCTTCTGTTCTGAAGGCAACGGTGCCGACCTGGTTGTTGCGGCTGTTGCACTCAATCTGTTTACTCTCGGCATTCCGTGCATATATTACGGAACCGAGCAGGCTTTTGACGGTCAAGGTGGCAGCGACGAGTATATCCGGGAAGCAATGTTTGGAGGGAAATTTGGAGCTTTCCGCAACAAAAACCACCATTTCTTTGACGAGGCCAGCACCACCTGGATTGATGTCGCAAGGCTTGCCCAAGTTCGGAAGCAGGAAATGACTGTCCGCCGAGGCCGACAGTATCTTCGAGAGATTGCTGGTGATGGCGTACACTTTGGGTATCCCAGTATCATTGGTGGCTCGCGAATGCGGTCTATCATTGCCTGGTCACGATTATTCGCCAACGAGGAAGTTCTGATCGCCATCAACAGCGATCCAGGCAACCAGTTGTCCGTCTGGGTCACCGTAGACCGCGAGATTCATCCCGAAGGAAATAAGTTGAGTTTATTGTTAAAGACGGGAACCGGGCAGGTTTCTCCTTCTCTCGCAGTACAGTCGGTCAATGGCAGATCTGTCGTTCAGGTGACAGTGGGTCCCGGAGGTGTCGTGGTTTACAAATAAACCAAGTAATACTTGCGGAAAGCAGGAGACATGAACAAGCAAGGCAAGGATAGGATATGGCTAGTGTATGCCTCAAAAGTATCAATTGTGAGGGGGGACGAAGTAGCTTTGATCCCGTAATTGTTCACTTCTTTGCACGAATCGGAATCGTAGTCAAATTAAAGATTTCTTTTATGGTAATGTCACATTTAATGTTCATGAGGGCGCTACTATCAAATGGTCTTGGGCTCGTCAACAACCATGGGTTTAATATCATTTGTCGGTCCGTCCTCGACGACGTCGGCCGGCGGCGGCTTCTCGCAGTGCGTAGAAGACACGGCAAGCCCCTCTTCCGTTTCCGGCGGCCCGGCGTCACTCGGCACGGGCGGACCGGTGAAGGTCTTTCTTGCACTCACAAAGTACCAGGTGACGGCGACGCCCGAGAAGCCGGCGAAGACGACGGAGGCGTAGTTCATGCTGGTCGGGGTGACGGGGATGGCGACTGGCATGCAAAACAGGATGACGGCCAAAGCGATCCAGCAGAGGGTGGCGACGTTGACGAAGAAGCCGAAACGGTGGCCGAGGCTGAACCTCGCGTGTCGGGTGGCCCGGCGGCCTCTCACGACGTTGACCAGGATGGGGATCCCGTAGCTCGTGCTCAGGCAGATGGTGGCGACCCCGGTGAAGGCGTTGAAGGCGGCGGTGGATCCGAAGTAGATGAGACCGAGGAGGCAGTCGACGACGGTGGACAAGAACAGAGCCCAGAGGGGTATGTCGAACCGTCGGTCGACCCGGGACCAGATTCGGGAACCCGGGATGGCCCCGTCGCGGGCGAAGGCGTAGGTGCAACGAGAGGCGGCCGTCAGGGCTCCCGTCCCCGCGAAGAAGAGAATGCCCAGGATCAAAAACAACAGACCGAACCCGCCGGCGGCGGAACCGGTGACGGTCTTGAACAGCAGGCCGATGGGTTGACCGTTGGCGACGTTCAGGAGGATCGAAACGTCGGGGAGCACGAAGAGGATGGGGATCAGGTAGATGACCCCGGTGACGCCGGCGGCCGCGACCGACAGGACCATGGCCTTGGGGACCTCCCGCTCGGGCCGCTGCACCTCCTCGCACATGGCCGCCACCATGCCGTAACCCGTGAGGGTGTATGCCGCTTGGAGGAGTCCGACGAAAAACGCCCACCCGCTGGGCCAACCGCTGGCCGACGCGTCAAAGTGGGAAAACACAAAGGCGCCGCTTCGGCGGTGGTCGGCCATGGACAGCAAAGTCACGAGGATGATGACGACCGAGGCCGAGGTCCAATAGATACAGATCTTGTTGATCAGGTCGAGGTAGCGAGCCGCAAAGACGTTGACCAGCATGCACGTCAACATGACGGCCCAGAACATCAGCACGGTCTGGTAGGCGTTGGGCACGAAACCCTCGTCCCAGAGAGTGATGGCCGAGAGGACGAGTTGACCCCCGCTGAAGTTGATGGACAGGGTCACGGTCCAGTTGCCGATGAGGGTCAGCCAGCCGTCGATGTAGGACACCATGGGGGCCCATTTCTTGGTGCTGAGCATGGCGGACCAGTAATAAACTCCGCCCTGAACTTGCCATTAGTGGTTTTTTTTTCTTTCTTTTCGGCTTGGGTACTCCGTGATACAACGAGTCATGTACTGTCACATACGAGGATGAAGCAGAAAAACAACCGCAAAGGTCGAAAGCGATGATAATATAGAGGAAAGAGGAAAAAACTTACCGCGGTAGGATATACAGAACATATCTCGGCCAGGGACGAGGCTATGGCCAGAGATATCAACGACACAAACAACCACCCGTACAAGACGGTCACCGACTGACCGTCGGTCAGGGTGATGTACAGGGTCGTGCTCAGACCAAAGGGTACGGCCATGATGGCGAACGAGAGGCCCAGGATGGACATCATGCTCAGGTTCCTCGGTAGTTCGCTGACGTAGCCCAGTTTTGCGAGAGCGGCTTCGCTCTCTGCGTTCTGGTGGATGGAGCTTCGACGTCTCTCGGGCTGGATCACGCCCGAACCTCGCCGGGAGCCACCACCACCGGAGTGACGAGGGGTCGACGACATTGTTTTCCCTGGTGGCGGGAATGTTCTGTCGTGTACAGTACTGTACTCCGTAATCGTATGTCCAGCAGGGGGGGGGGAGGGGGGGAATGAGCTCCCGAGCTCTCAGCTCTCTCAAAAAGAAACAAAGGAGAAAAGGACGACTCGTCGCGAGTCCCACCACCACAAACCCCCGACGATACAATCACGGTATGTACAGTAACTCCGTAGGGGACACAACGATTATTCCCAGCAATTACCTCTTGGATTGTGGTTACCAACAAAGAAAAATGGGGGGGGGGAGAGCTTTCGACTGCGAAGGTCTGATGAATTGTGCAGTTCTCGCCATCTCGCTTTGCGGGTCTAGAAGGTTGCATTGGGTAATGGAATGAAAACAGAATTTCCGCTTGACGTCACTTGGTTGTAGCAAAAGATTAGGCGAAGATCGACAGAGCCTTGTCCCGGGCCAGCCTCGTTATATCGGAGAATGAGGAAGACGTAGATGGGTCTCCGGGCGAAGGGGAAGAGGATAATAAGGTTTTTGCTGCCCAACACATTGTACCGGGCCGGTTCGAAACAGAGGATCAACTGTTTTTGCTACTCCGTAACGAGGAGAGAGAGGGAGATGTTTGATTGAAAAGATGCTGGTCACGTCCGTAATTTGTTCGAATCGAAAGGTTAGGTTGTCTAGGGAGTATATTGCAAGTACTCCTTGATACTCCATGGAACATCGAGCAAACAACCATTGGCAATCAAGAGAGATTGGAACATGATTGACCCTTGACATCGAGTCAGGGTGATGGTTATTATTATTTGCTTTGCCGGACGGGGTTATCCATGTTGACAATGGCTTTAATCGAAATTGAAGGAATCATCTTTTCTCGTGCTTACAAGGGACAGTGACAGTGTACGGAGTAGAGCCAGGTAACTCGTACTCCGTACTTGTCCTCGTATTCGTACTCGCACTGCCCACCAACATGTACGGGAATTAAATGCGGTCATTACAACCCTTGGCACATTTTTGTATGCACCACAAACCTGCGAATTCTCTCGATTCAGGTTCCTCCATATCAACCAACATGGCGACTTTCAACGTTACACCAGGTATCATTGATTGATAAATTCAGCCAGCTCCTCCAGGGATCCTCTGATGTTACCAAAAGACCCTGGAAATATCCCATGCCAATTGAAGTCGTTGTGCACAAAGAGGAAATTCCATGCGTGCCGGGATTTCACCATGGGCCGTAACCTGGCCACACACCGATGAGTTGGCCAAACCCGTGTACGAAGTATTATGTGATGACTCTTTTGTGTGACGGTCCAGGCTCCAAATGTCAGGAAAACAGGTACGTCCACTGTTACTTCTATCAAGATCTAAACCCTCCATGTGATGAATACACCAAATTTAAAGCATAGTTCAACTGAGACATACGTCTTTGAACGAAAAACATTACCATCATCAAACATTCTGAATCTTCCTTCAACTTTTTCTGAGAGACTCTTTGGCAACTTGAATATGACTTTTTGCTAATTCTCGTCTACGCAGGTACGTTGCACAGGGTTCTTTGGGACGCTGTTGAGTCTTTTCTATTCGTGACCAATACTTGCTGGCCTGCAATGACGGACCTCGATCGCTTGAGAACTCGCCTGTCGATCTGAAATGAAAGCGAATCGACCCGGATGCTGTACTGATCGTGCGAAAGCCAAGGCCTGTACAGTTAGAGTCTGAAGCAGCACCAATGCCGATCAACGTATGGAGAACAGAGACCAGAGATTGCTAGCTGGGCTCACTGGACGATTTCCTGCTCGTTTTGTAGTCACGAAGAGTCATTCGGCACTTGGCACCCAGAGGTTGGCTTGCCAAATTGTCCATGGTCGCCACGTTGCACGACTTTTTGTGCCACTACAGCTCCGGTCTATCGGATCATACTCCGTGACCTGTGGCGGAGAAACTGTCAGCCGAGTATGTCTGTTGTGAGCTTCTCAGTTGACCCTCGAGGTCTGTCACCGATAGAAAGCGTCCCCCTTTATTCCGGCACGTGGTGAAGATATCTGGATCTTCGTTGCTTCATGAGAGGACTCTAGACGGCGCTGATTAAGCGTATCCATGAGATTGATAGCACAAAATGTGTCCCTTGTCTCAATGCCTCGTTATTAGCGCAGACGTATCAGCAATGTCAGTTACTCGAACTGCCAGCTTTCGATGGCGACAGGTACTACGCACATCCACCTCTACATTACGCACAAGGCGATAACTATCACTGGAGTATCCGTACCTCCGAAATATTATTCGCCAGGGAGATACTTTTGCAAAACGCACACGACTGGGACCAATTATGTAGTCATTATTACTATCCTTATTTGGGTCTCGGTGCTCGTCGTTCTCACTGTTCTCAAGAATGTCTGTTAACTTACTTGAACTTTGTCCGTTACTACAGTATTTAACTTATATTGACACTGAGAAATGACTGAACAGGTTCGGGGAATGCTTCAGTGATTTCTACCTGGTAGGTATCTTAGGCAGGTTGCCTCGTGCATAATACAAATGTGCCTTTCGATGATTGCCTTCTTTTGGCCCAACTGATCCAACCAGCTTAGGCCAGAGGCTGTGTTGTGCCAGTATAGAACAACATGCACAGTTCGCATATCCGAACGGATTTTTGCAAAGTACTTTCTGCCGAGCGGGCAGTGTGATGAATATCCGTTGCGCGATTATGACAACGTATTCCTTGCGCCCCGTTAATGTGAGGCCATCAGTTGATGGGCGACACGAACCGAGGACGGGTCACGAGGAGCATCATCCTGCGACGAGAGGCTGCCACGTCAATCATTGCCAGAATGCAGCATGCGTGCTCTATCACCGTCACAACAGTGTGAGTGGTTGAGCTGCAGCAAAGTTGGAGCTGTTGCAAGCGAAGCGTGGGCGGTCATGTCAGAACCAGACGAATGGCTATGGCCCCTGGTGATCGCAACCTGGTACGTCCTCGTCCACCCCAAGTCACAGAATGGTACTCCGTACCAGCAACGTATCAAAACTGTGGTGGACCGATGTGACGATGACGCTGACTCGTTGTCGCCAGCAAGCCTAGGTCGGAGCTAGATGCGTTGGCGGCATGGCCGGCGGGGGCCGCTTGGGGCCGTGATAGGTAAGTGACTGTGATATCCAAGTCGCTTCTCTGCAGCAGCTTGATGCACGCAGATGGGGCAGTCTGCGTGTTTTTGAGCATCTGATCCTGTTTCCTCCTCTCCCACCTGCGGTGTGACTGAGAGAAATGAGAGGCTTGGGTGGACTCAATCAATCCAAACGTGCCAACAACTCCTTGCCGTCTCGCATGCACTCTGGGTTGAGCCCACTTTTTTCGAGCAAACTCAGCCCACTTCCCTTGGATTTCCTTCCCACCGCCTTTCCCGCTCACCTCCCTCCCTCCCTCCCTCCCGTTCCTTTAAATTCATGCTCACCTCCCATCCCAGGGCCAGCACCCTCCTCAATCCAATTTTACTCCTTCTTCTTGCATACAGACGTGAAGAGCACCTCGTCGCCAGTGTGATCTCGACAACTCTTTCTCTTGCCCAAAACTTTCTCAACACCTCGTCAACACCACAAGGCCACAATATTATATACCCAGGAGCATTATTATCCCAGGACATCCACATCAGGATCCGGACATATCTATATCCCAGGCTCGCGTTGTTTTTGATTTCTTTTCTTCTACACCGAAGCCATATCCCAGGAGACTAGATCCGGAGCTTGCTCTTTTTTTTCATTTCAGCCAACAACACGACACCAGCAATAAACAATCCCGTGGATTAGCGTCGAGGTACTACAATCTTTTTTTTTGTCTGCTTGTTTTTCATACTCGCAACCCAGAGGATCTTGCCCAGCGGCTTGGAGAGTACACTTCTCTTGGCCGACAGAGCATCCACCAGCTCGTCAGAGTACCATGGTGCGCTCTGCTCACTGAGTTGTATGACCTTCATCGAATGGTGGGGTTGTCCTCAGCAACTAAAATGATGCATATATTCCCATACTTGAGGCCTTATTATCCCCAGGACAAACTCCACATGGAATCCGGGCAAACTTATCCCAGGACAATCCCAGGAAATTCCCAGGACTACTCGCCTTGCACCTTCTTGCGTTGGACATGATGTTTAGTCGACAATCTTTGATACGAGACTCTGAGCCGGACTCGGTACAAGTGTCATGCCTCGACAAGTGGACATCGTCAATAGACGAATCATGCTCGACATGGCTCCCCAATAATGATAACGAAGCTGAATGCTTCTGATCCAATGCCCAGGAATCTCGTTTGTTGTTTATCCAGGACATGGCCAGGAATACATCTCGTCGGCGACCATCCCTAAGACTTGATTGTCGCCATCAGACTTTACTTTCACCACATGTACATAGCCGGTTCTCCTGAACAACGTCGTCACATTGACCTATCATTGTCAACTCGGAAAACTTGTCTCGGAACTCGCTGGGTAAATTCTCGACACCTGGATCTGGTTTCAAATCGGCATTGTTTAATCTGGCCACAATTGTACCGTACTAGAACCCATCACAGGATATATGCACCTTCTTACCGGACGCGACAGGGCCGCCAATAACAGCTATCATCGACGAATCTCTGGCTGGACCTGTATCCGTCACTCGTTGCCTCACCCCGCCTCCTACATCAACACAGCAAAATTTGATTCATGTAATGATCCCCGTACTGACTTGTCTCGTGTCGACAGATCGTTCTCCCACTAGAGGATTTGTTTAACAATGCACGCAAGGAGCAGACAACCTTCAACTCACTTGCGCTCAACCCAAGGATCTTCAAGGCGGATACCCAGGAACAATCCAGGAGTGTCCCATCAGGAACCCATGGCTTTCACCTCTGCTTCCGTGGATGATTTCATCAATCCCAACTTCACCTTGGCTTCAACATGCGTGTCCATACGCCATCGCTATTTAGGACAACATGATGCAGTGCTACCCTCCGGGTACCCTGACAGTGATGATTTCATGATCTCGCCGACTTCAGCAATGAGTTACCCCTCTGTGACTGCCCCGGGCACTTATCCTCTCTCCGTGACTTCCAGCCTCAGTGGTTATGATGCCGACCCGGCATATGATGAGTTCTTGACAGATGATGCGCTGTCGAGCAACAACTTCGTGGATATGAATCTCGTCTCGTCATCACACTACCCAGGACAAATTCAATCCCAGGATGTTATGAACCATGGATATGTGCCATCGGACCTGTCATCGTATAGCCCCGGGATACTGAACAATGCTTACACCACGGAGATGCCGTTGGCAAACGCCCCATTGACACCACCACCCGAGGAGCAAGTTCACCAGGAACTATTCCACCACCAATATGTATCCACTCAGGGCTACTTGGAAGATCCATATCGCACGACCGAGGATGCTCCTCTCTACCGGGCTTCTGCCATGTCGAAGAACCCCAACGCCTACAGGTCAGCTCACTCCGTGACGTCGGCCCTCGCGACATGCTAACCCACCCTCTACGTAGTGTTACAAAGCGGATAACGATCCAACCAAGGCCAATCCGATCCGCCATTGAACGTGACGGCGCCGTGAGTGATTCCGGAAGCTCTCCTTCCACGGACATCCGATCTTCCCAAGAGGATCCATCCGGAGACAAGACCAGGGTCAGGAACAGTCCACTGTATGATGCCAAACCGGACGAGGATGGATACTTCCACTGTCCCATGGTCAAGGAGCACCAGTGCAAATCGCACAAACCAACCAAGCAAAAGTGCATCTACAAGTGAGTCCTCTCCAAACTCACTTGCGACAAAGGTGGTGGTCCTGTGCTAATGATATTGACTTGTAACAGCAAATACTTGGATTCCCATTTGAGGCCGTACAGATGCCGATTCACGGACAAGCCAGAATGCGAGGATGCCAGGTTTTCATCCAACGCCTGCCTCTTCAGGCACGAACGGGAAGCCCATGGACTCCACAACCACGGATTCAATCCCTTCTTGTGTAAATTCATGGACTGTGACCGATCCAAACAGGGAAACGGCTTCCCTCGCCGCTGGAACCAACGTGACCACATGAGACGTGTCCATGACTACGAAGAAAAGGAGACCAAGGATCGCGGCGCCGAACAGAACAAGAGGAGAAAGACCCAGGGAGCGCCCACGTCGGCCGCGATGAAGCGCTCTGCGTCGTCGGCTTACTCCAAGGCTCAAGCCATGGCCGGTGCCGCCATCAGCCCCCGGTATGGCGGTCGTGTCAACCAGGCACGCTACAATGCGCCCGTCATGTACTCTGCTCAGATGAGACCGGAAAAGGTCCAGTACCCCTCCAACATGCCCGACGTGTCTCAGTGCTTGCCTTCGCGATCCAAGGCCTATCCCGGATGAAATGTTGTTGTTTTTTAATGTCTTGTTTGTGAAGTCAAATTTCTCGGAAATCTATCTCTTTGACCTTTTGTCGTCAGCGCATCTGGAGATGATTTTTTCTTGTCTGCTGTTCTGCCAATTGCAAACCAACTCTGATGATCGTCATCAGCACTGGCCAACCTGTTGCAAAGATCCGGGGGTTTTCAAACAACATGCAACAGAAGTCAGTCTCTCAGTGCCCGTGAATGATTACTATTGTTTGAACCGACTTTGGGATTCACGAATCAGTGCTGCACACACGTGTACCAGTCACTCTCTTATTATTCCCCTGGACAGGACACGCCCTCCGAGTCAGGGTGTCCCTTTGGATCATTTATTTCCCTGGATCAAGGCCAAATTTTATCATCCATGGGATCCGATGGACTTTGTTACATTATTCCGGACACTGTCGACCCAGAACAAAAAAAAAGGACAAAGGTGGAGGAAGAATATGTATGAATCAGGAAGGACGATCTTGTGGAATTGAAGGACCCTTCGCCATCAGTGTCCAGTTTGACGTTGTTGTTACAAAAAGTGCTTAGATGTAAACAGCCTCGAAGGCCATATTTCCCGGGTGTCGGTCCATAGCTTCAGGAATAGTACCAAAGGCAGTACATGAATGTACTCTATGTGCCATTTACGAGAATCTTTGCATACCTACCTGAAGTACCTGAAGTCATGCTTAAAGTACTTTGTTTGTTTTCCTAATTTATTACCCCGCGAGATTTTCTTGGGGAATAGTTTTCATATGCCTCGAATTCATCTCCAACTCATCATACTGCGTGATATTCTTTTTTAATTTCGAGATCCCATCTGCATATTTCGTTTCGATTTGGGAAAATAAAGGAGGAAGAAAAAGAATGCCCGTAAGTGTGACAAACCAAACTCTGTATATCTAGTCGCTCATCCTTTGTTTTCATAGCTCATAATCATCACTGGCCTCCCCTGCTCAGGCAAGACTCACCGAGCGCAACAGATCGCCGCCGACCTAGAGAATTATATCGCTTCGTCGGACTCAGTATCTCTGAAGAACAATGATAAGAAGAAAAAGACCGTACAGATAATTCCTTCACAACACGCATCTGCAGATATATCACCACCTCCACCACCTCCATCACCACCACAAACCAAAGTCGACGACAGCAGCAGCGGCGATCCAGAACTTGTGAGGGATCACATATACAACAGTGCGGCCCAAGAAAAGACGGCTCGAGCGGCCGAGTTCTCGGCGATCAAGCGGGCGGTGTCGAGGGACAATATCGTCATCGCGGACGGATTGAACTACATCAAGGGTTACAGGTATCAGTTGTGGTGCGAGGCGAAAGCCGCAGGGACAAGGTGCTGCGTGGTCCACGTGGCCGCTCAAGAGGAAGAGTGTAAGAAGTGGAACCGGGAACGTCAGAGGGTATGGGGGAGACGACGGGACGAGAGGGCCGAGGACGAAGATGGTGGGACGGGTAACGGCAACGGCAACGGCGACGGCGACGCCGGAGGGACAAAAAGGACAAGAAGCAAGGCACAGGGTGAGGCCGTCATGGGTGACCTAGTGCCGGAGAGTCACACGGCGATATACGGTGACAGGATCGTGGGAGATTCGAGTCTATCGAGGTCATCAAGTATGGATGGGTTCGGTGGCGAAGACGATGAACTCTCACGACCACGACCACAAATCCAACAAGACACCATGACACTCAAGAGTCTGTACATCAGCGACCGAACGGAGCGGGACCACTCAAAGGCCGGGGAGGGGGACTCGACCACAAACACAAACGCACCGACACGATCTGGAAATTCCTCTTCTCCTTTGGCGGTACCACCGAGTACCGACATGGTCCCTCCGCCCCCGACAGGTTCCCGACCGTATTCATCTTCGACCTTGACCTCCTTGATCATGAGGTACGAACCTCCTTCCCCGTTTTCTCGTTGGGACACTCCCCTCTTCACGGTCCCCTCTGCCGATTCCACCCCGCCGAGTCACGACATCTGGACGGCATTGTTCCCTCCTCGGGCGAAACCCACGAGCAAGAAGGCCCCGTCGCAACGACGGACCGCGGCCACCGAGTCGGCCGCGACCGCAAACTCGACTCGCACAGAACAACAAGACGAAAGGGGAGAAGAGGTGAAGAAACACGCCGCAACCGTCCTCCCCAGAGCCACCGGTTCAGATGCCCTACAGATCCTGGAGAACGCCACCATGGAAGTGGTCAAACATCTCCTGGCCAGAGCCAGGGAGACTGGTGTGGCAGACGTCGATTGTTGTGGGGATGTCGACCTCTTTTTGATCCCATCGACCACCGGTACTACCACCGCCGACGGCGACGCTCGTGGTCCCGGGGACGCCGCCGGAGGTTACGAAAATCTGACCCTCTACGTCCCTTCGACGGTCGCCCTGTCTCAACCTTTACTACAACGACTCAGGCGCACATACACGCAGATCCAGAGAGGTGGGATCGCCCACGGTCAAGGTTACGTCAAGGGTCGACGGGCGGTGATCAAGGGATTTGTCGGATTTCTCGAGAACGAATGGAACGATGACTGAACGATACTAACCCCCCGTGACGCACGTGTAAAATCAATGAAAGAACCCGACGAAAATAATAGTACCTGGGTGAATGTTGAAACGAAAGGTTTCGACTGTAGAACTACTACTACTACTACTACTACCACCACCACCACCACCACCATCGCATATCAGGTGGCGTCATGTCGTGAAGGGGAAAGTAATGTAATCCAACTTGATACTTCATACGTTGATACTTAATATGGGACTACTTCATACCTTTGGGGAAGAAGAATTTCCCCAGGTCATTTCTGAATTGAACGCCAAATCTTTTCACACCGAAGCAATGCATCGTCCAAGAGGGAAATCCCGCTACCCAGTGTCCAAACAAAAAAACATGTGAATATCGCCCAAAAACCAAAACGTCCAAAGAACCAAACATTCTCATATGATAAGAACCCTTGACAGGCGCAACAAACAAAAAGAAAAAAGCCAAGTAGGTGCCGATTTGTTGTGTATATTCCGTCTAAAATAAAACGAGGTCGGTCTAAGGACAAGCTTTGAATCTGGACATTCGGACGTTCGTTCCCTTATTATTATCATTGACATGGCAACATAATCATCGGATTGGTCGGGGAGGGGTATAAAGAAATAAATAAGAAATGTCGACAAAAGCTATGAGACGAGGTAATGAGCTGAGATGAGAATGAAAATAAATCCCCGAGGTAAAGCGTATATGGTCGTAAAGGCGTGAGTTAAAAAAAAATTGTGGTGTGGTTGAGTGTGGAGGCAAGACAAAAACTTGTCCTTTGCAGTAGGAAATTCAACCATCTGCGTGGTAGACTCGAGATGTGGTACCAACTCGCGTGTGGTGATGTTCTGTCGGAGAAAGAGAGATTATGCTCTGAGTGGTGTCATCATATGTCAGGGACATGTCACGTTTTAATTTTCCACCCTCGGAGAGTAGATTTTTGAGTCGTGGGCTGAGGAGATTACTGCGTGCTGTTTATCAGATGAATGCCTCATGATTCGACAAACAATCCCGAAAACGACCCCAGCAACAATTTGTATGTTGCAGACAATTAGCGTTTTCATGGCCGTGTCTCGCGAAAAGAAAAACTGTTGGTCTGAGTTTCGGCGGCGGCTGCGGCTGCTGCTGTCTATAGCGAGACGTCACCCAGATCTCTCATGAGACAGGCAATCTGGGCGCGTTTGGCTGCCTCGGCAAGAAAATCAGGTGGCAATTGGCCTGGATTCAGTGCCTGTCCGTGGATGGGGTGCTCTTGCGACATGGAATTGGTGTGTGGATGTAGCTGGTGATGCATCTGAGGTTGTTCCTTCTGTTGCGATGGTCCCTGATACGATTGTTGTCGTTGCTGAGCCTGGAAGCTGAGGTGGGATTGCTGAGAAGAGTACGGATTTGGTTGAGAATGCGATCGGGCGAAAAATGGCTCCAACTCTGCCGTCGATGGCGAAGGTAAAGGAGCATGGGCGTAGGATTGTTGTTGCTGCTGCTGCTGTTGTTGTTGGAGAGGCATGAAGAGCGATTGCATTTGGTGCTGAGGCTGCTGAGATACTTGTGCGTGTTGCGGCTCCGCGGCTTGAAGGCCGTCACTGACAGGACTTGGGTGCGAACTTGTCGATGTGCTTGAAGACTGTGAGAAACCGCGTGCAAATGAAGGCGCTGGAAGATTGTTTCTATGTTGTTCTTGTAGATGTGATATCCGAGCGCTTCGTCTTGGGTAGTTGCTCATTTTGTAGGTGTGGCTTTTGGGGTCGTACGCTCGAGGATGGATTGTTTCAGACCCAGCCGCTGAGCAGGCGGCTTCTCCCTCTCTCTCCTTCGACCAGGGCGAACTTTTTCCGTCAGATCGAGCGCGCGGCTAGGAAGCGAAAGGCTGATAAGGAGGAAATGTAGGCGGCGGCGGCGACGACGAATAGCACGACGGATCTTTGTTTTCTATCCTCGTCTTAAGGAAGAGACTCGTGTGTGTGTGTGTCGGGGCGCAGGCGATACGAAAGGAAGAAAAGAAGGTTTGGTGTAACGTTGGTGGGAAGAAATGCCGGGGACGGAAAAGTGGCAGGCTTCGTTTTGGAGAGAGAGAAGGAATCAGCCAGGATGACAGGGGCGATTCTCCAAGTCGTGCTGGGCTATAGTCTGGAAGGAACTGGGGGCGATGCTTGTCACGAAGAAACCGATAGATCGAGAGCGCTTCCCGGGAGGAGGTGGGATTGCTGGATTCGGGTGGCTGATGGCAGATTTCGTGGGGGAAGCGGAATTGGGATGCCCGTGACGCCTGGAGAGAGAGACGATGGTGCGGGGCCGCGGCTATTGGACCGTTTCCTGTCAAGAAAGCAATTGAGCCGGAGAGTGAGAGCGCTGGATGAAGGGGCGACGGGTAAATGAAAGATACTGCGAAACGATAGTCCACGGTCTCTGAAGATGGTTGCTCATTAATTTCAAGCAAAGACTGCGATTTGCGGCCCTGGTGGAAAATTCACGGCAGTTGGAGGAGCAGAAATACTCGTTTGGTACCCACGACAATGACGGACGCACACGGGGAGAAGCGGGACGGCAAACAATACTTTGTAACTGAAGGTTCCAATATTCCGCATGCTGCTCCGATAATTTCCCGGTACGAGTCCCATAGTGTACACGGTACGGAGGAGAGAGTACTTTGTTTCTGTTTGCAACTGCTGCCTCGGGAAACTACTCCGAGCTGATTTCCCACAATGAGATACTGTGAGGATCTCTTGCTCATTACCTCATGTTGGTCTTGAGGATCAGTACTCTGGAATCTCCTGTTGAAACTAGTACGGAGTATGTGAAGAGTAAGATCAAACCAACAGCCACCACCACCACCCCTCCGGAGGGACCGCCGCCTTCTCTGCCTGCGAGGATGGCCTGATAGATGGATGACGTTACCACAAATTCCTACTATGGAGTCCAACATCTCGGGAAACTGTCCATTGAATAATCAAACCGACGAGCAGGCTAGTCAGGTCACAGTTCCCAAGATCCCACGCCGAGGTACAAGTACGGTTTACCGATATGACTGCTCCGATCTTGGATGGCGAAGGCGATGGCCAGAACGACTTCTCCGATCAGGAACAGAGCCTTATTTCCAGGGTCATGGTGGCAAGGAGCAATCATTTGAGATCCACATCCCTCTGTGAAAACATGCTCTATGGCAGGTCAGTACGGAGTACCTACTCCGTACTTTATCCGTACAGTAGGCTCGAATTTCCCGTATCACGTGATGTCAATATGCCAAGATTGATTCTCTGTGTTCGTTTCATTCACGACACCACATCTCGTTGTCGCGTGAGATCCGCCGTCGACGTTGAGCTGGTCACATAAAGGGCTTTGTTCTCCTAGTCTTGCCCATGTGCCACAATCGAACATGTCGCAGAGTGAAGGAGATGATGATGTTGCGTCACTAGACATATTCCAGGAGCCAGAGGGTTTTTATCAACCTGAAAAGCCTGCCACATTTACCACATATACCTTGAAGACTGGACAGGCCATCGAACTTCGACTTGTAGGACATAGTCCGCTTTGGGTGTGATCACTTTGCTAGTATGTGGCCGTCTGTGTCTAGCTAACTCCATCCAAGGGCCATCTGTTATGGAACGCCGGACAAGTCATTGCACGATATTTGGAAGATAACTCAACGTCGATGCTTCAGGGGAAGACGGTCTTGGAATTGGGTGCTGGAGCAGGACTTCCAAGTCTGGTTTCGGCCATCTTAGGGGCTGAGAAAGTTGTCGTGACAGATTACCCAGATCAAGATTTGATTGATAATTTGCGCTACAACATTGAGCACTGTTCAGTCCTCGCCGACAAGTTGAATATTACAGCACAAGGTTTTCTCTGGGGAAGTTCTGCTGAACCGCTCAAATCTCACCTGGAATCTGGTCGCGGTGGATTTGACGTGATGATCCTCGCCGATATCCTCTTCAACCACTCAGAGCACACGAAACTGTTGGCGACGCTACGTGAGTGCCTGCGATATAGTGCTGACTCGGTGGCTTTGGTCTTCTTCACTCCCTACCGTCCATGGTTGCTGGAAAAAGACCTGAACTTTTTTGACCTGGCGCGTAATGATGGGTTCGTCGTCAATAAGATTCTGGAGCACACCATGGACAAAGTCATGTTCGAGAACGATCCTGGTGACGAGGCCCTGCGGAGAACAGTGTTTGGCTATGAAGTGAGATGGCAGGTGTGAGGATCTGGTTTGGCATCTCAGACGTTTGACGCATTGCAACTGCTGCCCAATAACGAGTAGTACCAAATTCTTGCCCGTTGCATCCAATGTGGTGCAACATGGAAGGAACTGCAATCTATGCTTCTGTTATTAATACCTCGACTCCCTCAATGATCCAATCCGCAGACTCAACCATACCTTTACCTCGCATACCTAACGTCGCGGAACCTTCAACACCACGACAAACCAATAGAACGTGCACGGAGAAAGCAAGTTGTGCTACTCAGCGCTGGTACGCGTCTAGTCATATCCCTTGATATGCTATGGGCTAAACTCTGCGCAGTTGATATCCTTGTCTCGCTTCATCCCTTCGCAATGCCTTTCAGACAACGTATCAAAGAGCTTTTCGGCAGCTGCTTTCGAGAACCAACAACAGGCGAGGATTTACAAGCACCACAGCCATTGCCACAGCCATTGCCAGATGTCGGTAAGGACGACGGCGTCTGCTCTCCCCGTCCAGCATTCACAACTGAAAACACCCACCATCCATCAACCGGTTGTCCTCACACAGACCTATACATCCCGTTCTCTGCGATAACTACATATGTCAAACCAATAAATATCCTCCCCACTCTGCACTTGGCACCGCTGACACTCATCACTCTTCTGGTCCTCTCGAATCTCATCGCCGTCAGCGCCTTCGATCTTGCCTTTGAGAGAGACCTCGGGGTGGTGGCTTCAGCTAACAGTCTTTCAGAGCGCAATGAGCCCGCAAGAGAACTGCATCGAAAGCCACAAGTACGAAAACATCATACAGTTGGCCCTCCTTGGTCATGCCCATTCTTCCCTGTGCATCCACTACCTCCTTTTGGAGATCCCTTCGTTCCTGGCTTTCCCAATCCCTTTCCAGGATTTGCCGGGCATACGCATTTTCCAGAACCAGTCATCACTGTCCATACTTCCCAAATTATCACAAGTATCCCAACAACATCAGTCGGTGGACAATTCACCACTGCTCTCTCGCCTCAGCCCTTGACAAATACCTCTCAATCTGTGACGTCCGATGCATCAACTTCAACAATCTCAGATACCGACACCTCCGGTAGTCCAGCCAGTGCATCGGGTGCATCTCCAGTCTTTGGTGTTTCGTCCACGTCGGCATTCGCGAGCTCTGTTGTCCCCTACACCTCTTCGTCTTCAACAGCAGCCCCAAGCACAAATTCTGACTCCAGCACAATTTTCAATTCAAACACAGCCTCTAGCTCCACCACAGATTCCAGTTCAAGCAGCGCTTCCTCCGCCATCACCTCAGTCACAACTCCCGTTCCAGCTAACACTTCGACTTCGAGTGTTTCAACTACTAACCCTTCTGCACCCGCCCAGACTTCAGACGTTGTGCAAGTCGGTAACCAATGGTTAGTCCCTGGAGTCGGCACCTTCGATAATCGGTCTTTGTTTACTTTCGACCAAGGATTCCCCGATGGACTGCAGATCAGCAACTACAGCAATCATCAGAGGGGAAGCGGTCCATCTCCTGAGATTCCGTACAACCCTACATTTGACCCTGCAAATGTGCAAATCGTGAACGGAATGCTAGCATTGACCGTGCCTGGAGATCAAAACCCCAATAACAGCACTGGCTGGGAAGTGAGCAGTGCTGAAATCACGACAGCGGAGTCGAGCATCCTATATGGCAGTGTTCGGACAAAAGCCATCCTCAGTCCAGTGCCGGGGACTTGTCACGGTCAGCGGCTTCAATTGCTGAAGAAGAGTGAGGTAGTTGTGCTGATGCTTGTAGGCTTTTTCTTCTATCAATCCGACACCCAGGAAACCGACATTGAATACTTAACGGATCCGTCCTCTCTGTCGAATAACGGACCTGGCAATCCAATCCCCATCTGGTACACGAATCAAGCTGTAAACCCCGAAGACGAAGCGGCAACTCAGGCTACGGGCCCCGCGCCTTCAGACTGCACAACAGCGGTTCATGAATACCGACTCGATTGGACATCGGACTACACCGCATTCTATCTTGATGGCAAGTTCCAGATGAAATTCACCACCAACGTCCCAAGCGAGCCAGGTCCTTGGGTCTGGAACAATTGGTCCAACGGGAACAAGGGTGAGGAGCTTGCCATATCTAAATTTGTTTCCACTCAGGCTGATCCTCTTATACAGGCTGGTCAGTCGGGCCTCCCTCCAGCGACAACATTCTCCTGATCAAGAGCATTGACATGTACTACAACACGGATTCTGGTGGTTCTGGCCCATAATAGAATGATTCTGTGGAACGGTGATTGTGGCGATAAGAGAGAGGAAATATTGGCGCCACAATGAGCGTGCCCCTATGAATATTGCATGAGGCTACTCTTTGTGAAGACTGAGTGGTTGTGGCGAAGACTTGGTGGTATTACTTATCAGTACTGGTACAATTGATAGATGTACAATGTCATCCTTCTTTATCGGATTTACAACGGCGTTTTCCATGCATGCCTAGCTCATCATGTGCCCTTGGAAGTGACATTATTAACGCTAACTGGTTTGTTGCCTGCCCTGCGTTCTATGTGTTTGCTCCAGCACCGGGGCCTATGGATGAACGGAGAAGCACGGGAGTTTTGCCGAATTTTATCTTTGCAAATCGGAATGATATGGCGTCGAAAGATTAGCTCGCGAGTAGCTTGCAGTGTACCGGCTAGTTATCTCTGCACGAGGAGCGCCGTCAATTCCTACGATTGGGCCGGTTCGAGGTCAACCTATGTATGTACGAAGTAAGCATCAAACCAACCCCCACTCAAAGGCATGTGGCAGTTGTCAATTATGGAGATCAGCGAGAGATCCCAATGTTTGTTGGGCATCATCATCACGGTCATTTCTTTTTGTGTTTGTTTAACGCGTCCTTGTCCTGCGATGTTCTTGTTCTTATTCTTCTTCTTGTTCTAGTTGCACTTTTTTTCTTTTCTGTGCTTGATCGTGGACCTGATAAGTTGCTGTGCGATCACCCTGGGGGGCCAATTATGTCAAAATTCAATTGCTTACAGGCGCGTTCGTGGGATATCGGACGGCCGTGGCATTTTCCGGGGAATATGCAGACCCAATGCATGACACCAAGGGGTGGGGATGCGATGGGAGGCAGGGATTGTGGACAGGTCGGCGTCAGTTAGAGTCCGAGAACACGCGGCGCGTCCGATGGGAAGTCTAGCTTCGATGTACCCAGTAAGCTGGGAGCAGAGTCAGTCAGTCAGCCAGTACGGTAGTATTTGTAGTACTCATGGTGGCGGTGGTGGGGGGGTTGTGTGTTGTGTTTGGTCATTTACCCTTTCACCCGTAGTAATGGCCGTCTCAGTGTTGCAATTTCGAGGCACGGGAGTGGGACTTTGATGATGAGGGCCTCTGGATGGCAACGTACTGTACGACATTTGACAATCTGACAGGGTCTTGTGTCTGTACGTCGATCAGAACGAGGATTTGTAGTTGTTTGTTACAGTACAGGCGCCAGGTACTCCAACATGCCTGTACCAGAGAACTAAGCCGAGGGTCCCGATGAACGACGGTTCGCTAGGCCAGGAAAAAGCGTGGGCGCCCCAACAAAGCCTAGTCGATGGCTCATGCGCATTGGCTTGGGAGAAAGAGAGAGCGTGTGTGTGAGGGAGTGAAAGAGTGAGAGAATACCTAATTAGAGCTAATCATAATGACGCCAAAAGTTGTTTGTACTGCGAAAATCCCACTCTCCCCTCACTCTCATCCCACCCTCGCTAAGAAACATCGAATTCTTCTCCTACAATACGAGCTGTACAGAAAGAACGTCGAAGCAGAGAGTTTCTCGGTTCCTGTCCCCTACGCGAAAACCCGGGTTCGAAAATGATCAGTCTCTGCTTCTTTAGACCATACAAGTACTCGTGTTATTGCTTCTCTTCTTTCTTGGTCTTCTAGTCTTCACACATGCATTCATTATTACCTTGTCGCGGACTTCTGAAACTTACCACACTTTCCAGCATTCGTTTCCGCACCTAAAAACCTCGCCGGTCCCCTCGACCCATTTTTTCACCCGCTCGAGCCGTTCATTCTATGCATAAACATTACCCTCTGGCCGATTCCCCTTTGCATATCTATAGGTCGAAATCTCGCAATCAAACGGTCAAAGGCCAGCGTCTCCACGCGTTGCCCTTCTCGTATTCGCCAAACACCGCCTGAGATCTCTCGGCCACGGATATATCCCTCCTCCTTCGTCGGTCGCACACAATCTCCTCAACCGATATTCTTCAATGGCACTATAGCCTCACCAGCCTGCCCTCAAGCCTAATCACTGTCACGCCCTTGGCCGTTACAAACGAACGCGACCTCCGAATCTTAACCTCTTCTTCGAGACAACAATCAACTTGGTCACTCTCGCTCTGGAGAGACCGCTGCGTCACGCTCGGGGAGTGCAACAAACGAGGCTCATCGAATGGCGCATACGATTCGTTGAGAATGTCTCTATAATTCCCCTGACACGAGGCCAACCTCTACTCGAATCTCCACTCTCTACACAACCACAAATAGTACATTAATACTCCAAATATTCAACATACACAAAATGTGCAAGGCACACGTTCTGCGGTTCTGCTGTGGGCATGGCATCCTCATGGGCTTGGAGGTGTGCAATGTCGGACCATGTCCGATACTGAAGACAACCGGGCTCAAGCTGCCACAGCAGCCGTACAAATGCTACAACTGCCAGAACCGAATGTCCACCACGTCAGTTCAACCGACCTCTCCACGGGATGGTTGTTCGTCTTCTATTGCAAGTCTAGACTCCAACTCGTCAGGACCTTCTCCACCAAGTTCACCTCTATCGAGAACCAGCACAAAAGTCATGGCTCCTCTACCCGGCGTCGCTCGCCAGCCTGCCGAGTGCGCTGCCTTTGGCCGAAGGTTCACTCGAACAGACTCTTTCTCATGCAAGAGCTTCTCCTTCTCTTGCGCATCATCTGGTCACTACCCGGCGCCTCACTACATGGGTCTCCCTACCCATCTGCCCCATCAGAATCATCCCTGTCCGCCCTGCCAACTCGAGGATTTGCGGATGAAGTCGGACAGGGAGGCCATCCTACGAGCCAGGGCGGAACATCCGCACCTTACCAGTGAGAAGTTGGTTCGGAATAACGGGAGGCAATGGGAAGAGTGGCAGCCCAAGCCAACACTCGAGGCTTACATTGATGAGAAACGATCAGATGAACGGCAGATGTGGTTATTTGTCACGAGAAAATGGACCCAGGACCTGAAAAAGTCACGAGTATTGGTTGCCGAGGAAGACGGGCTGGGTTTGCTCGGATAGGAGCTCTAGTTCGTTGACTCGACAACGTTCATGAGATATGAGGCGTTCATCCTAGAAAAACGGGAGGCTGTTGTCTTTAGCTGCGATATCCCTGGGGCTGGCGTTGGTGGCAATTTTTAGTGCCCTTGCTGTAGTATTGCGGCGGCAGTCTCGCGCTACATTAATACCTACCTAAATCTTTGTGGTAAGCGTGCGACAATTCGCTCTGGGGGGTTTTCTTCTTCCTGCTCGAGTTTCACAAAGGCACGTCAGGCTGCATTGTGCATTGTGCATTGTGCCAACATCAATTCTTGGGTTCTAGTATGACGAGGCCAAGCCCATTTGTACCTGCCAAGATCCGGGGTAAATAGCTTTATTATGCGCTGTGCCACTTGACCGGACGATCCCTTCTTCACCGTCCTTTTGCTATCTTTCTTATTTTACACACCACACCGCGGAGTACAGACAGCGTTGTACTGTCCAGAGAGCTGTAGAGAAATTTTAGAGCCATCAGGAGCTCACAGGTCTAGTTCTTTTGGCACGACCAAATCCAACGAGCTAAGCTGGGGTCGACTAGAAACATGGTTTCCGACACTCAACGTCTCATGTGAGCGAGCTATTTTTTTGTGTTTTTTTTTGGCGACGACAAATCCACAAAATTCCGTTGGTCGTACAGTAAGAGTAATTAGTACGAGTGCATTACTTCCTCGTCCGAGAGAATCGGTAAAACTTGCGCGCGCAGTTCGTGCCACATAGCCGCTGTCTAGGTAGGATTCATGACAGGCTTAGGTACGCGCCGTTGCTACTTGGTCTGGGCTGACTATGAGTGAGGCCGAACGGCCGGCCTCTTGGCTAGCTACCTGTCTACTGCACCCAAGGGTGTTCGAGGTTTGTATCGTATCCGTCCCTCACCAAACAGTTCGCAAACCAGGAAAGGTTTTTCTGAGAGTGTCCTATGGTCTGTATCGTTGTCCCCTTACAATTGTTGAAGAAGCTCTGCACTCGATATCATGTGCTTTATGCAGGGATCATGCGGTTTCTTGCTTGTCTTTTGGAAACCCCTGCGTGTTCTCATACTCATTACGTCTGGAACTCTTTGTATCCGCCCCCATCACTGCGTGTCCACCCAAGCCACAAGCCTAGAAGAAGACAGAAGAGGATGGTGTTCATAGTGGTCGCAACACACCCGCATGCCTCTGCTAACTGAACCAGGGTTACATACGTCGAAGCCACAGACACGAGGGGGCCCCCTTTTGACATCAAAAGGACCTTGGAGATGGCCAGCTAACCTATAGGGAAGGGAAATTGTCGCAATGTGGCGGAGCTTGCATACGCAGGAGCCGGTATCCCGACAGGAATCAACCCAAGGACAATCACTATACACCAGGTCACAAGCTCCTGTGGCTATGTTTGCCTTGCCTGTGCAATATTAGCGCTTCGATTTTGCTGACCTAACTCTGCATGGTTGGCGTCATTGAGGCTGCAGAATGATGGAGTGGTGTTGAACAGTCCTATAGGTATAAGAATGGAGGCTCATAGCCCTGTTTTTCTGTCAAGACATATTGTACCATCCGCAGAAGTACCCCTTCCTCGGCTGTAACTCCGTTCTCACAGACTATACACTCAAGTTCTTTCCCAACATGGCCACTACCTCCAACCTTTGTCAGCAACTTGGCATCAACCACCCTCTTGAGCAGGCCACCTGCATAGGCTACGCAATAGCCAAACCTACATGTGGAAATGCGGTGGCTCGAGGCTCACGTTCAGAAGCGGCAGCTGTGTTGAAAGAGATCGCCCGGAAATTGACAGACGGGATCGCTCCAACTTATTTGATCGGGCATCTCGAGAGGGTTGCCAGCCTTCTGCACTGCAAAAGAAATCATCAGGATCAGGCTCCGGCCAAAGCCAGGACATGGCAACTAAATCTAGTGCAAGCGACTACTCGTGAACCCAGAAGACGACAACACTCTGAGCACGAGATGGGGTCCGAACGCGGCAGCACTGCCGGTAGGCGTCGCCAACCGAGCACTACAGAATTACTCCGTTCATGCCGGACCAAAGACTTGCTCGCTGAAGTTTCCAATCGACTCAGCAGGAGGAGAAGGTCGAGCACGATGGTTGAGGCCATTGAAGCGCTAATGGACAAACATTACGAGGCGACCGGCACCGAGCCTGGCCCACCGTTCATGTATAGGCCAGAGATTTATTCCGAATCATCGACTGATGAAGATGACGATGATGACTCTGGTTTCTACGGATCCAGAGCGCAGAGCGAAGACATGACCGACGGAGGCGAGCCCGACGACGACAACGACAACGAACCACTGCCTAGCTTGAGATCACCCAGCCCTCGTCGTCGTGGTCGAGCCTCAAGAATTACTAGTTCCATACGAGGTTCAGTGAACGCAAGTCAACACGGACGATCGCACTCTCCATCACCGTCAGTCCAGGACGTGTCTCCTCCTACACGATTGGCGAGCAGCTCCTCAACATCGGCGGTGAATGAATGTGGCATCTGCTTGACCTCACTGGATAGGACGAGTGAAATATGGAGCTGTGGGACATGTCGGAATTCTGCCCACGTTGATTGCTTTGACTCGTGGGTAGCCAACTCTCCCGATACCAATATGAAATGTATTTACTGGTAAGTTGAGCGCGTGACACCATGATTCCTTGCAAGAGCAATGAAACGCCATGCTAACTGGGATTTTATCATAGTCGGGCGCCGACTCAGACATGATTCAGTATCTGCTAATCAAGGGGTCCACATCGCGGGTACTTCGTTCAAAGAGTGTCAGGTGACAAGATGTCTCCTGAGCAATACTCGAGGACAGGCCTTCTCTCATGGCGAATGGAGTTTCAAGGCGTAGTGAATTCTCTCTGGCATCTACTGGCGGGAATGGAGGGAGGTATTGAATACATCTACGCTTTGTTTTGAACATTGTAATTATGAGTAGGTTGGAAGTTTCCGTATTGTATATACCGTAACTCGCACATTGGATATCAGTCTAGAGTGTTGATAAGGTGAGTGTGTCACTGGCTGCCGTTGTTTCATTCGCCCAAAATAATTAAATTTAATGTGACGGTCAGAGTCAAAAATTGTTAGTCAGCGAGGGACTTGTTGTCACCAGGTGGGAGAGGAGTGACTTTTGTCAGACTGAATATTTACTCACGACTTCTGTACAACAGGCAACACCCACTTCAAGTCCATATGGACATTCATTCATCACTCCCTCTGAAGGTGAGGATCACGGCGAAGACATTTACCCAAACTTTCCGGTTCACTCGGTGGACCACCTACAACTACAATCATGCAGCTCAAGTCGTTATCGACACTCCTCGCACTGCCCGCCGTAGCCTTCTCCTTCGCCTACCCTCCGTCGGAAGCCGAGGCCTTGCTTGAACTCCAACCCGCTGATGACACGATCGCACTCTCTCCCAAACTCGTCATTATCCCGGAAGTCGACGAAGAGCCTCTGGAGGTACCACCGCAAGGTGCCACGCTCACCAGGGTCGGTCCGCAGCGTGCGTTGCCTGCGCAGAAGCCTGCGGCGGAGGAGGAGGAGACCGACGACGAAGACGACACCCCTCTGCCAGTGGTCGTCTGGCACGGCCTGGGCGATTCAGCGGACGCAGAGGGATTGAAAGAGGTTGCCGAGTTGATCGAGCAGGTCCACCCGGGGACGTACACGTACCTCATTTCAGCCACGGGCGCGGCGGGGTCCGCGGACCGCCAGGCGTCGTTCTTCGGCAACGTCACCCGACAGCTCGACCACGTCTGCCACGCGCTGGCCGAGGACCCCATCCTGAGGACCGCCCCGGCGATCGACGCCGTCGGGTTCAGCCAGGGCGGCCAGTTCCTGAGGGGCTACGTCGAACGCTGCGGCGGCTGGGCCCCCCGGGTGCGGTCGCTCGTCACCTTCGGCAGCCAGCACAACGGCATCGCCGAGTTCCAAAAGTGCGCCAGCCCGACGGACTGGGTCTGCCGGGGCGCCAACGCGGTCCTGGGGGGCGGCACGGTGTGGTCGGACTTTGTGCAGTCCCGCCTCGTGCCCGCGCAGTACTACCGCGGCGAGACGGACGACGACCGCGCAAACTACCTGGAACACTCCAACTTTCTCGCCGACATCAACAACGAGCGCGGGGCCAAGAACGCGACGTACGCCGAGAACCTGGCCGCCCTGGACAAGTTCGTCATGGTCCTGTTCGACGACGACCGGACGGTGGTCCCCAAGGAGACCGGCTGGTTCGCCGACGTCAACATGACGGGCGGCTACGCCGTGACCCCGCTGAGGCAGAGGCCCATCTACGAGGAGGACTGGATCGGCCTGAAGAGGTTGGACGAGAAGGGCGGCCTGGACTTTGTCCGCCTGGCGGGGGAACACATGCAGTTGCTCGACGACGACCTGGTCCGCCTCTTTGCAAAGTATTTCGGTCCGGCCGGGAAGAAGTTCGGTGCGTCGTGGCCAAAGTGGGAGCCGTGATTACTCTTTCTTTTTGCTATTTCATGGTTCCGATGGGCGTATTGTCACAACTTTTGTTATAGCAAGGTCGCCTCGGCGATCGATATGTCTAAATGATACTACTGTAACATCACCGCCAGCCGTTCAACCCTTTTCCTTTCCTATGTGTCATTATAAAGTGCTCGACATTCGACACACTTGATGGAGAATCTTTGTTCGGTCAGTACGGAGTACTGACCGAGTCTCTCAGTTTTTTTTGGTGCCTGATCTTTTGAGGCTTTGTCTGAGCAGTAGCTACTATATGGTCAGAGACCCTCCCACGAGGGGGAATAGTATCATCCATACTACCCACCCCTTACATGAAGGGTAACAAAACTAGTATGGAAGAGGGAACTACAACTCATGGTCAAGTGAAGACTGCAAAATAGAAAAGTCGTCGCGACTGACTCTCCCATCTAAGCGTCGTGGGCTTGTTTCGGGGGTGGGTCAAAATGGCTGCCCAATTTTTAATCGTTTTATTTTTCCCTTTCGAGGAGAAATCTGATGTATGCACGCTGAGAAGGAAGAAGACATCTTTTTTTTTTCTTCTGGCGCGTACCTCTGGGAAACGTTATACCTACGTGGGTAAGTGGCGGTACTGTGTGCGACTGCTACGATCAGACTAGCCACCTGTCTAGGTAAGGGGGGAGGTGGTCCTCCATGTACTTCAGGAACGAGGTCCGCGTTGACTCTCTCATTTGTGAACAGCAAACAGCGAACGTATTTTCTCTCTTCTCTTCTTTTTCCTTTTTTTGGTAAAGAGACAAGTCCTGAAGAAACCAAAGCCCAACCCAACTCAACCCCAAATAATCCGAACAAGAGACAGAGAGAGAGAGAGAGAGAGAAAGACTTTCATTGTTTGGTCTCTCCCCGGGGGAGTGATTCCGCCGGAGCCTTGCTGCCTTGCTGCCTTGGTGACTTTTTTTGGCTGTTTCTATCCGCCCTCTTCTTTCCTTTCTGTAGAAGAAAAGACATTCATGACTGCTCATGCCCCCATTGTTCTCTCATTCCCCCCACTTTCTTGTCCTTTTCGCTCACCAGAAGGCAACATTGATGATTGCTGTTCAATGTTGTTGAGGTGCAATACCCATGGGAGAGAAGGCACCCCGCGGCAATGCCATGCATTTGATTGTTTTTGGTGGTTGTTCCCCCCCCCTCCTCCCAGAAAAGCCCCCCTAAAAATGGAAGCAGGCAGATATGGGGTGATGTGATTGTCAAACAGTGACAAAGGATCATCCTCGCCTCCTTGTTGATGATTGAGGGCAGTGGCCCGAAGAACACCAACCAGGAAGGGAGAGAAAGAAAATCGCTTGGGCAGAATTCAAACAAACAGAATCACGACACCAAGGAGTTTGATGTTTCCTGCCCCTGGGAAGATTTTGTGATGGAATATAAATCCTGTCCCTCGTGACGAAAACGAAGAGAGAAGAAGGAAAGAAAAAACCCAAACCCACACCAGACATCAGACATCAATAGAAACAACGGCAAGAATATTGCCGTCCTTCAACACCTGTCTGCTCTGCTGAACAAACAACGCGTCGGACGCAAAGGCATGCTCGTACTGCCATGGCCCATCCATCTACATCCGAGAACCTTTTGGCTCGAACAGCGGTCCACTGGGCCGAATACCGTATCAATCGACAGGCTGGTCTCTCCAGGGACGGCGATCTATCCGAAATTGCCCGAAACGCCTTGGAGTTTCTCACCATGACGGAGTGCAGCTTTGTCCATATCAAAACCGACGTTCAGGATGTTCTTCTTCACTGGGATGTGTTTGGAGCCGAAGGACCGCCAGAGATTGAAATCTTCACAAGACGTCTTGTTCAGCAACAGCCCGAGGCCGACAAGTCCAGCTTCATCGCAGAAAATGCATACACTGCAACCAAGGTGCGATTGCATCGGAAGCTGCGAGAGATCATCACGGGCGAGGAAGTCATTTCCAGTGAGTACATGGCCTTCCCTGTCTTGTGGTCGACTATCATTTCGGCTGTTTTTTTGTGGTCATAGTCACAGCACGCTAACCTGAGTTCGTCATGTAGACGCCACAAGCTACATCAAATACTGAAAATTCAGTATTCAATGTGGCCCTGGACGCAAGAGAATGCGTCATCGTGGCGTTCCGACCTTGAATTCCCTCGAGATACCCAAGTCCGTGCAACCGAGAAGATTGAGATGGGCGTCAATGTGTGGATGGTGTGCCGATTTCCCCAGCACGAGACCAATTGCCCGACGATAAGAGAGGCAGAGAGAGACCCTTTTTCCTTTGAAGAAAACAAAAGCCAAAAAAAGCCAAAAATAGGGGGAGAAAAAAAATGAGAGAAGTCACAAAGCTGGCTGCGGAACACGCGCTCATGGAAGTCCTCGTATTGTTAGACAAGCTCTGTATGGTTGTTTGAATGCTGAAAATCATCTTTCCAAGACTAGTACCCACACCTCTGTCAGGTAGGGAACGCTCCATGCGCACAACGTGTGGACCTCATCCTGGCCCTGGCGAGTCGCAGTATGTAGCCTCAGGGTTTTCCAGAGAATTTTGACTCCTGACGATTCTGTAAAGTGATACGTTTTTTCCAGTAAACGAAAGGGGTCAGAAAAGGAGGGGGCGGCCATGTACAGTTGGCGTTCAACGTCTCTTTTCAACCTCCCGACGCTGTTGATTCTCCTTCATAAGCTTCCTCCAATCCCGCGGCGTATGCTTCATCCTGACTCCGGCATCTCTCGGGTTGATGTAGCCTCCGGCCGGGTGGCATCTGCAGAAGGGCCCACGAACGTAGCCGCCGGGGTGGTCGTTTGGATCTTCCGGCTCGTGCTCTCCCTCGTAGTTACGCAACTTGGCCTCAAAGACCTTCCAGCTGTACACTTTGGATCCATAGTGGTCTTCTTTCAAATCGGGATGGACCCTGTCCCAGACACCACGGAAGAACCTCTCCGTGGGGCCGCCGGTCTTCATGACCCGGAATCTCTCTGCCCACCAGGGATAGAATCCGGCCATTTCCCAGTCGATGATGGCCTCGATCTTGTCGTCCTTGACGATGATGTTGGTGAGGTTCAGATCCGCGTGCGTCATCACGAAGGGCGCATTGTCCGGAATGGTGTCTTTGACTTCCTGGAACCTCTCCTCGAGGACCTCGGGGTCCGCGATCCCGTGCCTCGCCACGAGGCACCACCGGATGTCTCCGGCAAGGTTCTCCAGCCACTCCTCGTCGGTGAAGCCAATGTCCACGCACCAGGGAGGATGGTCGGGGTCGCATATGCAGGTGAGACAATCCCCCAATCGGTCGCCGTTGACCTTTTGTGGGCGTGGCGCCGTCAGCTGCCGCATGTGCTTGAGGATGTCGACCATCTGGTCCTGATAGTTGCGGATCTGTCGACGCGAGAGGGTGTGCCAGATCGCCATGAGCTGCTTCCCCTGGGCCCTCGACTCGACCGTGAAATTGATGGGTGGCGCGGGGAACAGTCGCATCTCCTCCACGATGGGGATCTTCCGACCCAGATGCTCGCGCAGATAGACGTGCGTCATGTACCCGTTGCCGGCCGTGCCATCGTCGGGGTAGTCGCGCAACACCCAGTGGGACCCGAGATCCCACAGGCCTATGTTGTATCGGACGTGCATGATCTTGAGTCGTGGCGAGTACGACCTTGACTGACAGCCGATCGTCCAGCCGCATGCCCAGCACAACTCATTCTCCCGACTGAACGTCTTGAGGAACGATTCGTCCGCCCTGAACGGGCATTCTTCTTCCGTCTTGCACGTGCTGGCGAGGCACCGGCAACCGGGCGCCGTGCCCGGAGGGTTCCGAGCCCCTTCGAACCGCTGGCCAGGCCTGACGTTTTTGTATTGGAGGTCTGGGCGGCGGTAATCATACTTGATGGGGGGATTCCCAGATTCGTAATCGACCAGCGGCATAGCTTCGTCGAAATGGAACACTCGCTTTGGTACTGTGTGTCAGGAAGAGGAATGCCGTTCAGCGGGAAGGGGGAGGGGGGGGGAAGGGTTGGTTTTATAGATCGGCCACGCATTGAGATTCAAAACGATGACCCTCGAGACCAATTGCTGTCCTTGGTAGATGGATTTGGAAATGGGACAAGGTCTGGAATGTTGCCTTGTTGTCACGCACTCGGCACATACCCTTCATGCACGTCTGAAACATGAATGCGCGGGCGCCATTTGCACTTGCCCTGCGCTCGCAACACGCAGCCTTTGGACATAGTCAGTCCATCGACTCAGTTACTTTCATCGATTGATGAGGCCTAGAGGTTGCGAGTTTGCACCAGGCTGACAAGAAACGAGACATCATAAACTGTCCACAGGGTCGATGGGTATTGCACGCTATACCCAAATAGTAGCCACTCTCTCTTTGACTGGAACGCGCCTATCACAGGCACTCCTCCCCCATATATACACCCCTCACAGGCATACCCTTTAACTAAACTCGCCTCGTCATAGGTACTCTCTTTACCTAAAAATCGACCCCAATTGGGTGTCGAGTTTTCATCAGTCTACAACGCCAAATTGACTATTTTTTGGAAAATAGATGGTAGCATATTGTTGTGCGTAATACAGAGGTGGTAGGATTTATATTCTTGCCGTCCACAGAGTGTGTTTGACTTCAGTTTGGGAAGTGGGAAATGTGAAATGTCGGAATGTGCCAGGGACATATGGAATGGAAACTACGGAGCAAGGACCGACAAACAACGTTGCAACAGCCTCCGATTACTACCTGGCAGTTTTACTTTTTAAGGATAGGTGTTGAGGAATTGTTTTGCTTCTTCTTCTGTCTCCTTTTTTGGGGAGGGGAGGGAACAAAAAGGCCAACTAAAAAGTACACCCCGGCCCCTTCCAATGCAACGGCACCACATCCTCGCCCAACCGTTCCATCTTCATCGATTTGGCGTAGAATGTCTCTGCCTCTTTTCCTCCTTGGTGCTGTCCGATGACCAACATGCACCTCCTGAGATGCTCCATGTCCCCGACCACCTCCTGTACGCATGAGATCAACCACTTGCCTAGGCCCTGGCCACGCCATTCCGACGAGACCCAAACGTCGGTTAGGTAGAAGAAGGTGACGCGATCCGTGATCCCTCTGGCGAATCCGATTAGTGATGATGACGACGAGTCTTCTTTTTCTTTCTCGCTAGAGTCAATCCTTTTCGTCGTGGTCGTGGTCGTCGTCGGTGCTATTCCCTGTATCGTCGTCGTACCTTGCTTGTTCTTCTTCTGCTGCTGCTGCTGCCGTCGATGAACCCCCTCGGCAATCTCATGCAAAGTGGTCGACGGATCCGGTGGTAGTATCATACTCGAATCCATCGCGTCAGCAGTACCGGGGGCTGGAGGGGGCGACGGCGTGGGAGAATACAATCCAAAACAAAACGAATGGTCCAACATGGTTCTCATTTCCGGCTCTGGCATCGATCTGGCCCAGTACATATCATCCGAGTCAAAGGCCTTCTGGAGCGTTGGGATGTGGATGAGAAACGGGTCCGTAGAGATCAAGAAACCATCTCGAGTCCAAGTTTTGCAGTGTTGAGCATTGTGAGGTGTTGTCGTTATCGTTCCGGACATTTTTTCCCGTCTTTTCGGCCAGTCGACTTTGTGTTTCGAGCGAGCATATAGAAGGTACTTTGGGTAGGTATATACCTAGAATTGTTACTACTCGAGTACTCGTCGTGGCATATAGTAAAAAATAAACTCCGTAACAATTCTTCTTCTCTCTCCCTCACGAAGGAGACGATTCTGAACAAGACTTTCCGGGGCAACTTACGTCACTACTTGTACATGCATTAGGGTGGACTAGGGGCCTCGGAAGCAGAAGTTTTTAAATTCACCAGAAGTACCAACAGGCACCGTACTCCGTACTGGTAATAACTGCGATTTCACGGCGAAGCCCGACTCCCAGACCTGATTTCCAGGTTGGCAACAACAGAAATCATCTCCCGTGGATTAGATCACTGATTCCTGTTCCAGTTATGAGGGCTAATGATAGGTACGCACGAGAAATTATTACAGACTATGAATGAACCATCATCAGTAAGAGTAGAGGCGAGAGAGTGTGACTGGAAGCTGAGTGAACAGAGAATGTGTTGAAATATCACGATATCTTACAGGGGTGAAGGCCTACAAGGGGGGTTAATGAGGCCTGAATATTTGGAGACCAGTGCCTATAATGCCCTTGAAAGACTAGGGGTGATACGGAGTTATCGGGTGGGCTTGTACGTCAAATAGGCACTAAAGACCTACTGTACAGTATTAGGTCAGAAGGATCAATCCTAATAGAGAAGGCTACCCGAGGGTGCGCGTTGTACCTGTTACCCTCCGTACTTTACCTACAATACATGCCTAGGTACCCAACCAAGAGTAGGGTAATTTAACACGGAGCATAGTACGGAGTATACTACGGTGTATTGTACAATTAGTGTTTCGAAAACTCCCTTACTATTGTAGGAGGAGGAGGAGGAGTAGATCCACTTGTCGACCCACCCAGAGACCCATTCAGACTCGACGGCTTCTAGAGATGCTAACGTCTGGCTCACCTCGATTGTCTTGGTCAAGTCAAGCCTAGCCAATAACCCTTGTTGGCGTCGTTGTTGTTGACCACCTCCCGCGGGAGTCAGTGGTAGTAGTGGCAGTAGCAAATTCCGGATTCGACAATAATGAAGACTCGTAGAATTCGAGTAGTTTAACCCCGGGTTTTTTTGTGTTGCCACGGCATCAGCATCAGTCTCGTCGAACCCTCCCTTGTGATTACCACTACCACTGCTACTGTACCTCAGGCGACCGAGCCACTCCTCAAAAGAGACAATCTTGACGTCGTAATCGCCACTCAACGAGCCATCCGATCGACTCCTTGTTTTCTGTTGAAGAGCCTGTTGTACCATGCCGACGAGATCGCTCCATCTGACAGTGGCAGGGTCGACGGCGTGGCAGACTTGAGCTTGAGAGTCTTTGTGTTTTGTGCCGGCGGGAGCAGCAGCAGCAGCCGAGTGGTCCCTTGTCGTCATGAGTCCTCGAGCAACTTCGACAATCACGGCTGGCAACCGGTCGACGGGGATCCAGCTGACGATCCCCGGTCTCAGGGACAACAACAACGGTCGACGGTGAGCCAGTTCCTTTGTAGCCACTGACGGCGCTGACTGACGAGATGAAGAGCAGGGAAGGGGAATGTTTGACAGTGGCCGCGAAAGCCACCAGGTTCAGGACACCGTCCAAGCTCGGTCGGAACGAGTGTATGCTCTTGTTGAAGTCCACCGGCCACGCGCAGTGGATGATCTCGGTCGTCGTGGCGTACACCTGCAGGTAGTGGTACTCGTACTTGTCCAGGCCGAGGTCCGGTCTCGACAGGTCGGCCTTGAAGAAAGACACACGCTCCGGTGACAAGTCGGTGGTCTTGAGAAGACATGTCGACTCGAAGGCCACCGAACGTTGTCTTGCAATCTAACCGTCTCGATTGACTTCTGCCTCATTCTAAGAGTCGGAGGAAAGAGAAGTGAGGGACGTCGAGGAGAAAACCCAATTTGGCAACTTCCACATTGTTGGAGCTGAAGCAGCAAGTCGAGGTAGGAGAAGGTGGAAGAATAGAGGCTGAGGAGGACTGTTGCCAGTCATCCGAGCCGTTCAGGAAGCCGACATATCTCTCTTCCCGTTATCTGATCTGTTGAGTAATGTCATCCCCAATGTCCTCTGGGCGCCGCGCAAAGCTGCCGGCAACCTCTGCCCCCGTCACCCCTCCCCCCAAACAGTGTCATACTGTTCTCCCCGCCAGTAGCCAGTCTATGAGCCTCAAAGATGTCCGAGTTGGTGCCTCGCCCGTGCAAACATAGGAACCTCATTTTCGATGATTGAGAAGACGAAATGTACCTGTAGCATACTGATTTTGTCCCACTGAGGCACACTTACTTGTCACTGTGCAGGTCTGGGCGACGCGGCCAGAACCAGCACCGCCGCCATATGCGCGCAGCTGGCTAAGGGTTTACAGACGACGCCGGAGAATATCGATACGGAAAAGTCAATCCATTCGTACAGGGTGGACTTGTTGATGGCCGTGGATATTCGAGGCTGGATTCTATAGCAGATCAAAGCCGACGTTACTTTGTGCCGAGCGGCCAGAATATTTGAAATCTACGCTGGCGGCCAAGATTACTACTACTACTACTACGGCTTCGAAACTGATTCCTGCGGGTCTATGGTAAGGATGATCTATACGCATAGTATTTGGTCGTTTGCGGCAAAGGCTCAATTGAATGCTAAAATCAGCCCGATGGTAATTTCAAATTGAAGTATCAGAATCAATCAAACTGGCCTCTTCTGAACCTCTTCCCATCGTTCTCACTCCGACCGTGACAAAGAGCGGGTGTTCGAACAATTTACTACCGGATGACTAGAAGTTCTCCACGTGCCACCACATACGGAGTATGAATCATTGAACATGTAGATGTGTAGGTTTGCAAAAGCCACAGAGAGGAGAAACTCTCATCGGAAAAAGCCTCATCCAGGGGACGATCAAACCTGATTTAGCCCTTGCTGATTGTCCTAGCCCTAAGGAATATTCGTACGAGGAAAGGTACCAAGTGTTGTGTACCCATCGTAAGGCATGAAATAGAGATTTTAGTAACCCTGCCCATCGAAGAGACAATATTGTGGAGAATGCCCACTATTGGTTTGGAGTATCTGAGGTCTCAGAGGAACGGGTGGTCAAAGATCTGGATGGTTCGCTCTCGACTCCAACGATTCCCATTAACGTCCCTAGGTATTCCGGGGTACTTTAGCTTCCAGGCTTTTGGCGAGGTACTAACAGCTTCTTTAGGAACCAATCCGGTACACGAGTGTTGAGGTCCATTAGCGTGGTGAGGCTGAAACCCGGCCCATTCTGTCCGAATACAGTAAATTCCTTTTTCAGCAGCATCTATTTTCCTCCCTTGATGCGCTCGCTGCTACTTCTACTATTACTACAATCAATGCCTCTATGCGCTTATAAACATCTGGAATCATTCTTACATTCGGCAAAGAGTCTTTGTTTTACACCCAGATGAGATCTCTCCCAGCCGTTGAAGGGTTCCGGGAGAGTTTAATAATGGGCCTTGCCTATCGAAAAGCTCCGACCACCAGTTGACCAGTTCACCATCTACGGGGTATATCTTCATCGCACACGTGCAGACTGGGTCTCTGGATCTGTGAAGAAGTGCCCGCTACTCTTCAAAAGAGTATGCCAAGGACCTCTATCACCGAACAAGGAGGTCTTTGGAGGACTTTTTTGGGAAAAGGAAGATCGATATGTTGCTACTAAGTAAATTCCCCAAAGCTCGTACCCAGAAAGTCGAAGGGATTCAGAATGTTTTATAAGATCCAGTTCGTGTGCACGATTTAACGATGCGTTCTCTCTACCGAGAAAACTACACAACCGAAAAATGAGGTTGATCCTTGGACTTTCCTTCCTTGTCGCTTGTGCGGCCGCCCAACAAGTCTTCTTTGGACGGTTCATATCGACTCCTGCCCAAGATGTATTGTCCATCGAAATGGGGGCGGTTCTGGTCAATAGTTCTGAGGGCCATGGAGTGATCGAGAAAGCGGTCTGGAATGTCACTGACGTTGAGTCTGCTTTGGAGCAACTTGGGGCTGGAAACAATGCCACCGTCATCTCCGCCGCGGATGATGGATTCTTTTTTCCAGGCTTCATCGGTGAGTTTTTTCTTGCACTCATCACTGGGCATTCTAGAAACTAAACCTCGCGTACAATAGACTCCCACATCCATGCTCCTCAATATCCGAATCTCGGACTATTCGAGGGAACACTCCTGGACTGGCTTGCAAAATACACCTTCCCGATGGAGTCATCCCTGAGCACGACGCAATCGCCTCTCTACGCAAATTCGTCAACCCCTCCTGACCCTTATGCCAGAGCCAAAGAGGTCTACACGGAGGTCATTGCCAAGACGCTCGCGTACGGAACCACAACAGCCTCTTATTTCGCCACCATCGACGTCGAGGCCACGAACATCCTGGCGAGCCTGGCTTACTCCATGGGTCAGCGAGCCTACATCGGACGGACCTGTCAGGACAACCAGGAGTACAATCCCAGCTACTACAAGGACGAGTCCACCGCGGAAGCCATCAACAACACCTGGGCCTCGATAAACTACATCCAAAGTCTCGACCCTACCGGAGACCTGGTCGCACCGATCGTCACCCCACGGTTTGCGCCCTCGTGCACCAACGAATCCATGACGGCGCTGGGAGAGATCGCCAACCAGACCGACCTCCGCCTCCAGATGCACATTTCCGAAAACGTGAAGGAAGTCGCCCTGGTCGCCGAGATGTACCCTCAACAAAACTCTTACGCCGGGGTCTACGACGCGCACAACTTGCTGACGGGCCGCACGGTCCTCGCACACGGTGTACACCTGTCGGACGACGAAATGAACCTGATTGCGGCGCGAGGGTCGGGGGTCAGTCACTGTCCGGCGAGCAATTCGGCCCTCGGGTCAGGTCTGTGCCAGGTTCGCAAGCTGCTCAGCAAGGGCATCAAGGTCGGTCTGGGTACCGACGCTGCGGGCGGTTACAGTCCCAGTATGCTCGAGAATGTCCGACAGGCTTTCCTGGTCAGTCGGACCCTCAGTTACCTGGACAATGACAACAGAACTCTCGACGTCCCCACGACCCTGGCCCTGTGGCTGGGCACGATGGGTTCGGCCCAGGTCGTGAGCATGGAAGGCCGTCTCGGAGGGTTCGAGCCCGGTATGCTCTGGGACGTGCAAGAGGTCTCTCTTCACTCGGACGGTCCCGTCAAAATTTTCGGCTGGGAAGAATGGTACGAGAGAGTCCAGAAATGGGTCTGGAACGGCGGCGAAGAGAACGTCATGCGAGTTTGGGTCGGTGGACGTTTGGTTTCTCAAAGAGACTGACATGGCAATCGTATCGTAAGCAGATAACTATTCGTATTCAGCATTATTCAAAAATTTTGCCGGTGTAAATGTGGATTAGCTCTAATAGACACTTTGAATCGATTCTACGATACTTTTGAACTAGTTGGTCTCGAAAACTGGGGTACTAAAATTTCCTATTACAGTGTGGCGGTTTTAGGGGTACATTGATACTCAGCGAAAAGTATTGTACTAGGGCTTAGGGCAAATCAATAATGAAAGATGCAGCGTATGAAATTGCAGTAGTGGCTATCTTTATAGGACTGAATCGTTTGTTGCAAAAATTATTTCACTTCTTGTCCTTTTTCTTCTTCCTGCTCTCCTGTCCAGCATATGCCATCATGCTCTCCTCCTCTCTCCCAGGTAGTTTGATCTCGTCTGGGCTCCCACTGGTAGTTGTTTGGCCCCGAGCTTTCTGGGAGGTTCTGCCCTGATCCTGCAGGCTATTGGCATTGTCGTTGGAGATATCCATCTGGTTTCTTCTCGAGACATGCTTGGGGAGGAAAATCGGCGGGGAAGGCTGAGGTCCAGCTGGTATCGTATTGCTAGCAACACAGCCAACTCGGAAAATAATGCGAAGTGAACTTATTTCAGTTCTGGGTGTTTCAAAGACTGCGGTTTCATTCCCGTTCAACGTGATAACACATAGGCAGCCATGAGAATGACCTTGACAATTTCAGTCAGGTTTGAAATATGCCTGACCATCCCCTTGTTCCCTGTAAAGGTTACATGAGCCATTGTATCAACAACTGTTGCACCGACATCAGTCGGTTCCTTTCAATGGTGGTAATCTTTTCGGTAGTCGTGCTCGAGAACTTCGGCCAAAATGAACATCAATAGCGATGATGTGGATACATGTTCGGATTGTTGCCGACGAACAGGCCGACAAACAGGCCGACGAACAGGAAGCGATATGCGCCATCAAAAGTACATGACAGATGAACGTGGCAAGGGGGGGGTGAGGCTTTAAAAAAAAATGTCATTCTTTTGATCATCTACGGCGTATGCATAATTCGATTCGTTCCTAGGACCAATCACTGTTACCTGCCTTCATCCCATGATCACCTCTCAGCCTTTGCCATTTCGTTTACAAGCTGGTCTAGTTCTTTTCGCTCCTCCATTGTCAGAAGACCGAGACGATCATCAAGGGTTCCGTCACCAAAGAACCTCCTATCAATCTTGACCCAGTAAATCATATCAAACGCCCAACACCGCCGCGCCGCATAGCTGACCCAGAGATTTAATCCCCCGTCTTCCAACTGTCTTTCATGAAGTGTGAGAGACGTTGGTGTTCCTTCAGCGTCCCACGTTTGATCGCGGCCGTCTCTCTCTCGGACGTGGCGTCCAGGAATACAGGAAAGGTTTTTTCGTAGACTCGCGTCCAATCGGACAGTCCTTCTGGCCAGTACTCGGGGAGCTCGAGCAGGAGCCAGACGGGAGCGCTGTGGGCGAATTCCGGCGGCGCGGCGTAAGTAAATTCCCAGTCGAGTGCCCCGGTGACCTCGAAGTTAGAGGTGGACAAGACGTTTGCTGGCCTGAAATCATCATTGAACAACGGGAATGGCCCTTTGTCGCTACTGCTGCTGCTGCTGTTGCTGTTGTTGCGCCGCCACCGAGAAGAAGCAGAGGCAAGCAACAAACCTTCTCTGGCCATTTTGCGAAAGAGGCATCTCGCAATGTAAATATTTCCGCCTGAATTCATCCGGCACCTGCACGACCCCGACGCGTTGAGCTTTGTGATGTTCCAGGTGCATGTCCGCCAGCGCAACGTAATACGAGGTCGTCGTCTCAAACGGACCCCGTGGGAGGGCATCCGGGGACACGTTTCCCAACTGGACAAGTTCGTTCATGTTCAAGGTCAGCGGGCGGTGACTTGTATACAACCCACGAATCACCGTCATCGGTCGAGGAAATGCACCCGATTTTGGGAAACGTGTGTTTGGAGTACTACATGATGTCGGCCATTTGCCCGTAGATGAAATGTAATCGCGATTGTTCACGGCTCACGTCCGGGTTCAGGACGGGTCGTTCCTCGTAAGGGACGTCCGGCGTGTTGAGACCGTCGACGAGATCGCACTCGTGTTCGACAAACTCCATGATGATGAACGGACCCAGGCCTTCGGGGCTCTCCTCGGCCGTGCCCGAGTGGAGGACGAACGGAACCGGGACGTTGGTCTCGTCGGTGAGAAAACGCACCACGGCGACCTCGCGTTCTGTCTTTTCTTCCGGAAACATGGCCTTTCCCGGGATGGGGATCCTCATCACCGCGGAGCCCCCGTCGGCGAAGGTCAGGCGAGTCCAGGCGTTGAAGGCACCCTTCTGAGGGGCCGAAAGTGTGTCGGGGACGCCGCCACCCCTGTGTTTGTCTATCAGTTTCCCAATCCTCGAGAGGTTGTCCCTCTTGAGGAGCTTGGACTTCCACGTCTCGTATGTCTGCGTATTTGAATCCCATGATTCTTCGTCGTACTCTAGATTGGTGTCGGAGAGAATCGGAAACGACATGTCGAATGAAAAAGTCCAGAGACCACGAAGAGGTAGTGAAATGGAGTTCTGATAATTGATTACATGTTGTTGGTGGTGGTTTACAAGGGCAATTTCAAGGGAGTCTGCCAGTCAGCCTTGAACAAAAGGACAAAGGAGGTCGGTGGAATGTGTTTCAAAAGGTGCGGGAATCTTGGCATCGACTTCAGGGGGGTCAACTTGACTTGACTCTCCCGCGTGAATTGTATTGCATATACCAGTAACACGGTAGAGTGTTATCCCAGTGGCGATCACAGTCGAAAAACGATGTGGCCATATGATTGATCTCTGGTGTATGTATTGAAGGCCGTTAGACCCTCCGTGATGGAGAATTCGAACCCGTACCGAAGGAGCCAGAGATATTTACTCCGTGGTATTTCTTCTGACCTTTTTTTTCTTCTTCGAAAATAAAAATAAAAGCAAACCCTCATTGATATAAAAAAGAATGGGATTTTTGTTATTTTCCCCCGACGGAAATCGGGTTTCGTTTTTGGGAGAATTAGGGGGAGAGGAAATGAGGTGACATGTTTTTATTTTCCTGGGCAAGGGGGGGCTGAAGAAGGGGGGTTATTATCGCCGACCTGGGGGGATTCGAACCCCCGGTCCTAATTTTCTGCTCGCTCTGCGTCGTGAAGTGAATTGACCGTCCACTACATGGCATGTAGTTTTAACCTGAGCCATCACTGCAGAGAGCCTTGGTAGTTTGTTTTGATATAAATTTCACCGATTCGATTGATATGGCCACTGTGGGTCCTTGAGTGAAGTGTTATTCACACAAGGCTGGGCTACTAGTATCCTTGGTTACTGAATGCAGCCTCGTCCATGGTTATTTCATGTATCTTTCAAGTAGGTGTCTAGCTACACCACCCACAGGAGCTGAGAAATATGTAATAGGAGTTTCGTGTGATCGAGAAAAGTGTGAAGGAAATGCGATCTGCAGTATGCATATAAATAATATTGTATTGATACACACCATAGTCTTATATTGGGATACCTACTACCTCACCGTCCCCTCTTCCATCAGGAACGAGGTCACCATAAACAGTAATGGGAATGACAACCTCAAATGTCTCGCAGTCCAAATTCTCCACCGCAACATTGATCGTGCCACGTTCGTCTCGGACGACTTCTTCAACCAATTCCACTGCAGGCTTGGCTGGCACGCCATGATCGTTGTTGTTGTTGTTATTGTTGTCGCCGCCATCGTCATCATCATCATGACCACCCTCCAAGGTCTTGACTGTGCCAAACTCGAACCTCAGACTCCACTCCAGATTCACACCACTCGTGACAAACGTCGGAGTCGCCGAGGCTGGAATGCTGGGCGCAAACGTGGCCCGTCGCGCAAACAGTACGTTCTCCGCTTGTGCACCGTACGTCTTCCTCGTGACCCGGTTGATCGTGGCGGCAGACCGGACGGCAAGTGAAGGGCTCACTTTCTCCGTCGATTCGAGCGTCGACCTGAGTGAGGCGCAACAGACCTGACCATCCGAGAAGTCGATCACGGCCGTGATGGTCTCGCCTAGCCTGTGTAAGGGTCTGTCGATGACCACGACGGCGACTTTGAGTCCGTTGCGAGAGATCTCAAATCGGTTCGAGCTGGACGACGCAACATCCGTGTTCTGATTACTATAAACAATGGCGCGATTGATCGCCTGCAACGCCTTGGAGTCCGCGCCGGCGTAGTGGCGGGGGATGTATGACTCCATGGTGACACTGCTGCTGGATTGACGTCGCATGTTGCGGTTGAGAAGCTTGTCGACAAACACGAGAAATTCGGCGCTGGATTGTTCGTCGGACTGCTGATGCTGTTGCTGGGAGGGCGTCGTAGGCGTATTGGACTCGTTGGTCGTCTGAGAGGGAAGAGAGATGATAGACTTGGTACGTGCAAGATCTTGAAGGATGACATGAGGTTGCATGAGGTCGTGTCCGAAAATTTCGCCGTCATAGTCAACGCCCGAGAACACACGCACGGGTACATTGACTTGGCGAACTGTGTGTACGTCCCGACCGCCCTGCACGCCGACTGTGAGGTTGTAGGAGATCTTGATGGATTTCCCGCGGTAACTTGACGGCAGACCCCGCGGGAGAGGGTATGTGTAGGTGTAGCTCTGCTCCTCACCGGGGTCGAGATGCATGTCGACGAAGAGTAGGGATTGAGGAGTGGACAGCAGGGGAATGGCTCTGGAGTTCTTGACGGCGTGCATTTGCTTGACGCTGCTTGTGTCGTCGCCGCCTAGCAGGCTGTTGAGAGACTCGCTAAAATCTTTGAGACTAAAGGCCGTGCCCAGAAAACCACTGTTCGGACGCGGTTTCTTCATTCCAACTACGCCGCCGCCAGCTTGCCCTCCGAGGAAACCTTTGCTTTTGACTTCTTCGAAATGGGACTGGTCAATCAAGGACGCGTCGAGGGTGAATGTTGCGTTGAGCTGTGCGTAGCCCATGAGCAGACTCACACTTCGAGGTTTTTGTTCGGCTGGCCTGAACGGCGCGCGTGAGAGGCTGAGGTTGGGCCTATGGTCCGACAAGACTGACGGTTGCTCCGACATGAGCGTTTCCTGGGAATGATTGCTCAAAGAGTAAAAATCACCGCTACTTCGTTCGCTCGTCACCTGACTCGTCCTCGATAAAACCCGTGTCGCATCATCGCCGCCCGGACTTAAAGTCTGGGGCCGGGTGTCAGGGCTCGCTGGGGGAAACCTGAAGTCCGAGGTAGATTCACGGCTCCCACCTATGGCTGGCGACAGTGGACTGCGTCGACGGCCTTGGGGTGGTTGCGGCGAAGTCCCCGGGGATGCCTTACTGAACTGGCTTGCCGTACTTTGATGTGGCGCTTGAAATTGGGTGAGTTTGGATCAATGCAACTATGACCATTTGGACGCAGCGACTTACCATGTTGAAGTTGGACTGTAGATGATCGCTGATGACTCAATCTCTGCTGCCGTGCCCAGCTGTTGGGAGACGACGATTCTGGATGATCGTTGTTCCCGATCGGCGAAGTGACCGAGATGATTGAGACTGATCTCTGCTTGTAACCTGGCCTCTCTGTCGGCGATTGGAGATCGGTTGTGTTTATTGGACTTTGTAGCGACGCGGTAGCTCGGTGTCGTCCTCGACTATCAGAGTGAGACTCCTTGTCTGAAACAGACCGGCCATTTTGACCCAGGCGTAAGTGAGCGTGATTTTTCAACGAAATCGCAGCTATTTGACTGATGCTTTCGTGGCGACTGCTGCGTCTTCTTGCGATGGACGGTGTTACTGGCGGTTCTGCTAAGTTCGCGATGTTCTTGAAGGTGATGGTGCACTTGAGTTCTTCGCCGGCGAACACGGATTGCTCTTGGAAGCGGACGATTACATGAATGTCCGAATGCATACCACGGCCTGTATGCCTTCAGACCAGCTTGATCGGAGGAGAAGTTGGGCGACTAGTGTTCGATGCTTTAAAAGAGAATGGCAAAGGATAAAAGACACATTGATGTTGAGGTCAACGAGATCGTTCTGGCTAAACGTCGGCAATATTTAAGAACGTACAACAAATTGTGAGCGGAACAAATATACTCGATGAATATAACTATCAAGCAGAATATTTGATTAAATAATTCGGAAATAGTCTGTCATAGCAGGAGAATAGTTCTGTATTGATACAATGTCATATAAATCGTCATCATCAGCTATATATATACACTGGTTGTATGGAAATCCTCTAGACCTCTTGGGCAAATTTATGTACTTCTCCGCTGTGAAATAGTCGCAGCAAGTTCATGTAATAGTCCCTTTGTAAGATGCTAGGTTGCGGATATTGGTGCATATGTTGGAGATTCCGAGCATCAGTAGGTGATATTTCCAGGTGGGCTGCAAATTTCGAGGTTTCTTTCCTGAGCGTCTTGTTCACCCAGAGACTGTAACTTGAGCTGCAAGCTTCTCTGTCGTTCTGCCAAGTCCACTGTTGGCATAAAAGTCCATCGGATATGTGCCGTCACCTCGTTCCCAGCCTTGCTGCCCACCTAACACCACCAGGGCTTCATATGGCGTCAACAGTGGTCGAGGGAAAGCATATCCCCAATCAATGCTCAGTCGTGGACAAGCAATCTGGACCCAACAATCCACATCTTCGAACAATGCCAGCTTCCCCGGAAAGATTTCACTGAGTAAGAGGTTGATATAGGGTATTCCTTGCTGGGTCAGGTAATTTTGTATCATGGTCAGCGTATGAGGATTGCCTTGCCGACCCAAAGCTCCCAGAATCAGGCCCCATTTTTTGGCCTTCTTTGCGACACCGATGGCGCTGGACCGCATGTCTAGCATTTCATCGTGAGAATATGTCTCGCGCGTCAACTTTCGAGAGTAAGGATCATATCGATAGGCTGGGATGTCAGGGTTCGCTATCATCGCAGCTTCAAGGTGGAAACGACCATCGCCGAGATATAGGATCAGGTCCACGTTTTGGTCTTTGCCAATCTTAGGCGCGGTACAACCGAGTACCTCGCCCTTGCTGAGCGGCATGGCTTGAGGCACGACCAGCTTGAGCCCTTCGGCTTCGAGGGCAGGTCTGATTGTATGGAGGGTTGCGTTGAACTGTATCGTACCCACCATGGCTATCGTCTTGCCCGGAGAAATGTTGCGCGACAGAGTGCTCACCAGGTGCTTCACGTCGATGGAGATGTCTACGAAGATGTAGAGAGTGGCTATCTTTGTCGCCGACACAGGTATCAGACAACTGTGGGCATAGTGAACCAGGAGGTCGCATCCCAGCGCTCTTGCGGTGTAGTCATCAATACAGCATGCGCCATATGTCACATCTCCCATGATCAAAGTCTCGGTGCCAGGGCAGAACTGGGTGAGAATATCTGAGATGGTTGTGGCAAACATGAGCAGCCCTTCAGGAAATTGTAGGGCGACTCTCTTCGCCTCGAGCGTTCGTATCCGATGGATGGTCTTGTGGATCTCGAAACTGTAGTTATGAGGGAGTAGGCCTATCGCAGCCTGGATATCTGGGTCGTCGAGGATTTCTGCTGGGATTTGGTTTAAGGCTCGTGGTGTTTTGCGCTGACCTGGTTCCCTATATTAGCAACTGATCTTTGCAGAAAATCGAATGCCCCCATCGCACTTTTCGCAACCACGGCCGTCGTTTCTTCAACGGAGCCATTGGTCTCATGCCTTTGTTTTGCCTGCGCATCCGCAGTTCTCCTCCCAACGAACCTCCTTTTAGGTGTTCTGTTGGTAGTGGTGGTACTCTCCTCTGCCGCCGTAGGAAAGGCCCCAGGTATTGAAGGCTCGTCCATGTCTACCTGGGTACCGTGACTTGTCGATCTTGGGCTGGACAAGACTTGTTGGTGGCATCTCAAAATTCGTCGACGATCTTCGTTTGTCTCCAAAAAGTCTCGCCATCGGAAATGCGGAGAAATTTCAGTCCGAAACTGTTTTGATGATGGCGTCATACATTTTTCCTCTGCACTTCATTTCACATGAAATAGATTCAGACTTTCGAGCACGACTGCGTCTTGGATGAGCACTGACGTGTCTTATTAACCCTCAAGATGCTATAAAGTCCGGTAGGTTGCAGTAAAGGCACGACGTTTCGCTATCACCCCGTCGACACACCTCTAATCTACCCCATCATGCCTTTGTTGCAGTCCCTTCTGGCTGCGTCCAACTTCCGCAACCCCTTTTTGCGAAATCTCGTTCCATCAGTTGGTCTTGCATTTGGTATCCAAGCAGCTGTAGCTATACCCTCCATAATAGCTGGATCCGAGCGATTCTACGACCTTTCGGGCTCATTGACTTATCTCTCATGCACGGCCTTGAGCCTGTATCTTCCTGCTCTACGTGCCAGAACAGCGGCAGCACTGGCAGGACAGCCGAAACCAGCATGGCCTAGCCTTCTGAAGGCTCTCCAGGGGACAGGTGGTCCTTACGGTTTCAATTGGAGACAGGTATTCTTGAGCGCCGCAGTAAGCTTCTGGGCTTCTCGATGTGCGTAAATCAACGTGGAAGAGGAAAACATTTTGGCAATTGGCTAACCGCATGGCAGTGGGAACATATCTCTTCACCCGCATTCTCTCCGACGGCGAAGATTCCCGCTTCAAGGACATCCGCAACTCACCTCCCAAGTTCGCTGTGGCTTTCTTTGCACAAGCGACATGGGTGTCCCTCTGCTTATTGCCCGTCCTAGCCATCAACTCGCTGCCTTCTTCCACCTTCGCTGCTCTCGGAGGAGCCGTGTCGGTCACTGACTTGATTGGTGTTCTGCTCTACGTCGGTGGAATGAGCTTCGAGGTTACTGCTGACAGACAGAAGAGCAAGTGGTCACAGGAGAAGAAGGAGAAGAAACATGACGAGGACTTCCTCACCAGAGGTCTTTGGGGCAAGAGTCGACACCCAAATTATTTTGGAGAAAGTACCTTGTGGACAGGAATTGCTACCATGTCAGCTGGCGTTCTTGCATCGAAGGCTGGAGTGGTTGGAATGGGATTGGCTGGTGGACTGACGGGAAAAGCAATCGCCCTCGTCGCCGCAGGTATCAGCCCAGCCTTTGTGACCTTGTTGCTTTTCAAGGTGTCAGGGATTCCTCTCAGCGAGAGTAAATACGACAAGAAGTACGGCGATCGTGCGGACTACCAGAAATGGAAGAAGGAAACGCCCATGTTCTTTCCCAAGCTGTAGTAGGCTTGGATATCTATCCTACTTTGCGTATGTGAAGCGCAAGTGGGTAATTTGAGATACCCAGATTGCTTGACATTAGAAAAGCCTGGCTGATCGCAGGTGAACTTCCATTGACCATCGATGTCATATTTAGAGGTGCCATTCAAAAGTGCTGGGAAAGACGAATATGGTGCCATTGCGGCTTTGCAAGAGGATGTGACCACATGGGTAGAGCAATATCGGAGGAGATGTTGGGAGTTGGAAGAGAGTTGTAGTATTAATGAATAAATAGACGAACAATACTCCGCCCCCGCCTCATCTGTCTCGGCATGTGAAGAAGCCCAAATCTGTCCAGTAATATTTCCAATGCTTTTCTACACCTAGTCCGTACAGCCTCGTACTTTCTACCGCATACTTTTCACATACACATTGCACTTTGTACCCTGTACCTCGTACAGCAACGAGTGCTTGGACGTTTTGCGAGTACATTAGACAGTCCGAGAGGCAAAGCAAAGCAAAAAGAGGTTCTTTGTTCCATCCGCACTCTGTGTGGTGCAATGCCCACACCACCACCACCACCAACGAAAAAATGGTCACGACGTCCGGCTTCACCCACGCCCCCGTGTCTCGGTTCCTGATTTTTTGGTCGGTCGGCGCCTCCATCCTCACTTCGGTTCTGGATATCAAGCACCTCGTCTCCGTCAAACCCGCCCCCCACCTCTGGCCTTACCTACAATTCTCGCGTCTGTTGACTTTCCAACTGTCGCACACCTCTTCCACCGAACTCCTCTTCTCCACCGCCCTATTGTACCATTTCCGAGTCCTAGAAAGGTTGTGGGGGAGTAGGAAATACGCCAGTTTCGTGGTGGTCGCGGTCGCTCTCAATATTCTCCTCTTGCCGACCTTCACGGTCTTGCTCAAAGTCGCGACTTTTGGCGTCTACAATTATCTGCCTGCGGGTTCGGTGGCGGTTGTTTTTGCCGCGTTGAGTGCTTGGGCCGATGAGGTTCCGCGTTTATATCGGTGGAAGATTGTCACCAGTACGAGCACCGCGGGCGAAGGAGAGACATCGTCACAGTCACAATCACCACCACCGAATGGAGGTGCTGGCGGATTAGGAGGTGGTATAAACAATATAATTCTCAGTGACAAGACGACTACGTACGTCCTGGCGGCTCAGTTGGCCCTGAGTCAATTCCCTTATCAACTCTTGCCGGCCGCGGTGGGTTGGACGATAGGGAGCGCCTGGATGGGTGAGATCCTACCGGCAGGCCTGGGAAGGTGGAGGGTACCACCTTGGATGGTAGGGGAGACGAGTTCGCGCAAAGAGGGCCGTCGTGGACAGTACGAAGGGTTGAGGAGACGATTGGAGGAGGAAGGCAGTTCGGCAGACGGGATGAGGAACGTGAGTGATAATGTCAACAACGCCACGAGCGGTGGACAAGACGAGAGGAGAGGGTTTGGGAGGCAGATCTTGGGATATTTTACGGGTTCTTGAAGAAGAACAAGTTCAATAGGCCAAGGTTAAAATAACACAGATCAATATCCTCCCTTGGTGTTTTTTTGGATACTTGTGCCAAAGTACGTGATGGCTAATTGTCTGATTTATACATGTAGGGGAATGAATGGCCAGCATAGTACGTAGACGTCTGTGAACACCAAAAGAAAAGCCCTGGTGTCATTCGTATGGTCCTCAGCATAACGACCATCAGGAGGATATAGAATGATGTATGAAAAAATGTACTTCGCATAAGATACATTTAGTATTACCATTTAATGAACCCCTAGGTACGGAGCCGAGTTGACCATTGAATCCATCTATCCATCTCTGTCGTAAAAAAATCAAAAAACTCCCCCAAGATCTGTCTAATGTTGTCTCACACACACGGACCATGGGAACCTGCGCAACTGATTCCACCGAGTTGCCACAAAGGTACAAAGAATAGACGCCTCCAAGGATGGAGGAGGTGTTTTCCTCTGTAGATCTCCCCCATACCAAGACGAACCTTCTTTCGTGCAGAGATGCCAAAAATCCCCGTCCCAGTGATACGATGATATCCAAGAGCTCTCTCTGTCTTCGGAACGGCATTAGACCTCAATCGCTTGCGATATGACCTTCTCGATACCCCGTACCTCGGGAGCAAAGCCCTGCATCTTGCTGCTCGAGCTAAGCGACATATATATCCATCACAGAATACTGTGTTGATCCCCGATGAGCCCCCTAATCTTCTCTTCGTTCACTGCCAGTCGTCCGATTTCTATGTCAAGGATAATCCACTGTCCAGTCAACCGCTTTTTCCTTTCCTCGAGTCTTTTGAAGGAGCTGCTCTGGCGTCGGTGACCCTCTGCGCGAAGGTCTATCGCAGAAGATAACATGGGCCGATATATCAGGGGGGCAAATTGACTTTGACGTCCCTTCGGATCAAGTAGTCGTCTTTCAACCATTTCCCGACCCCCTCGTCTGCTCTTCAAACGCCTGTCTATACCTCTGGACGGCGTTTGCCAAGCTCTTGATGATCGGACCGAGCAACTGCTTGACCACGGCCCCACCGCCCTTGATCGCCGCGTGGTCCAATCTATGCCGTCTGCCAGTCTTTCGAAACCGCTCTTCCAAGGCCTTCTCTTGCGCCCGCACGTGGTCCTTTTTCTCCCTTTCCGCGTCGTCGGCAATCACATTGATCCTGTCCAGAGCGCGGTTGAGACTCTCCACGAGACTGGCGATTTCGCTCGCACGACCCGGGTCACCGGACAAAAAGGCGTTCCAAAATTGTCGAAGAAATTCGATCGTCGTGGCTTGCGTCAGCGTCAGTCGATCGTGGATCGCCGTGCTCAACCCACTGGCCTGGTCGACTTCGCTCGTCTGGTCTCGGTGCGCTTGGATGAGAGACATGATGTGCTTTGACGCGAGAGCTGATCCACTCTCCGCCTTTGATGATGCATCGTCGTCCATGTCCTCGTCTTCGTCCTCGAACGGTTCAATAGGAACGACACCATCTCCGGGCCTGGGGAAATGAGTGGCCAAATCGCCGCAGATTTCCTGAATTGCCTTGGCAGGATCGATTTTCCGGAATGGGTTTGAGCTCACGCCATTCATCACGGTCTTTTCGGGGTCCTTGTCTGCAAAGAAACGGCTTTGGTCGCGGATGTTCAAGATGATCCGCTCCTGCTCCGGGTCACCACTGAGATCGCGCAGTCGAAGTTGTTCATACGTCGTTTCCGTCATGCCAATCGGCGCAGAGGCGTCGACATCGTTTGGCCGCACCGTGGCCATGAGCTTCTCACTCAGGGCATTCAATCTCCGTATGATAGGGGCCTTGTCCAGCGCCGTGGCACGCAATTCGTTATCGGGGCGGTTGCCTTGACGCTGACTATGGTTCTCCTCGTTGCCCTCGAGATCGATAAATTTAGGAATATGCATCTCCGCACTCGTCGCCCGCAAGCCAGTCAACTCGGGATGATTCAGGTACTCCTCGGTGTCGAGATACTTGTCCCTGGATTCCTTTGCTGGATCAAATTTGAGTCCCCGAAGCTTCATATACAACTGACTCTGAAAGAAGCGAGACCAGAACTCGACTTCCGATTTGCACTTTTGCGGCACAACTTCATCGTAGATCATGCGCATCACTGGATACTGCTCGAAAATGGCCCGTACGTGGTCTTGCGTCAGGGACAGCTTCGTGCCGCCGTCCTCGCGCCGTAGTTCCGAAAAGACATTGTACTTTCCACGTCCTTGATTTTGGGCGATTGCATGCGCGCGGAGGAGGTGGACTCGGGATGACCAGAACTGTGCTGTGAATTGAGTTGTCGAAATCGACTCGGGCTTGAGACTGAGTGCCTCTATGAACGTCCTTTGGAGGGCGTGATCTTCTTGCATGAGCGACTGCTGGAGTCTGACATCGGTTTTCAATCTCTCATCGTCTTCCCAGAGAGTGCTGCCTCGACCAGCACCCGAGACTGTGTTGGCGATAGTCATGGCGGCAGATTGTCCGCCCGAGGCGGCCGTGGCATTTTGCGCGGCTTTCTGCGCCTGGATCACGTTCGCCAAAGCATCCTTGATCGCATTGGCTTCACCTCTGGGGTCACCTTTGGATGTGAATGTGAAGACATGAGCGACCGGGTCTGACTGTCCTGGATCTTGGACGAAGACCTTTAACATGACTTTAGGATTGGATTCCGGCGTTTGTTGAAGGTTGGTAATGTTTCCCGCGGATATTACCAGGCTCGGGGCGGAGTCTGGCGGTTGGGCTGGCGTCCATGATACTGATTTACGATCCTTCGATATAGCCAGCAATCCAGACTGTTTTTTATACGATGTCAGTCCCTGTGGTGGCGCCATGGCCGTCTAGCTACGCCAGGTAAAGTAATTCAGGAATAAGAAAAGGGGCGATCCGCCGTTGTGACGGATCGAAAGACACCCCCAAGCTGCCAGTCGTGAAGTTTTCTCATGTCGCACGCGGTCGCTGCCTATCGACTATTGAGTCATGCTTGAGGTGGGAGAGAACCGAGTTCACAACCTCGATGCAGACAAGATCTAGGCACGGTGCAGTTGCGACTCTTGCTGTCCGATCGGAGTATCGTATCGTTGGGAAAGGAGAGAAGTGGGTGTCACTCAACAAGAGTTAAAGTTGAGGTTTTGTTCGACGAGGCAAACATCATGTCACCGGCTCATGCCAAGCATTGACTCGATTAAGCTACGAAACTCGCCAATTTAGTCTAGTCACGTGCGAAGTGTGAGATGAGCCATCACAATTTAGATTTGAAGCGAAGAGATTGATTCTTGAACAGAGAGTGGATATCTAAGAGATATAGCATTCATGAGCACGATATACCATGGTCATATTTGTATGACCGTAAATTTATGTGACGATAAGATCTGACCAGCTCGAATGCAGTAGGGATATCCATAGTACCGCGTCCATGGCTGATATGAAGTGAATCTTAGTCGCTGGTGTGGTTCAGCGTTGATACACAAGACAGCTTTTGACTTCCCAATACACAGTGTGACCTCCGGGACTTCCGTACCAGTCGGCAGGGTAATGGTAGACTGCGGAACCAGATGAGATTCCGAGGCTGTGCCACAAACCCTACGTTGAGCAGATGTCGGAATTCATCAAAGCCGAGGAAGTGTTCGCCCCCTCCACACGCAGTGCCGATCCCAGGATGTGTACTTCTGTGGTGTAAGCTTAGGATTGTAGAAAGTAGTCGGGACGACATTGTCGACAGTAATGCCTCTCGTAGAGATGGACTGCGCAGAAGCTTGTCACCTTTCCCTCCCCATAAAATCCGTCTGGAACTGCTCCTGTCCAACCGTGGCCCTCTTCTCTCTTTCACTAGGGCATCTGATCGGTGAGCCATGGCAATCTCTTGGAGCAGGTAATTCTTGCTCTAAAACCCGAAGCAGGAAAGTCTCCCACTCGGTACAGCAGTGTAAGCTGCCTCGGTGTCATGGTTGCAGTCGGGACATATTTATCCTCCACTGTTCGTTCTATATTGACTTTTGGCTTCCACTGGTTGCCTGTGCAGGGCTTTCATCGATCGTAACCTCTGCCTGTGTCGCGATCTGTTCGGCTTGTTCTCGCTGGAAGTTGATAATGTGTTCATATTCAAAAGGATTCAACCTCTTCCACTCGTGCAAAAATTCGAGCCCATCGACTTTCTTAGGGGTGTACTTGGAGCCAAAACGCTCGATCTTCGGAGACGGCTCAGGCAGTTCTAGCGTTACATAAGGCGCAAGCTGTTTTGATTGTGAATGTTAGCAAACTCATCCAGAATTTCTATGGGTACGAGTCCAACTCACGCGAAATCCTTCGAGCTCCGGTACATTGTAGAAGGAAGTCTTTCTCCAGTCAACAATGTATCCTCCTCTGTCGTTGTGCGCACCCTTGGAGCCGGTTCGGTTTCCTCGATAAAAACCACGTCCGACTTGTTTGGTTGTGAAGCGCAGGCGGGCGCAGAGCTGAGGTGACGGTTGTACCATCTCGAAATAGTTTCGGGCGACGTAGAGAGCGTATCTGTTTGGGAAGAAATGGTCTGCTGTTGTCTGTGCAGTTGGTGTAGCTTCTTCGATAGACGAACTCACGCAGAGGAAATAAATTGTTCCCGACCAAGTTGGGACATTCGACATCGCTGCTTTAAATAAGTGCCGCCATCCACCACTGACTAGAGGGTTTATCTTTCCTCCAACAACAACATCTTTTCACTCGATCAACTTATTCTACTACATACTATCTGGATCAGGGTAAAGCTATAGTCGCGACCGCTCGACAGGATGGTGAGGATACGTATCGTACGAGAACCGTCATGGTTCCAGGGCCGGATGATGTCGACAAAATTCTTGCTTCCAAGACTGTCACTCTTCTGACCTACTTCGTAACTATGAAGCAGGACGCCTGAAACCGTTGTCTCAGAATCTGACATGGAGAACGCTATGCCCATCTCAAGGCGCTTCAATGCGTAAATATGAGACCGTTGGTTGGATTATATGCATAATTCAGGCGAACTGGCTCCATTTTGTGGTGAGTAAGACGGCAAGCCTCTCTTCAAAAGTAAAAGCCATAAGAAGTCTCGACTTGAAGCACAGATGCGCGGAAACCCCTCGTCCAGAAACTACCCAGCATTCTCCTTCACATCTGTATTTTCAATCTGAGGCCCCGTCTTTCCTGCAAACCTCGTCTGGGTTTCCGACAAATATAGCCATCATGTCAGCCAACGACAAGCCGACTCGCGGAGTACAAGAACTGCGACCCTATGACGTCTTGACCGAGTCGTTTGCTAGACGCACAGCTGCCAACTCGGCACCATATCTCATCGACTTCATCAAACCGACGGACAGTATCCTCGATGTAGGCTGTGGATCTGGCTCAATTACCCTTGGATTTGCACAACTCGTGCCGCAAGGCCACGTCATTGGCATCGACGTCACGGAGAAGGAACTTGCCCTCGCACGGGGTGCAGCAACGGCACAAGGTGTGAAGAACGTCGAGTTCAGGTTCGGCGACGCACACAAGCTGCTGGAAGATTTTGAAGATGACACCTTCAACATTGTCCACGCCCACCAGGTCTTGTTTCATATCCACGAGCCAGTGAAAGTTTTGCGGTACATGCGCCAGCTGACTCGCCCAGGTGGTCTTGTAGCATCGGGAGACTCTGCAGATTTGGTCTTTTGGCCTCATAACCCGGCCTTTGATAAACAGAAAGAGATCTGGTACAAGATGTGCGACATGAAAGGCACGGTTCCGAATGCAGGGAGATTCAGCCACGTCTGGGTGCGAGAGGTAGGGTTCGAATGGAGCCAGATTCAATTGGGGTCAAAATCTGAGCATTACTTTGGGGAAGCAATGAGGAACTTCGCCGCTGGTGCAAGTACAGTTGGATATATGTTTCGAGAGGCGGGTATGACCACTCTAGAGGAGTGCCAGGAGATCGAGAAATCCTACAAGGAGTGGGCAGCCAAACCAGAGAGTCGAATTCTTGGATTGGATGGCTGGATACTCTGTCGAAAGTAACAACTTTGGACAGCGCCCTTGGCCCCCAAATATAGCTATTATACGTTACATTCTTGCAATCTTTCCTCTTTCAACGACTTTAGGTGTGAGTTTGGGATGACTGCAATTGTTGAATGAGGGAAGGCCGTGAATAGCACAGTACGTTATATGATCAGTTCTATCGAAGGGCTATGTTTCTCTTCTCAGTTGTATAACGTCCTCACACGGACATGTCAGCATCAGACAGCATCATGTCCCACTGGGGCCAGGACGAAGCGTCGACATCGAACAACTCGGATCCGATAAAATCGGGATACATAAAGTTGTTGTTGTCATTTGATAATACTCGTCGGTCGTCGGGCCAAGACGTTCCGTCACTGACCCCGATAATAATGCCAGGGTCTGTGACTTGAGGTGGTTCAGGTTGAAAGTTCGGGCGTAGTTTTTTGAACTGTGCAGAAACGGCGTCGCCGAGAATATGTGCTGCGTGACACGGGAGCCCAATCGTCTTGAGCCAACCGATGAGTCGCATCACGAGGAGGTCAAGGGCCTCGATGTCTTGTCTGGCTGCGCGAAGTTTTGATTCGTACGTATGAACCAGCCGACACAGCGTGAGTGCGGAAAAGGTGATGACGTGATATATGTGGTCGGTCAAGTGCCGGGTGCGTTCGTCCGTCGTGTCCATGGCGAGGCTGATGATGGATTTGGCCAGCCGGATCATTTCGATCAGGAGTGGCAACCGCATCACCACCGTCGCGCGGGGGGTCGACTTCAGCGACTGACAGTGGGCAAGCAGATGGGCAAAGTGGAAGCCCATCTGGAGGAACTGGGAGCGCGGCTGATTGAACAAACCCGCCCAATCCCTTTGCCACTCCTGCAAGGCCCGCGTCGTGGAGTCTGTCGAGTCGACAACCTCGGCGGAGTCGGAGTCGTAGCAGATGTACTTTTCGTAGATGATCCAGTAGAGCTGAACCTCGGCGACCATTCTCGCTTCGAAGTTGGTGACGTTGTCCGATTCGAGGAAACGGAGACACTGGTTGATTTGGGCTTGGTTCAGGAGCGCCTGCCTTCGAGTGCCCACGCAGTACTGAAGATGTGCGACACATAGGTGATTCCAGATGCACCACGCGTCGAGGTCAGCTCTACTTACGGACAAGTCTTGCTGCACTTCTTGACAGACCCGATTGAAATACGGGCTGGCCAGACTTTGCTGAATCGCGTAGCCAGTCAGGAGCCAGCTGTCGATGCTCAGTGGCACCTGTCCGATTGTCGTGGACCATAGGCTCAATATGAGAGCGGCCTGGAAAAACTCGGTGGTCTGCGGCACCGTGAGAAGGGCCGGTGCGACGAGGCTTCGCGCTTCTTCGTACAGAGGAGGGGCAAGGTCATCTGCAAGCTCTTGTGTCGTGTGTCGTACCGCGATCAGGAGAATACTGCATAACAACAGCGGGGACCTCTCCCTGACTTGCAACAAGAGTGTCTCGGCGGTCAGGTCTTCGGCGAATTTGACCCAACGGCCATAGTGGACATGGAACAAGGACATCAGCATATGCGCGGTCTTCAATGACACCAGACCACTTGATATCACATCCGAGTAGCGCCTTGGTTGGTTAGTTTGGACCTGCTGCTTTGGTGACTGGACACCACCGGCATGTGCGGCGGCATCTCGGATCAAGAGCACTGGCGCCGAGTCTTTCTCTTCTTCCCGCAGGTTCTGAGGGGCTTGAAGCCTTGGTAGCGGCGGTCGATTCGAAGCCGTGGGACTAACGACACCTCTCATGGCGGTACCATGGGCTGAATCAAGCCTCTCTACCAGAGCCTGTACTGTGCTTTCCAGGCGTTCAAGCCTTGTATCCACAGAAACATCTCGGCTGGCCGCTGATGCTTTGTCTATGATGCTGCTGCGTCTTGACTGCTGCCGGCTTGGTGAAGACTCGAGTGAACATGGCTGTGACAGTGTTTCGCATCGGAGGCAGATGCCTCTTTGGTTGTTATCGGATGCATAACAGCGCGTTTTCTGCTTGCGGCATGCATCGCATGCTTTGGAAGCCCTGCCAGACCGCACCGGCGGCATTATCTCGCTTTGGCCATACTTATTTGTGCAGAGGCATGATAAAGGCGACAATCTTCTTCCGAGTAAACCATGTACATGACGATAAATAGATCCGACGCTCAGTCATAGAGGACAAGAGTCAGAGATAAGAAACTATCCGGAGGCATCTCGAACGGGGTGTTTTATTTATGGCGACATTAATGCCAAGGTATCTGATGATTGAACTGCTCGCGGCTCCACCTCGCAATCAGAAACAGCAGGACGCCGCCCTTGCTCATCCTGGCTGGAACCCTCGTTTGGGGGTTCAATTATGAGACGCTGCCACATATCCCAGGCGCAGGACTCTGTTCTCTGAGTAAGACGTATCGCCGTTCGATCTCGGGAATATCGTGGCAGCTGTCAACGACGAGCCCGGGCTCTTCAATATCTGCCGTGATTATCGCTATACGTCCTCGAACGTAGTCGACTGTTTCTAAGACTTTCCCATACGAATACCGAAAAACGTGTCCGGTCATGAGTCAAGACGCATCGTTACGACAATTAACGAGGTCTGGATTCGCCGCTCGGCCTTCGAACCGGGGTCTCTAAGTGATCCCAACACAGCCTCACTCTCTTCTGCTCCAGCAACCAAAAAATCCACCATCCGTACATATGCGAAAATTGTCAGCGTCTTTACATGGTTAAGTCGGGTCTGGGGAGGTTAAAACTTCACCAATCATCGATCAGTATCTAATGTGCCTAACCGAAAACCCTGTCAGCTACGAGGCATCTCATCGTTTGACGGCGGAATCTGCGGACCATCGGCCTTCCTAAATCAGGGCCGAGTCACACCGGGCCAGACACCAGGTTAGTAGGTACGTATAAGTATTCTCCACAAGGGAGTAGGAAAGAGCTGTATGCCGAGTTGCATGCATGAGTCGGGGGAGAACGATCCTTTGAACCTTTGGGGACTCAACAGGCTGCTGGACGAGTTTGTGGTGCAGTATACAAAGATGGGCTTGGAACGTGAATATCCTATTGTATGAATTCCTCCCAATGGCTTGAGAGGACAGTAGTAAGGGCTTTTCATGGTCTTGCATTGCCTCGAATTCAGTCCAATCTTTGTCCCGTTTCGGTGAGATTTAGAAAGTGCAGCGTACTGCTCAGAGACGCACCAGTCTAAGCCCGATGCCATGTTACGCAGCGTCGCGTCGTAGGTAGTGACTGATGCGATGGCAAGGGCCGTTGATTTCAAGCACGAAATTGTCTTGGGTGCGCAAAGGAAGCACCCCCGAAGGAGGTAAGTCCGAAGAACCTCCAGGAATGAGTCACGTCTTTGAAGGAGTTCTGGACGCATGTTTAGATAATGACCGTCTCGGGCGATGTTTCTTCGTTGCGCGTACCCACATGTCCGACTGGAGGTGGGCGCCGTGGCAGAATGTGCGCACCGGCCGGACAACGTCGACGAGGGCAAAGTTGAAGTTTTGAAACAGCGCTACAAAGACCTTGTCCAACTCCATCAGGGCGATAGTCTTGCCTAGGCACCCGTATTTTCCATGTCCGAAGACGAGGCCGAGCGTCTTTTCCATCAAGCCGAGTTTGGCACCATCGTCTTCCAGAGCCGCGGCTTCGATCCAGCGATCGGGTCGAAACATCTCGGCATCCTCGCCGTAGATCTCGCGCCGGCGCTGCATAGACATGGGATTCCAGCCGACCTCGACGTTGCCGGGGATGAAACGCCCATTGACCGTCTCGCCTTCTGGAGGCGAGACCTTGCCCTGCAGGCCTGCCAGCGGCGGAAACACTCGGAGGCCTTCTTTGATGCAGCTCTGTAGATACGGCAACTCGCGAGCTTCGACGCTCTTGATGACCGGAGTTGAAATCTGGTCCCTGTGAGCACTGAATTCGGACATCAACTTCGTATGCACGTCCGGGTTGGTGAGGATGAAGAGGAACGTCATCCGGATCGCCGTGGCGGTGGAGTCCGAGCCGCCCAACAACTGGAGGACAGCCTCGTTTTCCGCCTCGTCTTTGCTGAGACCGTGCCTTTTGAACGAGCCGAGCATATCGTCTTTCGCCTTGGCATCCGGGGCATAGCGCTCATTAACAACACGCTGCGCAACTCCCAGCATGGCGCCCATGCCCAGCTTGACCGTGGGTTTCGGACCAAACAGTCGCAGCATGATCCTGCTGGATAACATTCGATGTATGGCCGGAATGTTGGATGCCAGCTCCAGGATGTGCAGAAACTCTTGCACCTTTTGAATGTACTGGAAGACATCGTCGTTCTTGGTGAGATACCCAAAGGGTGCCTCAAAGGCGATCTGGGTCAGCACGTCCAGCGTGAAGAACTGGGCAATCTTGGCCATGTCCACGGGTTTGCCGGCTGCGGACTCGTTTTTGATGAGGACCACCATGTCGTTGATCCGATCGTCAATGTTGGACTCGAGCGCCGGAATCTCTTTGCCCGAGTACTTGTCATCGTTAGTCTCGCTGCCCTGGGCCGGAAAGTCAGCATACCTACCCCCTTCGCCATCTTCGCTCGGAGCACACTGTGAAGCTTGTCGTCACGCTGAGACAGCGAGTTCCTCTGATTCGGATCCAACGTGGTGGGGTCATACCAAGTGCCTTTGGTGAATTTGGATCGCGGTGCACTCATGTGGGTCCAGATGACAGGGTCGTTGGTGACGACCTTGTTGGGTGCGATGCGGGCGAGAGATCCTGGGATAGCCAAATGTTAACCTTTCTTGGGCGAGCGCGACGAGGAACTGAGAGGAAGAGATCTACCATATTGATCCAGCACCGCTGAACAGTCCTCGTACATGCGTCCGGCCGTGGTGGATCGAAACAGCCAGAGTTCGGAGACGCACGCTAACCACGGGCCCTTGATCTGGGGGCATCTGCGGTAGTTGATCAGCAGCGACACGCCCGTGTACAACACGACAAGTGTTAGTGTGGAAAGGGCGATCAGAGAGGCATGCGCTTGCAAGTCACTCATCATATGAATGTACATGGTGAGCGTGGACAAGGGATCCGCCGAGAAGCATTTCACATGGCGAGGGCGAGGGGATTAGAAGATCTGGGACGAATCTCAAGGGCAGGGACTTGAGCTGCTGGAGATACAGATGGTGCGGAGGTTGTAGCCTGATGATTCCGCTCTAACCTTTGACGGAGCGGCCAGAGGCACCAGCCGGCCGGAAGGGGATCTTAGAGAAGCGCCGCCATTAAACAAAGTTAGCCTCGGAAGTGCCTTAGTGCTCCAGCGTGCTCTGAGAGCTCAATAACGAAGCATATCGAGCGCGACCGCGGAACCCTGGAAGTACTATTGTAGCTGACCAACCAGTCCCACCTGCAGCTGCAGCCAGCCCGTTACAGACTGTGAACCACAAGGCCAGAGCTGTTTGAGCCGCCCAAATGCTACCCTACTGTATGTCCAATGCGCGCTTCATGCCATCCGGGCCATGTGGACTAGCGAACATGTGCCCAGGACGTCCTCTGGCCAGCAAGTCACCTGGCGCCCGGTTAGAAGCTAAGGCGGCCCTGACACCCCTGTTGTTGAGTTCCCGTCCTGTTTTCGCATCAGATCTCGTCTCAAGTTTAAGCAGCATGTTAGCTGTTCGCCGAGAGCAAGTAGGTCGAACAATAACGCCTTTATTCCCAGTGCGCTACGGAGCAGGAGGGGTCTGTCTACCTGGCGCAGTTCAAGTTGAAGATTATGGGGGTGCGCAGGGGTACATCGTCGTCGGACACAGATTCAGTTCTCAGGGGAAACGCTATTCTTCCTACAAAGTCACGCTTTCTGCTCGTTGATGTGTTCAGACGTCTGAGCCTGTCCTGGTCTCCAGCGGAGGAGGTACTCCATATCGTGTCTCGACACCACCTTCGCCGTGATCGAACAGACGATAAAGCAACTTCCAACCCAAGATTACAACTGCTCCAGCGACGGCACAAGACGCCGCAATGATCAAGCCATGTCTATATCGAGGAGCGTCTGTGTAAAAGGTCAGTCGGGGTCCGTGTGGAATGAGATCACCAGGTTGACTGACCTTGCGCCGTGAACAATTGATTACCGGGAAATCCTGCTAGCTGAATGCTCATCACATATGCTGCCAAAGCAACTGGGCGTTTGTAGTCTTGAATTTTGGACGTGAGCCATGCCGCACTAATCGCCTGAGCAGATCCCATACCCATCTGGGTCATTACAACGCCACCTGAATGGAACGTTAGCTTTTTCTTATTGCCCAAGAAAAGGTCATGGAAGAATGGATAGACATACCATAGAGAACCCACTTTCCGACCCCGGTCGGCGCCAATGCCAACCACAGGAGACCAGCAGCTCCCCAGAGATAACCGACAACGATATGGAAACCACGTTCCCTCATTTTGTCGCTGCTGAAGGCGAGGGAGATCGACCAAACCAGGGCGCAGACACTGCCCACGGAATTCAGCCCGTTGGCTTGGAGCCCACTGAATCCCAAAGACTTGATGATGGAAGGGGCGTACGTGTTCATCGGCTGAATCATTATCATGGACAAGAAGGCACCGACGAGGTGACCATACAGTCTCCAGTCCATGAAAGTCTCCAAGATATGTCTGGGCAGGACCGGCTTTCCATATCGAAGAGCCTTGGTGGGATCATTGCGAATCACGCGTGTGACCAAGATGCTCGCCTCTCGTTCGGTGAAGAAAGTGAAGGAGTTGCCGAAGAAGGTCTTGGGCCGGGCAGGACCATGGGGTAGGTAGAAGTAGGCAACGACTGCAAGAAAGCAGGTCAAGATGCCTTCTATCAGGAAAAGCCACTGCCACCCATGAAGACCGTGGGATCCTCGAAGGGAAAGGAGCCCGATCGACAGAGGCCCACCTAGAGCACCGGCAAAGCTGTTGGAGGCCCAGAAGATGGCGAAGCGCAGGCCGAGCTCCTGGTTGGTGTAGTACTTTGAAATGTACAGCACAAATCCAGGTATGTATCCACCTTCTAGAGCTCCGATGAAGAACCTGGCGGCCCATAGACCCGAGGCGTTCTTGATGAAGATCTGTGCCCATGTCACAATGCCCCAGCAGAACATCGTGACGGGGAGGAAACGTTCAGGCCCGAGCCACTTCGAGATCATGTTGAAGGGTATTTCGGTTATGACAAATCCAACAATGAAGAGTGTCTGGGCGGTGTTGATCTGCTCGTTGCCGACGTTGATATCGTGCCGCATGGTGTCTGTGAGTGCATTGCCAATGTTGGTCCGGTCGAATTGGAGGAAACAGAAGCAGAGCACGATAAAGGGTAAGATGAACAAGTCAACCTTGAGGACTGCCTTTCTGGCTTCGACAGCCTCGTACTGGAGATCAGCCACGTAGCCTGGGACGAAGTCCAGTGCATCTTCCCCGATGACGGCGTTAGCTGAGTGTTGAGGTTGTTCTATCCTGGCTTTCATTTCAGATGGGACGCCCATTCTGATAGCAGTATTATATATGTATGGTCAAACTGATATGATGATGCACTTCCGCGATCCAGGAGCCACTCGATTTTTGCTTTCAGACTTTTACTCTCCTTGGGCAAGGACACTCGTCCCCAACTCTGCGAATCTTGTCGACTTATATGCATTTTGACACTGACACGATATCAATCGCGCGACCGTATGATAATGCTCTCTTTCCATCAGGATTTGAAGATATCATCTTTGGCAATCATGGCGTGCTGATTGATATCGACCTATGAGAGGTCCGTTCTCCAGGTCCTTGCGGAAGTTCTTAATATTGATATGGCAAGTCTTATCAGTCCGATGGAAATACCGCCGGCATGCCGCCGGTCGACCGAGCTTGTCGCAATCGAGTTCCTAGATTCGAAGTGGCTTCCTGCGCACAACGAGGGCCAATCGGCGCTGATAGAAGTGCAAAGACTTGGCCTCTGCCGCCGGCATGCCGTAGGAAGGCTATCAGAGCATGGCAAGCGGTACTGAAAGCTGGACTGCCCTATCCGATTTTTGTTGTCGGGGCAGACCGATAGAGGATCCTTAAGGCTCAAAGCTGTATATATAGTGAGTGACTGTAATGCTTTGTCCATAAAATCATCAATCAATCATCCTGAGTGTATATAATGGAGCAGAACACATTGAAACGTAGACGCGTTGGCCTGACTGGTGTCGACAAGAAGAGATCTTTCGGAGGCTACACGCTTTTCTGCCCTCTTACCAGCGACACCGCACATCTAATTGACATCGATGGTCAGGAAGTACACTCGTGGAAGCTTCCAGGAAGAATTGGGCGCCATGCGAGGATCCTGCCAAATGGCAATCTCGCCGTCAACACGCTTCGCCCTGGGCCGTCTCCGTTCCCTTTCTTCAACAAGTACGGTGGAGGTATCATGAGTGAACTGAACCCTGATGGGCAAGTGATCCGCCAGTATGCCGATGCTTTGGGCCACCATGATCAATACCACTACGGCGATGGTCGCATACTTTATACCAGCCTTGAAGCTCTCTCACCTGAAGAATCGGCAAAGGTGGTCGGCGGCGTGCCAGGCTCCGAAATTGACGGCATAACGTATGCAGATACAATCAATGAAGTCGATGCCGACGGAAAATTGACGTGGCGGTGGAAGGTCTCAGAGCGGCTACCCAAAAAGGAATATCCGTTACAACCACATTACACGCGGGAGCATTATCCTTTGATCAACGCCGTTTTACCGATGCGTGATGGAAAACATATCCTGGCGTCCATGCGATCAGTCTCGGCGGTGGTGATCATCGAAAAGTCCACGGGAAATATCGTGTGGAAACTTGGGTCTGACGTGCTGGCACAACAACACAACGCCACCGAACTGGAAAATGGCAACATCCTCATCTTCGACAACGGAGCTTTTCGAACCGGAGAATCAATTCAGTACACGCGTGCCATCGAGGTGGAGCGTGAAACCAAGAAGATCGTCTGGGAGTATCACGACAAGTCACAGATGGTGTATTTCTTCACACCGTTCATGGGCAGCGCTCAGAGGTTGTCGAATGGCAACACTCTGTTGTGTGAGAGTGCCTTCGGTCGTATCTTTGAGGTCACGAGAGACGGCTACGCCTGTTGGGAGTACGTGAACCCACACTTTGCGCCGTACCCAGATGCGGCGGCGGCTAAGATCTTTCCGGGGGAGTCGAATGCCTTGTTCCGGGCCTATCGGTATTCTTTGGACGAGATCCCATGGTTGAAGGAGAAGTTGGCAAGTCGTGGGCCAAGGAAGGAAGACTGAGTTGTCATTGTCAGGGGGGTGTTCGCCACTGAGACTAACGCATTGTTTGGGGTCGTCGGGTTTGCGTGGCCCGTTTCCTTCATGCCGTGACTCAGGAGTGCCCGCCGGTACTGTCCGCGTTGGAAATGTCCACGAGCATCCTAAAAATTGGTTTCTGTGAGCTGATCGGTCATTGCAGTTAGAAGAGGCAGACCTCTGAAACGAGGCTATGGCATTCAAAACCAATGAAGGAAGCTCAGAGCTGAGTCATCTGACACTGAGGTCTGTGTAACGGTGTCATCCATTATGAAGTTTCCAGCCCCTTTTACTATGCAGTTGAATGTACTTCGTAGAAGGGCTAGCGAGAATTTAATCCTCAATTGGACTATCCCTACAAAGTGGCCAAGTTAATGAATACGAAGACAAGGGGGCAAACCCCATCACAATCAAATCTTCAAGAGAGCGTCGTAAAATGTCCAGCTGTATTCAAAGCACATTTGCTGTAATCAAGTTTTCTGCCAGTGACTGCAAAACCCTCCTTTCTGAGAACGACAAGCCGTATTTTGAACGGGAACCGGCCGTCTACAACCGACTTGGACATCATCCGTGCGTTGCAAAAGTACTCCGTATCCAAGATCACACAATCTACCTGGAACGAGGAGCATGCCAAATGGATCGACCTTGGAGGTTCAAGCATAGACGAGCATGAAGCACTGACGATTTATGACGCCTTTAGCTATCGAGCTCCCGAGCCTCCTCGCCCTGATGTCAGCGTAGAATTAGACATCTTTGCATTCGGCTGCGCAGTGTATGATATCGAGACAGGGTTAGCACCTTACTTCGACGAAACGAAAGACTTGGACCCCAGCTATCTGATGACCTACATGGAAGACAAATATCGGCAAGGGCTCTATCCGTCCACAGAGAACCTTCGCTATCCATCCATAATCACGGGCTGTTGGCATGAACGGTATGGGTCAATGGGAGACCTGAGGAGGGAGTTGGACTTGATTGATGCACGACAATCATCAGCGGCAGGATGTTCCCGTCTCTTGCTGGCTCTTATGTCTGTGTGGCGGGTGGTACGGGAAAAGATCGTGGGGATTTGGAGGTTGTTATCTCGGACTGGTTGCACTTTAGCACTTGGACTTGATATCGATTCCAGTCTTCCTAGTCTTAATGACCGGGTCAGGCAGGCCTGAAGAATCATCGGCGCAATTGGTATACAGGCTGGAGCCCATCCTAGTAGGTAAGAATATCTTGACGGTAGTCATTATCGAAGTACCAAGCGTAGGCGTCAGGACTATCCTTCAGGGTAATTATTGTCGTAACAAGTTTGACACTGCTTGTTCTCACCTTGGTATCTTGACCATGCAAACACAGCTATTTTCTGGAGATCCAACGGTAACGTTTGGTAAATGTGTGACTTTTGGACAAAGATCTAGGTAGACCACGTGACAAGGCTATCCCGAGCAAGTTTGCAACTAGTCCCTTTTCAGTGCCATAATGATAAGATAAGATTCTCCAGAACTTTTCCTGCGCATTAAGAAATAATTAATTAATTTATTTATTTTGAACTGTTGCACCACCACCTCCTCCGCACAGTTGTGCTAAAGACCACAGAGAAGATAATATGCCTCGACAAGCGCACGGAAGACCATTGCAACCTGGCAAAGTACAACATTCAACCAGGAAGAGAACCGAAAAGAACCGAAAACTAAACGCCCTCGAGATTGCAGAACACGAGAACCCAGAACCGGTAAAAATCAGAAAACATCGACTCGGAGTGGTCGAGGACGATTCAGACGAGCCACATACCCGAGAAACTCTCGATGAACGGTCATCAAAGAGGAGAAGAGTGACTACAAACGATGAAGACGAGTCTGTAGATGAGGGTTCTGACCTCGAAGGCAACCGGTGGCATGTGGGCGTCGACGACGACGATGAGGACAGTGACATTGACAGTGAAGATGCCTTTGGTGCTAGTGATGAGGAGCGCTTTGCAGATTTCGCCTTTCGTGGTAGCACAAGTACAACTGCCCATCCCAAGAAAAAAAGAAGCCGCTCTGTCGCCGATGACTTAGATGAGAACGAGCGAGACGATGGCAAGGAGAACGAAAATGAAGATAGTGATGATCTCGGTGACGATGCAATTGACCTTGCTACTGCGTGGGACATGGACGATGAATCTGGATCTGATGTGGCTGGAAAGAAGAGAAAAGGCCATAATGCTCGCTCGGGCAGTGACGATGAGCACGAAGAGCACCCCGAATCTGAAGACGACGAAGATGAAGACGAAGACGAGGAGTCAGAAGACGAGGAGGATCAGAAGTCACTATTCTCCGTGTCTGACGAGGATGGTGATCATTCCCGTTTGCAGAACTTCGTGGAGGGACTTTCAAGCGGCCGGTCAGACACTGCAATGAGGCAGCGACGACTTCCCAGCAATCTGTCGGACAAGCCGTCGCAATTTGGAATAAGTGGCTCGAAGATATCAGCAGCAGATCTGATGCAATATATCAAGGACCCGCGCCAGAGGCAGTCACTCAAAATCCTTCAGAATAACGAGGAACAGGGCAATGAGGTTTATAAAGGCGGGATCCCTGGTAAACTTGCTCCCCCACTGGCGAAGCGCCAGCAAGACCGCCTTGACCGCGCGGCCGCATATGACGAGACAAAAAAAGAGCTGGGTAAATGGGTAGAGACTGTCAAGCAAAATCGCCGTGCGGAGCATCTTTCTTTCCCACTAGTCGATCCCGCGGCAAGTGGTGAGTTGACGAGCAGACAACTTGGACCGACCTCGAAGTCTCAACCTATGACTGCCTTGGAATCCACCATCCACGATATCATGAAGGAAAGCGGCATGTTGTCCAAAGAGCAGCGATCACTCGATGAGCAGGAGCAGGCTTACGAAGAGCTTCAGGAAAAGAAACTGCCACTTGAGGAAGTTCAGGCACGTCGAGCAGAGTTGAGAAAAGCAAGAGATTTGATGTTCCGAGAAGAGATTCGAGCCCGAAGAATCAAGAAGATCAAAAGCAAGTCTTATCGTCGGGTACACCGCAAGGAACGAGAAAAAGCCGAGCTGGAGCATCGGTCTTTGTTAGCCGCACAAGGCTTGATTGATTCCGACGAAGATCGTGAGAAGAATGATCGCCGCCGCGCCGAAGAGCGAATGGGGGCACGACACCGCGAAAGTAAGTGGGCAAAGAGCATCAAAGCCACGGGCAGAGCTGCTTGGGACGAGAACGCTCGACATAGTGTCACAGATCTTGCTCGTCGAGACGAGGAACTACGCAGACGAATTGAAGGCAAGATGGTGGGAGGCTCTGACGAAGACGATGTCGAATCGTCAGAGTCTGACGAATATTCGGACTCAGAAGACGAAAGGGCTCGATTGGAAAACAAGCTCGAATCTCTCGATCATGACGCTCCAGCAAGCGTTGAATCTCGTCTTAACAACATGGCCTTTATGAGGAAGGCGGAAGCTTCGAGGAAAGCGGCCAATGACGAAGAACTCTATAGACTGCAACGAAGTTTGCAAGACGACGGCGAACACGGCGGATCGGATGATTCGGAAGCTGATTGGGAAGAGCCCAAGGGACGTTGGAAATTTGGCGGACAAGGCAAGGCTGAAATGCCACCAATTCAACACCCGGTCCAGAAGAGTGAATTCGAAGAACGTGAATCAGATGCTGAGAGAGAAGACGATGAGAATGGCGAGGAACAAATGGGACAAGCCAACGAAGGACGATCCTCCAACTCTGCCATTACACCACTCATCTCAACGCAACCTCAACCCCTGGCGACCCCACGCCACAGCAAGGGAGCTAATGAGTCGACAACTTCTGGACCTATCGTAGCGAAGAATACTGGCCCACATCGTGCACCGAAGGAAGGAGCATTGCCTAGGAAGCAGACCGGTGTATCGCACATTGAACTTGATGGTTACACTAGCCCATCCGAATCCGAAAACGAGCAAGACGATCACGCTGCTCTTGCAAATGCCATATTTGCCGGTCCCGATGAAGTGGAGCAAGATTTTGCGAAGGAGAAGAATAAGGTGGAAGAGGAAGAGGGTGACCAGGTGATCGACAATGGCTTACCTGGATGGGGGAGCTGGGCTGGCGAGGGCATTAGCAAAAAAGTCCAAAACCGGGCCAAGGGACGGTTCGTTACCACCGTCAAAGGTGTGTCCAAGGACAAGCGACAAGATGCCAAATTGGATCGGGTAATCATCAACGAGAAGCGGGTGAAGCGGAACGGAAAATATCTGGCCACCGAGTTGCCTCACCCATTCGAGTCGCGTCAGCAATATGAGCGATCTCTACGTCTGCCTCTTGGACCTGAATGGACCACGAAGAGTACCTTCCAGGATGCCACCAAACCAAGAGTCCTGACGAAACAAGGTATCATTCGCCCAATGGCCCGGCCGATGGTATAGTGAATGGCTTGTCGCAAGGATACGTAGAGGGGGTGATGCAGCACAAGGAGCACCTAACGGCATGAATGATCAATCAATGATAGAACCAGACCCCGATATATCTTTCTAGAAGAGCGTGTAACTGGCGTTGAATGTTGTGGTGGCGGCGACTATTGAGGAGATTCGCCCATTTTGACACGCTTTGCCGAGATTGACCCATCGTCATTGAAATGTTCAAAAACACCAACAACCTCAACAATACAATATAGTTCGCAATCAACCTTTCAGCCACCTCGTACACCAGGACTTCGATGAATTCTTCATCGCGATCTCTCGTCACAATCATACAGGACTGTCGCTGGCACAGATCGCTTGGCTCTAAGCAACGGGTCTTGTCCTTCTACAAAACCTTCAAGACTCCAGATCAGCATGCTTTCTGCACGGTAGTTCCTCCTGTCATCTATCGCGAGGCCCGACAATGACAGCATGGCCCGTTCCAGTCTTGAATGGTGGGAAAGAGCAGATGATCGTCGATGGAGGAAGGAGCAGAGCATCAACGGCGAGTGCAAAGACGATGGAGTCTTCTTCGTCAACCGTCTCAACCAGACACCCTCCTCCTCCTCTCTCACGTCGTCGACAGCCTCGTTATCCTTCCTACCTATCAGCTAACACCGCACTCCTCATCCTATAAATCCCTATCGTGCTATCGGTATCGCTGTTACTATCCTCAGAGACGAGTTAGCACGCCATTGTCTGATCTCCACCTCGAGCTCGAGCCTACGGTTGCATGGACTCACGGATCATGCCGTCCACCGTGCACATGTCTAGTCCAATGTCTACAGCTCTGATCCTGGTATGCTTTGACACCTTCTCGAATTTTGGCCTGCCTGCAATAGCTCGATTCGGAAGTCTGTTGTCCCCCTCTAGTCGTCACCAGCTTCCAGCATTTATTACGGAGCAGGAGGACAAAATGGTGTCTCAACTGCTTCTAGGACATCTACACTTTGTGAACATCCAAGAATCTACCTGTTGCACCTATAACGTGTCCATCAATAACTCTAGATACCAAAGAAATACCTGACATTCACAATTGGAGTCTGAAACATTGAACTCTTCTGCAATACCTCCCCCCTGCAGATCTCAACCACTCTCGCTACTGGCATTTTCCTGAATCAGTTCGATTCGCTACATGTGTAGCGAATCCAGATCCCAGACTCTCTTGCCCTCTCACTATGCCCAGACGATTTTGTCCAATTTTACTAACACTGTCACAGATTTTTCTTGCCGGAGCTCTACCCGCCGGCCCTCGTTTTATCAGTGAGTTGAATGATTTCCTGCTGATCAGAGAGATCAGGCTTGGAATTTGCTACTGATATGTACTCCTGCGTTCAGATGCGCTGGGTCATCATTTCGAGGTTGGACCTCCCCTCTTCGCCTCATTTCCTGACGGGAATCCTTTCACGAACCCTTTCACAACATACGTCTACACGCCGCATGCGTCAGCCACGGAGCCGCCGCCCGCCGCCTCGAGCCAGCCGGATGCTGTCGCTCACGAAGAAGGCTCTTCCACCATCACGTTCGGCGATCCTCATCTGAGTGTCCAGACATTCACGGTGACGAGCCTGAATTCTTCGCAAATTCCTACCAGCACACTCGAAAACCAATCATCTTTGGCGCCTACAGGAGTAGGATTATCTCTCAACACTATTTGAACATCGCTGACAAGTATAGAGCATTATTACTACACTTGAGACAGCAGGACATCCGCCGGTGCAGCCATTTCCTACCAGCGTCCCGTCTGTTACCTCGGCAACCATTCAGCCTCTTAATAGCACTGTTAGCTTTGGCAATGCAACGGCACCCACGTCCCAGAGTACCCTCACCGAGACCATCACTGTACCCCTGACAACGTTCGAGACAGTGGTTGTCACGCAAACTGTGACGACTATCGCGATCGAGACAACTGCTACCATCACCGCCGTAACAGTATTGAACACTACTGTGACATCTGGAGGAACAGTGATCGCGACTTCGACCGCTGGCACGACAGTCATAACAACAACGGGTACTGCGATTATAGAAACAACCTTGTCAGCATCCTCTGTAATCACCGGGACTTTGTCTACCACGTTGACCACGGATACCCAACTTCCAAATCTCCCCACGGCTACTGCTTCATGCCTGCTCACCATGGGCTGTTATGGTCAGGACCTGTTTGAGCCGATTGCTATCGGGCAACCGCCAACAAACATACCGCAACAGGGAGGCCACCCTGTGCCACGACTGGGTATCACCAATATCACGGGACCCATTGAGACCAACAAATTCTACGAAAACTTTGTTCTGGGAAACCAGGACTTTCCAGCTTTCACGTTCCCGTATACTCTGGCGTGGAGCAAAGGAAGCGGCAACGCTCAGAGTTGGGGCATGGCCATCTCTCATGTTGAACAGAGCCAGAAGGCGTTCGGTCCTCCCAATACGGCTATTCCAAACTCGCCAGACTCCTTTTATATCAATCCACTCGGCATTCAGTCCATGGTTCTATCCGCGGCGGAATTCGGAAGCAATACCATTCTCACAACTGATTCACTGCTGGCGTTCTCAGCAAATGTACATCTCTCGCCTGGGACTGGCTCTACCTCAGTACTCACCATGCCTCTGGTGCAGGGGATGGCTTTTATCACTGGTCAATACATCAACCTACAGCCAAATATCCAAAGCAGCGTCTTCTTCCGCAGTGTCTCGGCTGCTGGAGAGCCTAAACCTGGTATATTCAAGTACAGAATCACGCTTGAGGATGGTAAAGTTTGGCTTTTGTACGCACTTCCAAGCAATGGCATTAACCCTAATTTCAAGCTCGTCTCAAGCACGTTGCTTCAAGGGCCCGCCAACTGGTATGGTGACATACAAATAAGCAAATTGCCTAATGATGGTCTTGACTTCATCTATGATGACGCTGCAGGCACATGGCCCACGGCTGGACACATTGGTGGTCATGCCCAGGATGCGAAAGCTCAGTACAGCCTGTCATGGACAAAAGGCGGGCCATTTGCACAGAACTCGACTCTTGTCATGTTCGCTCTTCCTCATCATCTCCAGTCGTTTGCAGCCACCAGTCCAAAAACAGTGACGAATCTGACCCTGGCCACCACCACCGTTGGAACTGCTACAGCGGTGATTGCAGATTACTGGGTCCTGGAGGAGGATGAGCTTCCGACATCTCTCGGTTTTGCACCCTGGAGACCTGCAGGCTCATCTGAATCAACCACGAGCTTGTCAGCAGCTGCAGTCGCGGCCATTCAGCAGGTCGCTGTCACGGAAGCCTCTCAAAACATGTCTGCCCAAACGAACCTTAACAGCATGTACTACTCCGGCAAGGCCCTGAGCAAGTTTGCAACGCTAGTCTATACAATGCACGATCTTGCTGATCAAGCTGACCTAGCCAAGACTGCGCTGCTCGAACTAGAGAGTTGCTTCGAAGTCTTCTCGAACAACCAGCAGCAATTCCCGCTACTATACGACACGGACTGGAGGGGCATCGTCTCGTCGGCAAGTTATGTGACTGGTGATGATGGTGTCGATTTTGGCAATTCTTATTACAACGACCACCATTTTCATTATGGATATTTCCTTCATGCTGCTGCTGTCATTGGCTATTTGGACCCTACCTGGCTCATCAAGAACAAGGACTATGTCAATGCATTGGCGCGGGACGTCTCAAATCCAAGCTCCCTGGACCAATACTTCCCGGTGTTCAGATCCTTCGACTGGTACCATGGGCACTCATGGGCCAAAGGGCTCTTTGCTTCTGGAGATGGCAAAGATGAAGAGTCGTCTTCTGAGGATGCTATGTTTGCTTATGGCTTAAAGATGTGGGGCAAGACCATTGGCGACGCTTCCATGGAAGGTCGTGGCAACCTGATGCTGTCGGTCCTTGCACGCAGCTTGCACAACTATTTCCTCATGACTTCTGATAATGTCAATCAGCCGGCGCAATTCATTGGCAACAAGGTAACGGGGATTCTGTTCGAGAACAAAGCCGACCATACAACCTACTTTGGAACCGACTTCAGTTATATTGAAGGGTAAGTTGTGCCAGTCTCACCCGTGGAGCTTTTTACTGACACGATATAGCATTCATATGATCCCGGTGATGCCTTTCTCAACTTTGACACGAACTCGTAGGTTTTGACCTATCTTTCATTTTCACAGATCCAACTAATGTGTTGTAGAGCAATTTGTGGCTGAAGAGTGGACAACTTACTTTGCAAATGGTGCGACAAGGGACGCCGCTAATATTACAGGAGGGTGGAAAGGTGAGTCCCCTGGTAGCTCTATAGGACACAGGGCTAATGACTTTCAGGTATTGTATATGCAAACTTTGCCAACATTAACCCGAGCGCAGCATACAACTTCTTTACGCAGGACAATTTTGATATGAGCTGGATCGATGGAGGAGCTTCTCGAACGTGGTACATTGCACTGAGTGCCATGCTGGGAGGGTCTCCGTGATCGATAGCGGAACTAACGATTGACGAGCAAATGTTTTACTCTTTTTTGATTACGCTTAGCGACAGGGAAGAACAGAACAGGGGAACGGTAACAACATTGGCGTAGAGGTACGGCGTTCAATATTACCTGGGCAAAGGCGTAGGTCTGGATTGATTGTACACAAGGCTTCGAGATATTGGGCCTCTGGAAAGGCACTGGTCAGCAACAAAATCTGGCGCCGATCATAGGTGGATAGTTTCTAGTGAAATACACTTGAGAACCTATTTTTCCTGACTATAACAATTGTATCGTATTTGTGTAAATTTTCTGTCGTTATTTGTGCTATTGGGATAGGTTGATGGTCACAAGCCGTCGAGGTTCAGCGACGAGCACGGCGCAAGATGTTCTCAATAGCAAGAAGCCCCCTTGACCAAGTCATTATGGCTTATACTGGAAGTTAGTAAGTTTTCCAAGCCCTCATGATGCAAACAATAAATCACTCTGGCTTTGCGTTATTGGGCTAGTGAGCTTGGAGGTTTCATATCGCTCGCGAGTCAAGGCATCGTCCCAGTGGAAAGCGAGAAGGTTATTATTTTGTGGACGATTCTTGCCGTGAGGTTCGCTGGTGGTGGCGGTGGGGGTGGTGTTGAGTTTGACGAAGGGGGTCTGCTTGAGCACGGAGCGCGAGAGGAGGTGACGGAGGAGACGGGGGGTCATTTTGTGTGGACGACCGTCGGTATAATCCTTGAATCGAATTCCCGGTTTGGGACCCTCCAGGATCACCTCGGCTTGTCTGTCCGCCTCTTCTGCGTTTTGGAGTTCCTCGGACCTCTGGGCTCGCGGTCGTCGTAGTCTGCGTTGTGGAATGGCCGGGAACGGTGTCTTGCCGCTCACCAGGTCGTGGAGGGTTTTGTATTCCTCCCCGGGCAAAGGTGGGAGGGCAGCTCCGACGACGTTGGCTCGGTACCATTCTCGCTTGAGGTTCTTGACTCGGCTGGGGGGGAGGGGAGTTCCCCAGATGGTTGTGGGCGGGGAAGGCTTGAAGCTCGGTTTGACCTTGTTGGACGGACGATTTGAACGGTCGAATTTGGATTGTTCGGCGGCCTGGGAAACAAGCAAGGCTCGCATGTTGGGTGAAATGTCGTACTTGGCAAGTTGGGAGGAGAAGTAGGCTTCGCGACGGGGTGAGAGGACAGGGAGGGTCGTCGATTCTGGCTTGTTATCGCTTTTCTTTCCTTGGTTTGTCTGCTGACGAGACGGCGTTTTTCCCTCTGGGCCTATCCCAGCACCTGTACCATTGTTTGGGTCCGACTTGGACCCGAATGGTTGATCCGAGACTTGTGCATCGTCCCGAGATACTGGAATTGATAGCCATGGTTCGAGGAGGGCGTATCGTCTAGGTCCTATACGGCCATAGGTCATCCGCATGACCTTCTCGACGTGTGCCGTGTAGCCTTCATTTGCGCGGCGGAGAGACGACAGAAACTTGCGGCCTCGGTGGAGGAGTTTCGTCCGTCGGTCAAAGGTAAGGGAGTTGCCGGACCGAGATTTGGGTTCTTCATGGTTGTTCTGAGAGTATTTGGGTAGGTAACGTCGGAAGGAGGTGGTGATGTGGGATTTGATAAAGGTGCGGCATTGTGGTAAGGGAAGATAGGTGGCTTCCCGGAGAAGGGAGCGGTAGAGGTGGATTGGGTTTGTGGTCATTCCATCGTTCTTGTTATTGTATGAGAACTTGATGTGATGTGGACTTGGATAGAATGAGAATGAGGCGCAAATTGATCTACTCGTCGTGGGCTTTTGCAGACAATCAATGCATTTGCACGTCGTAGTGAAATTATGTCGGCGTACCTACCTCTGCAGACTCAAGTGTCGACGCTACAGTCCTTGGTGTCTACTTAGCGCCTAGTTAGAAGGCTGTCTGTCTAGACGCGGTTGTCGAGGGCGAAAGGGAAAGTGGGGAAGCTGCGAGTCCTTCCTTCACGCGTTTTAGCCACACGAAATCCAAGGACGTGATTAATGACAATCTCGCCGACAAACGAAGCTCAGGCCGACATCCTTTTTTGCGATAGCATTGCAAGTCGCGACTGTCGCATTGCATAGTCACGGACTGCTTACGACATACCAAACAAAGTCGTCAGGGTTTTTTTTGGATGTTCCCCTGGCCTTGAACTGACTGACTGACCCGAGGCGCCAAATGAACACCTGAGCAAATCCCTGTCCCGAACAAGCCACTTTCACTTCCCCCCTTCCCTATCGCAGTCAAGACCAGTGCGACATTGAGAATTGCGGGCACAGCGATCGGCCATTACGATCTCACAACACACAGAAACAAAAAACAATTCAATTGTCGCAGTCGCAATTGGACAACGACCTTGTTTGTTCGCGATAGCTGGACCACCGCAGCCTCGCTTCCTCAACTATCTCCTTAATTGATAGTCTCTCCGATAGCGCAAGTGCAATTGCGCCCGATATGTCCTGACCAAGAGAACCAAGACAAAACCTCCTCAGACCTTACGACAAGAGACAATCAATACCGACGGTCAAAAAAAAGCAAACAATGATGGCTTCAGGAGGCTTACAATCTGGAGTCTATCCGCAACCCCCTCCTTCTTTCCCCCAACATGGCCACTCCAGCTCCATGAACGCTTCCTTTCCTCACCCTCCGCCCATGGGCTACGCCGAGGCTTCTCACTCTGTGAATTCCACACCTGCGCCAACTCCACCGCCGCCGAGACCTGCATCGCAGCACCAGCAACAACAGCAACAAATGGTGTATAATATGAACGGTGGTAATCCCATGGCCAATGGAGGTATGATGGGCGCTCCCAACAGTTTCGGCGGGTATGCAGAGCAAAATGTCTATCCTCAACCGGGCTTTTATGGCAATGGCAACACCAACAAGCCACAGATTTACACTGTAAGTTGTGCCAAAGCGTTTTTTGCACTGACCGGTAGAGCCACGAGCTGACAGACACTTCCCTTCAGGCTGTGTATTCTAATGTTTCGGTCTTCGAAATGGAGGTCAACGGTGTAGCCGTCATGCGACGCAGAGCGGATTCTTGGCTCAATGCCACACAAATCCTCAAGGTGGCGGGAGTCGACAAAGGTAAGAGGACCAAGGTGCTCGAAAAAGAAATCACCGGCGACCACGAAAAGGTACAGGGTGGGTACGGCAAGTACCAGGGCACCTGGGTGAATTACCAGCGCGGCCGAGAATTCGCACGACAGTATGGCGTGGAACAAATCCTTCTTCCGCTTCTCGAGTACGACATCACTTCTGATGGCATGCCCGGTATGAGTCACGGAATGGAGACTCCCACCAAGGAGCAAGCCCTGGCGGCACAGCGCAAGAGAATGTATGGCGGCGACGGACGATCAATGTCACAATCCTCGGGAGGCACTTTTTTCAAGAACATGTCTAGTACGGCTGCCAACGCAATTCACGCCCTGAACAGAACTCGTCTCGATTCGCCCAATCACATGGACGGCCGCCGCTCGGTTGGTCCTCGTCGCCAATCTCAGTCGCAGCAGGCATTCACTTACGGGACTGATGGTTTATACGGCCAGGCTAGCCAACAGAGCATGCCAAGCATGAATTCTCAAGATAGCTTCACTACCAATGGTGCCATTATGAGCCAAAGTGCGAGCTTTGCAGACTTTCCCGCTCCAGATGCTCAAGAACCTCCACGCAAACGCATCCGACCATCCCCTCAATCGTCATTCATGGCCGGTCCCTACGACACGTCGCTCGAGATGGCACTCGTCGACGGCACTCCTACCGAACCTAACGCGTCGTTCTTCTCACAGCCAAGCCAGACCTTTGTTGCACCCGACCCTCTGTCTTACGGCCTAGAACCTCTTCCACACCCTGTTGGACCTATCGACAACGAGAAGAAAGACCTCTTGCTGGACCTCTTCCTCGACGCACGTCGGACGGATTTCGATGATGACCCAGCATTCCTGCGGCTCAGTGGTGAGGAGTTTGAGTTCCCAATCGATGGCTCGTGTAATACTGTACTACATTGGGCGGCTACGTTGGCTAGAATACCTCTAGTACGAAAGTTACTGGAAAAGGGCTTTAATATGAGGCGCACCAACAGTGGCGGCGAGACTGCTTTGATTGCAGCTGTTCTGGCACGAAATAACTTGGATACGAGCAACTTTCCAGCCCTTCTCGAACTCCTTGGACCTAGTATTGAGGTTAGAGATGGGCGTGGTCGTACAATACTCCATCACATTGCTGTGTCATCGGCCATGAAGGGTCGAGCTGCGGTCGGCAAATACTATCTCGAGTCGTTGCTCGAATATGTCGTCAAACAAGGGGCTTCGCAGTCGTTGTCTTACGACACCATGCATGGAATGAACCACGAAAACAAAATGACCCTGAACAGATTCATGTCTGAGATTGTCAACGCGCAAGACAAGGCAGGTGACACGGCTCTGAATCTGGCGGCACGGACCAATACGACGACCATCATCGAGCAACTGATTGAAGTTGGTGCGGACCCTCACATTCAAAACCGTGGTGGACTTAGCCCCATTGATTTCGGTGTTGTTGGTGGCCACGTCAACAATCAGATAATGGATCAGACCATGACAATGTTTGAACAACCCTCTGCGGCCGATGGACCACCTCAGAAGTCCTTTGAAGATGCTCAAGAAGGACTCATGGCTTGTGGGTATTCTGTATTTTGAGAATTGAAACGTCGAGGCTAACCAGTGACAGCGATCCGGGAGATTTTGTCCCAATCAGAGGCCGATTTCACATCAGAGATGAAGGAGAAGAAGGGGACCCTCGACAAGACGAATGCCGCTTTGAAAGAGTCGGGTACGTCATTGGCAGAGGAGCGACGACGACTGGAAGAGGTCCGAAGCAAAGTTCGAGAGAAAGAGGATCTGGAGCAAAGAATCAACAACCTGCGTCAAGCAAATGCGAAACTGCGAGCAGAGTTGAGTGAAACTGACCCACCAACCACGATACAAGATAACGTGGCGATCGGCGAAGCGGACAAAGGTCTGGACTTGGATGGGCAACTTCCAATGGTTGCACATTTGTTTGCAGATGGCGAAACCGACCCCAGCACCATGAATCTGACACAGGAGCAAGCTAATTTTCTGGGGTGTCTGGAACGTGCGGAGGTGCTGTCTGGACGAGCAAAGGTGTACCAACGCCACAATCAACAACTCGAACACATGGCGAAAACCCTCAAGGCTCGCAGTGGTGAGTTGGAAGAGCGATACAAGAAGATTGTCAGTCTCTGCATTGGTCAAGACGAGGACAAAGTGGACGGCTTGTTGGACCACCTCGTGCAGGCGGTCGTTAGTGAACAAAAAGAGATGGGCAACGATTCGCAACTTGGACGTGTGAGAGATTTCCTCCGACTGGTGCAAGGATCAGGAAATTGATGGAGATGCCGCCGACTGATCTTGCTAGTATGAAGATGGCCTACGAATTACGGATGACCGCTTACTAGTGACTCGCCTTGTTCTGCGGGTAGTGGTTCTGTACAATATTGTATGTGCACAAATTACCTACCTCTCCACTTGGGAGAGGACACCGGCGACTGCCAGAAATTCGGCGCCAGGACGCTCATGTGTATGTGTTGCTATTACTCCGTATTGTTGTAATGAGTTAAGACTTGAGATACGGAGTACAATACTCAAACAGACATGCCAGTTACTGCGAGAACTGGCTGAGTATCTTACTCGGTGGTACGTACTCCGTACAGTACTCCATAGAGCTACCAATATGAATTGCAGGTTACGCAACACTGTGTGCATGACGAAGATGGTCTTTCGTCCTTGGTTTCCCCATGAATCACCTGGTTTGTGTGAGGTCTAGAGTTTGTTGGTTGTGGAGTGAGTATGCGTCGGTACGTACTTTGTCGTTCGGATGAGGTGGCGTCTGTGGCATCAAAGCGCGCGCATGGACTTCCCAGCCTCGTCGTCACTGGTAAATTTAGACTTGAGCCTCGTTGATGTCTGTCGGAAGAGAAAACAAAAAGTTGACCACACAGAGATGTTCCTGTAGTTAGTTAATACTCCGTAATACTCGTCTTGAATATCCCAAGCGACACTCTCGTACCGACGTTCAATTGGATGAGGTCGACAAAGTGGTTTGTTTCATGCCCAAGCCAGATTTGGTTGGGCGGTTGTGAACGAGACGTCGACGGCCAATGGATTAAAGACGCGGCTGGTTTCAAGCCTCGACAAGCGCGACGCGGAAATGGATCGATAGGCTGGATACGGAGTACACGAGATACAAACATCAGATGCCATTATGGAGCTCCGACGCCTCCTTTTTTTTTAACCAATTATGGAGTGAGGGTGCGAGCATTCCCAATGAGAGAACGAGGGTGTCCTTCACCCTGACCCCCTGCTTCCTCCCGTCATGCACGCCATTGTCTGAAAACTACAAGTACGCAAGAGGAGGCTTTTTTTGGTTTCTACGAAAACGCCATCCCCAGTGCTGATACCACGTATTCCGTAGGTGGCATTTTTTTGGTTGGGAACGAGGACAGGCTACGGGTGGTGAAGAGGACCTCCCCCCTTCTCCCTGAATGAGCCCCACCCATTATGGGGTACAATGTCTCGTACCTTACAGAACCTTCAACACGCCTCTCACCTCATGTTACAGTACGCCTTTTCGCCTCACACGACATTGACAGCGCGTATGGCGTCGGGCGTCAAGAGGTCACCACCATCTGTCCACTGGTTCACTCATATCCAGTGGTTGTTGTACTGCCTATTCCTATGGCCAACATACGTTTACTATACGGGCATTCTGTACCACTGAGTCGGCAAGTCGGGGATTTCGTTTATTAAAATGTCTTGAGTCGATCGCGTGTCTAGTGCCTCGTAAGAGTAACTCGTATCGACATTAATGCTACTACTGTACGGAGTACGTACAGTACAGATTTACAAGACATCTCAAACCCCTGTCTGGCCCACCTCCCCGGCCATGGCTCAGCGATTCGCTCCCTTTCCACTTCGCTCTTGTCCATGTCAGTCCGTCTGCGACACTTTCCAAGACGGTGCTGGAGCCTCGCAGGACCAATTTTTTGGCTGTGCTCGTCGCTTTGCGTTTTCCCTGTTTCATGCGATCCCCACCGGTCATGGGCCTCCCAAGTCGAGTCCAAAACCGATAGCATCACGTCTCCCGAGGCCTGGGTTGGCCGAGTACTACAGCACTCGCACCAACAGACCTTGTTCAACCCACAGGCCTCACCTCGGGATGGAGTTGGATCCCTTACAGTAGGTGTTTTATTTACTACCCCCAGCCCCTCCGTCTCGACCGACGAGATTCGCAACACTCTCACAGACCACATTCTCTCTTTCGCACAGGCCATTTCTCTCTTAGAACCCCCCTCTCGTCAAACTAAACGCTCAACTTTTTCTCTTGTGTGAGCTCACTACATTCATTCTGGGGCGATCGCTGGCCGTGCCTACATTCATTCTTCTTCAGACCCAGCTGCGCTTGGTCTGTTCACCGGTCTCGACGACCTGCGTAGAAACAAAAAACCAACGCCGATCATCCTCTTTCCCAACCTCGTCGTACAAACTGATCGTCAACACACCACCATGCATGTGACCGGCGTCATTGCGTCTGCCTTGATGGTGGTCGCTCAAGTTGATATCATCTCGGCCAAAGCGGTCGCGCATCTCCCGAATGCGCTGCGGAGGAGGAATTATATAGACGAACTCGAGAGGGATGTAGCGAAACTGTTGCGCCGAACACCTGAACCACAAACCGACGGTCCCGTCATCAACGTCGCGGCGCAGAACAACATGACGAACGCGACGATCGTGTCGGCCTGCACCGATGCGCTGGGCAAGCTCACCAAAGTCGACAACCCGGCCGGTTTCGGGGCGTGCTACAACATCCTCTCCTACGACGCGAAAAACAAAAACTTTGAAGCGGACCTTAGATTATACCAGATGTTCAACACCTCGGGTGCCTTTGCCGGCCTCCAGGCCAACGAGATCCAGATTGGCCTCATCTACCCCTCGAGCACGACCTTTCAGCCATTGACGGGCCTGCGGAGGACGAAGAGGTCTCTGGAAGGACGAGAAGCGAACATGCCCGAGATCCAACAATATTCGCTCGTGGGCAACTTCCAGTCCAACTTGGATCTGAGCAAGTTGAACGACACCCAGGTCATGTCCCTCATGTGGCCCGACATCAAGCTGAACGCGGTGAATGCCGACCAGAAAATCATCAGCGGCAACATCACGGCCAAGGATGGCGCCTGGTTCGTCACGGGCGAGTTCAGCGGCGAGTTCAACTCCGGCCTCGTCACCGCCGCCGTCGCAAAGCAAGCCATTACTGCCGCCGCACCTTTCGTCCTCCCAGGAACACACTTTGGCATCTTCCCTCTCGGACTCATCGTCACAATGTCATGGACTGTCTTGTTCTTCATCGCTTACGGCTTCGGCACGCTCGGGCGCATCAAGTACCGAGATGCGTACCGCAAGAGAAAAGCAGCTCAAGCGGGCAGGACAGGAAAGCGGATATAAAAATTTGAGAGGTTTTCCAAAACAAAGGAAGAAATTCAGAGAAAAAATGCCGTACGAGATCCAGATTTTTGTTGTACTTTGGCCGATCTTTTCTGTTGGACATATTTTTGAAAGATACCCTCGTTTATGAACTCGATTTTACTCTTTGCGTATGTGGCCTCGACGCCGTTCTGGAATTTTGTATCAATAAGCGAGCATTTGGCAATGGGTGTTTCGGACACAAGTTCACAGAACGAGACATGATAAGAAACATTGAACACTTTGTTGGATATAGGGAGTTGGTTACTCCGTGCTTCGATTTCGTTGTCGTATATAGACAATGAGAGTCACGTGACTGAATTTTTGTCATCACCAACAATTTTTCGACTCTCGGTTTCTTTAGTTTCAAAGTGCGTCGCATATCAGTGACCACGACTACCACTGTACATTTACGGATTGACGACCTCTATGTTTTTGTTTTTGTTTTCATTTCTCGCTCGGTTATGAAGGATCCAAGAACTCAGTGATACCCATTTGGTTGCTTTGTGGGTGGTTCGGGGAATTAAAAAAATCTCTTCAGCGTACATCTTTGGTTCAGGCGGGATTTTGAAGAAGCCTTCGGATTTGATTGGGCACCCAGGGTTTCTTTCTTAGCTGATTTTCGAACATCTCAGAACTTCATCCTTTCAAAAGGAAGAGGTTACATTGTCCCGGAAACATCTCGAAGACATCAACGAGGCATCTGGAAGGATTGTCTACTGGTAGACGGCCCAGTTCTCCTGTTGTCACATCAATATCACTTCCGCACATTTCCAACCTTCACACGCATCAATTCCAGGTGATAGCTCCGAGGTCGAGGCTCGTCATCCAACTGCACAAGCTTGCCTAGTGCAACGACTGCACAGATACGGTCTGATATCACGGCGCCGTCATGGACTACTTGTTTCCCTACCCCAAGATGGGAGTCTCCTTTCTGGAGATACTGCACGACCGATTGACCCGCAAACTCCTCGGGTTCGGCGCGATTCATGCTGAAAAGACACCTTTCATGTCAGGCGTCACTTCTAGGCTCAAGTTCCTTCTCAACGATCCGACCACTCACATCTCGTTCATGAAGCTTGGGTATACTGTCCTCGAAGCATTTCTCCAAGCCAATGTCACGGGTCCTCCGCTGGACTTTAACGTGGAAGCCGTCATCTTCACCGAGTCCTACCGAGACGAAAACCTGACAAGTCTACGGGAAGAGCTCTCTCAGGATCTCGCCGTGGACGGCAACCGACCGTATCCCCTGACACCACACATCGAACTTTTCTGGCTGGCCAAGGTGATCCTGTCGAATCCGATCCTCGCCGAGGCAGGTTTCAACGGCCGAAGAGCTCGCACGAGGGTCAATTTCTGGCACCAGAAACTCCTGTCGGAAGAGTCTCCTACTCTCCGAGACGAAATCTACGCAGACACGGACGTTCTCGAGCAACAACTCGCCGCCAGACTTGCGAGTCAAGCGGCGTCCAGTGAAGAGCATTTTGTTCAGTTCCTGATCGAGCGGGCAGTAGCACGGACGTACTATGGAGATGACGCTCTAGCCAGAAAGGACCTCGCAAGAGCAGCCACGATACGAAGCTTTCAATTCGCGCTCACCGGCGCCATGGGAAAGAGGACCAAGTTTCAACAGCGAGAAACGAGTCAGCTTATCGTCCTGGCCAAGAGCAGAGATGTCGAACCACCAGAGGAGAACGGTATCAGGCGACCAGAAGGAGAAAAGAGAAGCTCTGTGGACCAGGGTCTGTCAAAATCCCAAAGCGTGAAATCACAGTCATCGGACGACAAAGCTTCGACGATGACTGCTTCAGCTGTATCTCTCCCCCATCAAGGATCATTACCTGATGTCTCTTCCTCCACCGTTACCAAACCCGCGGATGTTCCCCTGAACGACGACACCCTGCTCGAGAACATCTCCTTTGGTCCGTCACAACCAATATCACCAGAGACAATGACCCACGCCACTACTGACGAATCCTCCCTACCTCCAGCCCTAGCTTCTCTGGACCCATCCAAACCGACCCCCCTCCACCCACTCGACAGCATAATCCTGCTTGCCACGGCAAGTTCCATCACCAACACTTCTCCCAAAGACGGTCTCGTCCGTGAAGAGACGCTCCCTTACGCCACGCGCGTCTTGGACGGCGGCTCCTCGAATTGGCAGGTTTATACGCAGGCCCTCCTCGTCCGCAGTAGGATCGAAGGGTACCGTGCCCGCACGACCGAGAGAGGTCTGCTGCAATTACAAGCCCTCGTCGACCAGATCATTGCCGAAACTACCGCATCCGCGCCTCCTGGGACCACGAACGGCTCTACAGGAACTCCCACGGACACAACCGAGCCTACGACCAGTGCGACGACATTCTTCCCCAAACCTGCTTCGTCCGAGGCTGCCTCTGTTGCCGAGCGTCTCCAGTACATCTATCAACTCTCTCCTCCCTTGCGATGGGAACTCGAAGCCGAGTTGGCTGCCCGGTGGACACACATGGGCGGCCTGAAGACCGCACTGGAAATCTACAGACGTCTCCAGATGCACGCCGAGGTGGCTCTTTGTCTCGCGGCGACGAATCGTGAAGGCGAAGCGATTGAGTTGTTGAAGGACTTGCTGTTCGAAAAGCCCGAGGCTGACGTACCCGAAGAGGACAAGAAGGCCATGATGCTTCGCTCCCACACGCCCTCGGACGCTCCGAGACTCCTTTGTATTTTGGGAGACATCACATCCCACCCAGACTACTACAAGCTGTCGTGGACGGTGTCGGGGAACAGATACGCTCGGGCTCAACGATCTCTCGCGAGGTTTCTCGTCAAAAGGGGAGACTATGAAAGCGCCAAAGAGGCATATACTTTGGCTCTGGGACTCAACCGACTGGATCGTGCAAGTTGGTTCAGTTTAGGGTGTGTCCAACTCGAGTTGCACGATTACGAGGGGGCAATCGAGAGCTTCACACGATGCGTCCAGCTAGAAGATGATGATGCGGAGAGCTGGTCGAATCTAGGATTGGCGTTGTTGAAACTTCCCGTCGAACAACGACAGAAGCAGCAGCAGACTGACGTAACTGAGACGCGAGAAGTTGCCGATGATGAGGAAGAAGAAGAAGAAGGACACGCCCAGACAGACGGCGGCGATAACAACAACAATGCCACCACCAACAAAGTCGACCCGTACATACACGTCCGCGAAGCACTGCTGGCTCTTCGCCGGGCCGCGACACTCAAACGAGACGACCCCAAGATCTGGGACAATTACCTGACGGTGGCGGCCAAGATCCCACCCAGCGCGGGGACGCCTTGGGCCGAAATCATTCAAGCCATGGGTCGTGTTGTCGATCTGAGAAGTAAAAAGGAAGGTGAAAGCGCCATAGACTCCAAGATTTTGAGGGTTTTGACAGAATTTGTCACCAAAACTTTTACTCATCCTTCTCAAGTATCAACCACGGTTACCACACATACAGACGATAATGACGAAAACAGTTCCGTGACCCCGGGGAATGTTTTTGACTCAAAGGAGGATGAATCTGAACCTGGACCTGGACCCCAAGGCGAGGAGGAGGACAAGAACACGAAATTACCATACCTAGCCCGTTCCTTTTTGGGTTTGGTCGACACACACGTCGCGCCATTGGTCACCTCTTCTCCCGTCTTGTACGAGGTTTTGTGTGATGTTTCTGGCTGGAGAGGTCGACCTGCTCAAGCTTTGGGTTATGCCGAAAAGTCGTGGAGAACATTCCTGACTAGTGTGTCGCTTGACGAACAATTCGACGACGTCTCCGAACCTGCTTGGAATGCGGTGGTTGACAAGACGGTTTGGTTGGTCGGAAAATACAAAACTTTGGGACCCCTCGAGCGAGAAAGGACGGGAGGACAAGTCGAGCCCAAGTGGAAATTCAAGGCTCGGAGTGCGGTAAGGAAGGTCCTAGGAAGAGCAAAGGCTCGAGAAGGTAGTCCGGGTTGGGATAGGTTGAGTGAGGTTTCCGTGCTGGAATAGACCGCTCCGAGTTGAGTCGAGTGAGGTGACTCCAGGTACAAGAGTGATGACTTGGCAGGAGTACAGGAGAACTTGGACCTGGAAACTTTTCGACGATATCCATTCATTCATTCTCGAATCATGTACTACAAAATCAATCAAATCAATTAATTAATTAACCGATCACTTCAATCGAGTTGTCCCGAGTACATGATTCGTAATGGTCCTCGAAGTACTGATTGATTGACTGACTCGCCATCATTCATAATACCCCTTCCCCAAGTCAGGATGCCTGTACTTTCCTCTTTACCCAACCACAGAAACTCTCAAACAACACTGAATCAGAACCTTGCAAGTGTCGGATGTGAAGATTTGTACTTGTAATCTTCTTCGTAGGTGAATGATGTTCAGGTGACGACGACGACGATGATGTGGTAGATAGACAAATCCTCACAACCAGTGCCGGTTCAGGTGTTTCATCTTCGTCTTCGTCATCATCATTCGAGTCGTCTTCGACGTCGGAGGCGCCATCTGCCGGAGTCGTGGTACATACATCTTTCATCTCTTGATCTTGATTCTCGTCCATTCGGTCGTGTAATTTCTTCCGTCTTGCTTTCCTACTCCAAACGTCACCTTCCTTACTCATCAACATTCCTACCTTTCTCGCAGGGTTATACTTCCACATGACACCTCCATCTTGCCGCAGTCTCGAAATCTCGGTGTTGATCCTGGTCTCGACGTCGACCGGATCGTGACTGGGCAAATCGACTTGCACTTCGGTCGGTGGAGGCAAATACTTTTTTTCCACACCACCAACACCACCACCACTCCCAAAACCTCCTCTGGCGACTGAATTGCTAGGTCTCAAACCTGACCAACTCCAAGCCACGCACCATCTCCTGGTTTTCTGACCCTGAACGAATTCCGCAACTGCGTGATTGGTACAACTTCTGGAACGCAGGTGGTCGACGACACTCCCGACGCTTGACAATTTACCCAACATGGCACTCGACCATTGAATACGTGATCGGCTTTTGGGGTCGCCAGATTCGTCGATCAATTTCGTGACAAACGCGACTTCACCACCTGGAGTGATCATCTCCACCGGACTACCCGTACAACTCGAATTCGCCGGTCGAGATTTCAAGCGTGAAGATTCCACCATCGAACCTTCAGACTCATAAAATGGTGGGTTGGTCATTAGAATGTCGATACTGTAAAAGTCAATGAACCACAATACCACCTCAATAATATCAGTCTGGCTTAGTTGGGTTGGGGGGATCCAAAAAAGGACTTACCGATCAAATCTTTCGAGTTCATCGGTTGGTATCAATTTTCGACCGGTCTTGTCCGTATCGATTTGTCTGATACGAGATTGTAGTTTGTTTGCGGCAATGTTTTTCCGCGCAAATTTCTGGTTCTTGTCATCAATCTCGGTGCACAAAAACAACCATTTCGACCTTTGTCGACATGCCAAAAGTGGATATATCGCTGATGATCCTGTGCCTCTGATAGGGATCCCAAAAGAACGTTAGTCGGGATGAATTTCAGAAAACGGTCATCACAGATTCTGGTCTCGCTCGGGAGACGATATGTCAACATACATGTCAAGTCCTATGACTTGTCGATCCGGGTCGAATCCTTGATGAAAGTTTGGGGCGGTGGTGTCTAACAGACGTTGGATGAAAAGAATGTAGTTGAATCTGTTGAGGAGGCCATACACATATCAGCATCAGAAACATCTTCAGCGTCGTACGTGACACCGAAGAATTCAATTTATTACCGGTTCGGAACCTATAATTTTTGGGATCTTGTCAGAGGCAAAGTACAGAGTATAAACCAACGAGACTCCTTCTCCTCCTCCGGATGAACCAACAATTACCAAGTATCACTTACAGGGGGACAGAGTCTGTCTTCGGGCAAATCGATGACGAGGTCAAAGTCGCGATGTAGAAGAGCCTTTGTGAGTTGTCTGCAACGACAACGACCAATGCATCAGCCTTTTGGTGCACTCAAAGTGTTGTGTTGTGAGTGGAGCGGTATACGTATGCAAGTGTTTGTCTTCTTTCTTACCTAACACTTTCAGGGTCCGAAAAGTCCAGTTGACGATTCAACTTTAGTCTGTTATAAACTCAAGAGCACATGGTGTCAGTCTCTGCCTTGTCCTCTTCCGTCCCATGGAAAAGGGGGAGGGGGAACTTTGATGTATGTACTTTTTTGCAAAGTCGGGATATTGTAGTGCCAAAGAGGTAAAATCGACATCACGACTGTAAATGTCGTCCGGAGCAGGCATCGTGAGAGAAGAGATTCATTGATGGTCGAAGCCAGGTATCACCTTATCGTCGACACTGATTTGTCTCGGAACGTTGATCTTTCTGTAACCGTTGAGTAGTCATGGAGAAGGTCAGGTTGATATTGGTTAGAAGGACGATTGATTTGTACGTACTCCGTACAAGACTGAGCGAATGAAATATTTCAAATGACATCGTTCAACGGAAGCGGACAATATTATTCCCGAGTCAAACATCATCGGTATGGTACGTATTACTCCTCGTATATACTCTCGTACTCAAAATATCCTTGGTACGGAGTATCTGTGTATACACAACAAGAAAAGACACAAAGTGTAAACATGCTTAATACTTATACTTGTATCTAAAAGTCGAGCGAGGGCATATTTTGTCCAACGATGTGCATGCACCAGACATACACCTTTGTCAAAACAGGTGCCAAAGGGGGTATATAGGCACTCCAACCAACCTATCAAATCCCAACAGCGATGCCACCACTCCAACGCCGGTAATGTTACCAAGAGACTCATAACTCATCAAGGAAAACTTCTCTCTCTCTTCTGAAAACTTTCAGGCATCCAGCAGCTGTACATATACGAGGAGACACACAAACCAATTTACGCGAAACAGTGAGACGACCCTCACCTGCCCTTCTTTTCTGCTTCTGACCTGCAGGACTTAATTCTTCAACACAGCTTCATACAGACTAACGGCAGCTCCCAGACCAGAGCTGATCAAAATGGCACAGTATCCACCTAGAATACTCTCGTTAACTGTAGCCACCGTGAAATGCTGGTACAGACCAGCCAAGTTGAAATGCTGTGCGTAAACCACGTAGGCAATCAACCCCTTGGCGAGGTTGAAGATGAAGGGGTCAAATTGCATCTGCGTATTGTGCTGCAGAGCTGCTCGACGGGTCGAGTAAGAGTGGCTCGGGTGGGCCTTGAGTGGCAGATTGATAAAGTACGAGATCAAGCCTGGGAGGATGAACGACGTCAAAGTCCACAGGGTGAATGGTGACCAGAATTTGGAGTCTAGAAGCTGGAAAAGATCGGGCACGTTGATCGGCGTCTTTGTCGATTTGATATAGGGCACAGCCGGAACTTCCGTCAACAACTTGTTGGGAAGAATCTGGGCGCGAAGTCCGTATGCTTCAAGCAAGATGGCAAGAACGGTCACAGTCAGAGGTGACGAAAGGTAGTCGCGTGTCCAGTCGGCTGCTTCGTGGATCTGTGTCTTCTGATACGCGTGAGAGATGGACGTGCGAAGACGACGCGTCTGTTGATCAATCGCATCTGTGACCACAGCTGGGGATGGTGGGATAGGGAGTTGCCCTGTTAAGATGGAAGAACGACGTGCGATCTCTTTGGCCGGTTGCCTCACGAGGGCTTTGACTGGCGAATCGGTGTCGGTTCTGCACATCATTTAGCTTTGGTCGCGTTTGCGCGAGTATTGTGTCTTCTTACGTATCCTCGGTCGGAGCGACAGTTTTGCGCCTGGATTTTTTGGGAGGCGCGCTGGTCTCTTCATCAGACTTGACCATGTCTGATACCTTTTCCGCAAGTCTCTTGACCGGCGATCGCGAAGAACTACCCAGGCGCTTGTAATACTCGCTCAACGACGGCTCCTTGCTGTATGTGGTCGAGTTTGCGCGCAGATGCTCATCGAGGGCGACTTCGAGTTCGGCTTTCTTGAGACTGGCATAGCTGTGATCGCATAAACGTCAGCAATGATACGCCATGTCATGCGACAGGAAAAAGACGCGTTGAACGGATGCATGTGCGGGTTTTGCTTACTCTTGCAATTTGCTCGTCTCCGCGAACTCGGTCAGATCGCTTTTGCGCAGTTTCTGCAGATAAGGTAGGGCCGACATGATTGCCTGGATTGCAAAGATGCAAGGTACGCCGACGCGACAAAATTGATGTTTGTGGTTTGTTGTTGTTGATGAGGAGATGATGATGAACCAGAGAATACGTGGAATGCGGCAGCGGGAGGATGTGGAGAGAAACAACAAACGTGACGAGGGGGAGGCTGGGATGGTGAAATGGAAATCCAAGTGGCTGGGGGGATCGCGCGGAATGGGCGTTCGGTGTTGATCGTGGGATGCTTGATTCGCCCCGTTGCCCTGCTGGCTGTGCCCTTTGAGGAGCTCCACGGTCCGAGCTGGAGGGAAAAGGTAAACAAGTCGAGGCCCGAGGTGGCCTTAGCTCGTCACCACAGCTACTTCGAGGCGTAGCTTGGACAATGTACCTGGTGGTGGAGGCAATGATTGGTCGTCCACTGTCGAAGGTGGTATTTGTACTGATCTCTCGTTCGAATCGAGGTGATCTGATGGGTATTGTGTAAATTGGACGGCCAGACAATATATTGATCGCAGATTCTGCGTGTTCTTAGCGAGTACTGGTACTGTATGATGTGGTGGTGAGTGAGTTGTGCCCCCAAGTCGATGTACCGAGTAGGCTGCGATTTGCCTTCCACTCCCTCAATGCTCGACCGGACAAACTACGGAGCAGTGTTATGCCATGATGACGTATCTCAGGCTTCCTCAATCTCCATCAACACCATCAACAAGTCTATCTTGATGTGCTAAATGTTGTCGACAGGCCTTGAACTATGAGTGACTTTTCTCTAGATATCCCACCCGACCATACTCGTACGAGCAGTCAGCAAGATTAGCTAGAAGCCCATGCTTTGCCCACTGGTTTATTTTGTCGGATACGAGCCTCGTCCTCCACTGTGACGCAGTTCGTTGGAGACACAGATCGGATTACACAGCACAGCCATCTCATAATATCACTCACTCACTCACTCGTTGATGCTCATAGTATTCCCCTGACTTCTACCAGTACCAGCATCATCTCACTGTTTCAACTCTATGCCAGGCACAATTACGTCCTTCCCGTCACTTGCACAGCCTTAGTATCCTTTCCTTTTTTTGCCTCCACTGTGAAGAATCTCCTCCCTTCCTCAGGTATTCAAAGCCTTGCGCCCTGCTGTGGCCTGATTCAACACCACTCAATTTTCGCAACATCATTGTAATTCTTCATCGTTTTTTTAATTGCTGTATGGCTCCTCCAGACCTCAACTCCCTCCCACCATCGAGATCCATGTCCTCCTCGCCCCTGCAGCCACGAGCCATGACCACCACCACCTCCCCGCCAAACCGCAACGACACACCCTCTCCTCGAGCCTCGTCGATATCTCTCGCGACTGCTGCCATCACAAACGCCGCCAATGAATCCTCCAGACGCTCCTCTCTGAGTGCCCGCGGCTCTCCCCGTTTGGGCCGCATGCCTTCGGACCGCCGCCGCTCTCAAGCAGCCATGAACTTCAGCCTGAACCTCAACGACCCCGCGCTGCCCAGTCCAGGCGAACTCTCGAGCAGCGACCCTCGTCTCAGCTTCAATCACAGCTACGCCTCTGCGAGCCCTCCCACGATCGGTGGCCGCTCTGCCATCGCCACCGGCGATCCTCACCACCAGCGTCAACCCAGCCTGGGTGAGATTCACAACGAACTCGAACAAGAGCAGGAGGCCCAGGTGAACCGTATGCTCCAGATGATCCGCGAGCAACAACTACAACTCGACGCACTACGCAACAACAGCCAGCACACCACCGAACCGTCACAGTCGTCGGCGCAATCTGGGTCCACCGGACTCGCCGTCCTCGACGATGACCAAACACCGGCCTCGGAACGCTCGATATCGTTCCCGTCCGTCCACCCGGCCGTGCCACCACAGCAGCAACCACCGCCACCCACACGACGCTTCTCCCGCGACCCTTCCAGCGCAAGCCGCTCGCCCGCGCTCCGCCCCCTCCCCAGCCAAGAAGCCAGCGCCGACTGGCCCTCGTCGCCCGTCGAGGGTGGGAGGAGGGGCAGCTTCCGCGATGAGAGCGCCTTCTACCAAGCCGAGACGGCCATGTTGACCCGAGAAAATCAACTCCTCAGACAACGCATACGGGAACTGGAGAAGCAGATTGCAGAGATGGAGATCTTGCCGCCCAACGCCCCCGCCACGCCGAGTAACCTGGCCACGAGTCCGCCTATCGAAGCAGAAGAGGAAGCCGCGTCCGTGGCGGCGGCCGTCGCGAGAATCACTGCAGAGCAAGACAAGACGTGAAACAAGCCTGGGCCACAGGAAATTCCTTGGTCGAGAAATGCATGATGACTCGCAAGATGGGGGATGGACACTTGAGGTATCAAAGGCAGAAAAACAGAATGACTCAGACAAACATGAGTTGTATAAAACTCTACCCGCCTTGGGCATTGTTGTCAGGACCTGAGCTCTTGATCGATATGAGTGAGCTCAATCTTACACGGTCTTGAAATTCGGTTCCGCCCTTCCTCCTGCGCGACACGCAGTGGTGGCTACGAGGCGATTATGACGGAAAATGCCCTTTGCAGTATCATTACTATTCTCTACTCCTTTCAAAGGCTACACGAGCTTATGACGGGGATTCTTGTCTCGGTACGGAGCCGACGATCAATGGAAATCCACTTGTATCGAGTAATTGGTATTGGTAGAGGGATCAAAACAAATACAACCATACGTGTGTATGCTCTCTATATCTCTAAAATCCATGCTGGTCGATCATGTCGCGTCCAGAATCGTATCAATATATGCTCGTCATACGCCACATGCGTGTCGATCCAAAATCTAAGCCTCCACCAAAATTGTTCCTGTTACAACAAGTATATGAACTGTCCATGTTCAAAACACCACCCTCCTTTTCCTGACACGCACCCGAACAGATATAAATTAACTAGTTTTCAGGCCGTTCTCTCGTGATGCTCGGCATGTTCCTTGGTGTCACGCACCCGGTGGACCTGGTACTCGTGCCATATGCTCCACAGGCAGCAGCCCACGCCCAAGATCGCCGCCACGAACGTCACCCAGTACGCCGAACTGTAACACACTCGGCCCTGGAGGCACTCCATGTCGCCGGCCTCGTTTCTGATCGAGTGACCGTCGTATATCCGGCCGTACAACAAGTTGAATATGTTGCCCGATATCACGGGTGCCAAAGTCATCGTCCCCCAGTTCTGACTCAAGCCGTGAACGCCGAAGCAGTGCGCCACAAGGCTGGGGAAGACTCCAAACAGCATGCCGTACGCGAAGCCCGTCAACCCGGATAAAAGAACTAATAAATGTGGTGTCGAAATCGCAGTGCCGGCGATCTGCGCGACGCAGAATATCACCCCGGAGGCAAAGAGGCACCAGAAGCGCGAGCGGTTGAGCTTGGACACAAGAAAGTCCGAGCCGATGCCACTGGTCAGGCGCCCTGCGAAGCTACAGAACGAAAGGATCGAGACGTGCATGGCCTGGCGCTTCTCAATGAATTCTGGTGTCGTCGATGGATCGTAGTGCTTCCAGAGTGCCTGTGCATCGTTGCCGATGTTGCTGCACAAGTAAGTGGTCAGTCAGGCTCAGAAGGGAAGGGGATAGGGGACAGAAAATATTCACTTTATCGTCATAAGGCCAATGCCCGTCAACAGACCAAGCATGGAAAACAGTTGCCAAAATTCAGGCAGAGGCAGCAGTGCGAAACCCCGGATGTCTAAATGAGGGGATTCCCGGTTCCTGTCAGATCCTAGGTGCTTGGAACCTTCTAAATCATCCACATCGGAACTGGAAAGGAGGGACGAATGTTCGTCCCCGGATTCAGGGGTTGTATCGGGCTGTTGAGGTACTGTTCTGCTCGAGGAAGGGGCTTTCTTTGTGGGTTGGGGCGCACCTGGTTCTTCAGTAGGGGGAAAATCATGGCTTCCGGACGATCGGGTTCTATGCATGACTTGACGGTCTTGCTGGGGAATATGGTGGTACGAGTGTTGAGGAATAATGCGAAGGAACGGAAATGCAAGCAACGGCAGCAGAACCGTTCCTGTAGCCAGGAGGATGAGAAAATTGTCGGTCCCGGCTGGAATTAGCAGTGCAATTGCTGCGAAGAACATCGCGCTCAACCCAAAAGCCGCCAATGGAAAGGCAGTTGCTGTACCTCGAGACTCGGGGAAGTTCAGGGCGGCTATTGCAAGTCAACAACATGTTGACTGGTCTGGGCCATCATACTCACCAGCTTTAATAGATGCTGTAAACGCAGTACAGCTGCCGGCGCCGGTGAAAAAGGAGAAGAGACATATCAAGCCCACGCTGTATGCCCCTGGCCCAGCATTATATGCTATGTCCTGTCGTCAACCCTGCACATCACCAATCGGGCATGTCCGGTCATACCTCGAGCAATTGGATAGTATCCGGCAGCAAAAAGAATGATTCCCAGGACAACACCCCATCGGGGACCTTTTGCGTCTACCATGATACCCGAGGGAATACCAAAGGCGTACATGCCCAGGTTGCCAATAGTGCCCTATGAGATATCAGCCCAGACCCATCTCTTTTGGTGCATCTCGGTTCGTACAATGAGGTTACTATCGGTGGCAGACAATTTGAGGCGAGCGGCGAAACTTGGACCCCATATTGAGTATCCATACTGTACATATTGTCAGCTATTGGCATATCCTGTAGTTTTGGTGTCAAACATACGTTTGTGCCGCACGCGAGGGAAATTGTCGTACATGCGGCCACGGAAATGATCCGGGCTCTCTTCTGAGGGTCGGAAGATAGAAGCATGGTGTAGTCGCCGTTTATAGATGCGCCTCGAGGATCAACTCATCATGCAGAAAGACAAGAGTCACCCCTGAGGTTCTGGCAGAGGTGGGAGAGTTGGCAAGATAACGGTTGAACAAATGCTGCTGTCAAACGCCCTGGGCAATCTACTCGCACTTGTCGTCGGAGTGAGTCCCGAGTTGTCGGCCAAAGTGTTTCCACTAACCAACGACCAGCCACTGAGGGACGGGCTAACACTCGGCATACCTTCCCTCAAACACTAGCGCCATCTATCGTCATCGCCGTTTAGCCGAGTTCCTACTCAGCCCTCCGCTGCTTCCATTCATCAATTGTCGTCGCCTGCGCTTTTCTCTTCCACGTCGACGACAAAGACATCCAAATCAGTTGAACAGCACATTGTAAAGCAAGCATAGATTGGCCTGGCGCCGACATCCAATTCAACAGGCGCTCTCGAAATTACCTTTAACTCATCGTCGAAATTCTAGGAGAAATCCATCCTCTCAAGCACCATGGGAGGCGTCCTTGCGATTCCAGCCCTTCTACTGCCCTCTGCAGCGACACTATGGTCAGTCGGGGCTTCATGCTGCGGTGCGGCATCCTGTTCGATGCTCTGTGGACCATGCGGCATGTCTAAGTTCCGGTCATCCATTGCTACGAGAATCGCCTACGCCATGATCCTCCTAGTTAACAGCATATTAGCCTGGATAATGCTCACTCCTTGGGCTATACGAAAACTCGAGCACCTCACGCTGGATTACATGAATTTCAAATGTGGCTCGTCCGATTGTTATGGTTATTTTGCAGTCCAGCGCATCAACTTTGCCCTTGCCTTATTTCACCTTATCCTCTCGGTCCTTCTTATTGGCGTCCGAAGCACAAAGGATACAAGAGCAGGTTTACAAAATGGGTTCTGGGGTCCAAAGATACTGGTATGGCTGGCCTTTGTCGTCATCTCCTTCTTGATACCAGAAGGGTTTTTCCTCTTCTGGGGAAATTATGTCGCCTATCTCGGAGCCATGCTTTTCGTCTTATTGGGTCTGATTCTTTTGGTTGATCTCGCGCACACTTGGGCCGAACTCTGCCAGGACAAGATTGATGAAGGAGACGGTCCAAATTACAGACTGTGGCAAGTCTTGCTTATGGGGTCAAGCTTGGGCATGTACATTGCAGCCATCGCCATGACAATTGTCATGTACATCTTCTTCGCCAGCAGTGGCTGCAGCATGAACATCACCGCCATTACTATCAACCTGGTCATGATCATTGTCATCACGATTCTCAGCGTCCAGCCGGCCATTCAAGATGCTAATCCCAAGGCAGGATTGGCTCAATCTGCCATGGTTGCAGCTTATTGCACCTATCTCACCTTCTCGGCCGTCTGCATGGAACCGGATGACAAGCATTGCAATCCACTCGTCAGAGCTCGAGGTGCTCGGACTACTACTGTCGTCCTGGGAGCCATCGTTACTATGCTCACTATTGCCTACACCACCACTAGGGCGGCCACACAAGGGTTTGCCATGGGCACAAACGCTGGCCAGAACAAATATGCTCAACTCAGTCAGGATGAAAACGAGCATGGTCTAGTTACTCAACAACCCGCATCTCGTCGCGAAATCATGAGGGCAGCAGTGGAGAGCGGAGCACTTCCTGCCTCAGCTTTGGACGAAGATTCTGATGACGAAGACGACAATACTGTAAGCTCCAAGGACGATGAACGTCAAGGCACTCAATACAACTACAGTCTTTTCCATGTCATTTTCCTCATGGCAACATGCTGGGTGGCGACGCTCTTGACCCAGAAAATGGACCCGGAGAATTCGAGCGACTTTACTCCTGTTGGACGTACGTACTGGGCAAGCTGGATCAAGATTATCAGTGCCTGGGTATGTTATGCCATCTACAGTTGGACGCTCGTTGCGCCTATTGTGCTCGAGGGAAGGGAGTTTTCATGATCATACCATTGCGTGGAGAAATGGGGTTATTGGTTAGCGACTGCAAAGGGTTTTTTTTCGAGGGAACAGTTGATGTAGCCAATGCGGACGTTGAGCTGTATTGGTTTGTTAGTTTTTTTTGGAGGCATTGTTCATACATATGATAATGATACCTCTTATAGGAACTACGGTTCGTCAATGACATTATGAGGCTCATCCTTTTTTTTCTTGTCCATTTAGTTCTGTGGCGTAGGTCGAACATCGTGGGCTATGGTCTACACTTCTTGAGGCTTTGGATTGGTATTACTCGCAAGGTCTTATCTTTTCGAAGGTGTTCTGGGAGCCGACATGTCATTTATCGCGAGTAGGGAGTAAGACAGTGTACTTTTTGAAAACATACAAGGCCTCGGTTAATACTACGTAGGTAGGGAAGAATTGTTTTTGTTTTTCTTCACTTCCAGAAGAAAATCGGTTTCTTTTAGTCGACCTCGGAAAAAAAAACCAAAAAAAGGAGAGGAAATGAGGTGACATGTTTTTATCTTCCTGGGCAAGGGGGGGCTGAAGAAGGGGGTTTGTTATTGCGGACCTGGGGGGGATTTGAACCCAGGTCCTTTTTTGCTCGCTTTGCATTTGCATAAGAGAGTTGGCCGACCACCACATCGAGGATATGTGGCCTTGACCCTGAGCCATGACTGTCAGATGTTGGCCTTGTTGATTGTTGTGTACAAATTCACTGATCAAAGTCATAAACACTGAGGAGGTGGGTGGGTGGGTCCTATTGCTGATCAACTATTCACTCCGTATTGTGACACCAAAAAAGTACAACTGAAAGCACGACGCAAGTACATGCGTAAGTTCCTCGAAAGGGTCATGTCCGTGTTACTTTGGTCATGACAATCTCACTCCTTCCAAGATTGCTGTCGAGACCGTGCGTGAGAGCCAGCTGGGTACGAGTTCACTTTGTCACACCAATCCATTCCTTCATGCCGTTGAGAATGTACAGTCTCGACTCGGTCAAGGCGGTCGAGTCGGTGGCGGCGGGCATCCTGGTGACCTCGCCGTGGCCCGACTGGCCGACCCACATGATGCGAGAATGGTTGCGGCCCCGGCCGGGGAGCCACGACGCCGGGCCCAGTGCGGTCGTCGGGTCGATCAGACCTTCGGTGACCAAAAGTCCAGAAGTGTCGACGAGCGTGTCCTGGTCGAGCTTGAGGGACTTTTGAAACGCAACGCCCCCGGTGACGGAGGACACGTTGAAGGCCTGACGGCATTCCCAGTCCCGGGCCGCCGCAGACGACTCGTTCCACGCCTTGGACGTGACGTGGCCCCAGAGAGACTCCGGACGGGAATACGCCCCCGGGTAAGGCAGGTAAGTGCAGCGGATGTAGTTGAAGGGGCCCTGAAGCCGCTTGGTCGAGCTCCAATCGACGCAGGTGGTGTAGGAGATGTTGGTGTAGACGCCCATGGCAGCCCCGACGGCCGCGAACGGGTCGGGTGCCGCGAGGGTGGCGTTGACGGTCCGTTGCAAGGGGTACTGAAAGACGGCAAAGTTGTACTGCAGGTTGTTGACGTAACCCCCCAACACGGCCTGGAGGAGATTTGTCTCGTCGTCGGGCGTCTTTGGAGGTTCGCAGAGCCGGAGACCCGTCTGGAGGCCGCTGTAGTTCTTGGCCGCAAAATGCTCGCGGACCTGCACCATGCCCTGGCGGATGATGTTGGCGGCCTCGGCGGAATAGTCGTTGATGACCATGTTGGTCCAGTCGCCGAAGCCGTAGATCATGGGGTCATTGGGGTCCGACACCAAACCTTTTGACACGGGGGACAAGGCGATGGTCGCGTAGATGTAGTCGGAATAGTGTGTCCGATAGAGGAGGGCGAGTGTACCTGCGTATGAGCCTGTTGAGAAGACGGAAAAAGACCAAAGTTAGCGGCTTCAATGATACACCTGAGGTACATTGGGTTCGTTCGAGACGGTGATGAGAGATGAACGCAAGGATTAGAGACCGAGAGAGAGGGAGGATGAGGCTTCCAAGGAGTGTCGTATCGTGTGTGTACTTACCACCTAATAGAATGACCTTGGAGTCTTTGGCTGAAGGATAGGCCTTTGTCTTGATGTAGGTGATTAAAGAGACACTGTCGCGAAGGACGTTGTCCGGTGTTAACGGCTTCATGAGGGCAGTATCCCAGGTCGCGAACTCGGAATAGTTGAGGCCGTAAGGTGTACTGATACCAAAGTACCGGTGTTCATTGGTGACGACGAGTGCATTGATCTCCTTGGCCCAGTTCATGAGGTTCATGAATTCGACGCAGGTGATGGCCGCGTTCTCTGCGCCTTGATAGTAGAGAATCGGTCCACCTTGTAGGTAAAAGGTGTCATTGACTTCATACTGCATGTGAAAGGTCTGCTTCGGGTCCGTCCAATTGTTGTTGAAGGTGGCATAGTCGATGGGTAGTGGTAGGAACTTGGTACCTGCCGGACATTTCGATGGGTTGCCCGTGTCGATGTTTTCGGCACGCTGAATGGCGGACGCCGGTGCGACGACAGGTGGACCTGTTTTGAGAGTGTATGATGCAGATAGAGAAACGAAGGGAAGGAGAGTTGTGAGGATGCTCGCAAAGGAAAACATGATGCCTATGACCATGAACGAAACGTTATGCTGAAAAGGGAAGGAAAGAGTGATTGATCCAGAGAGCCGGGTATTCCAGGTCCGATTTTGTTTCGTCTGAGAGAAGATGTAGATGGCTTTTCAAAGTAGGAGAGAGACCAGACCATACTTATACCTTTGTGGAACAGCCTCATCAGCTGAGGGTTGAAGTTGATATTGGCAAAGTACTCAGCCCGGGGTGACATGTAGATCGTCATCTTGAACCTGCACACTTCCGCTGGTCGAGATTGGGCGTCCTGACACTTTTTGCAGAATTAACTGTTCTCTTGCATGAAATGCGAGGCCGTTGTTGGATTAGTCTGTATCACGCAGGAATAAAATCACAAAGGATGGGTAGGAAGATGAACATGGACAAGGCTGTGATATTGGATGGAAAGGGGCCGATGGAGGAATGACATAATTCAAGTGATACCAAGTCAATAACTTGCAGCCACCGAGTATTGTTATTTTCCCGTTTCAAGGTCGAAACTGCGAGGGCCATTGTTATTGGCTGTGTGAGGTGGTATCATGGATGGTCGCTAATGCGGGACGCGATGTCGCAGTTTCAATGCTTCAAGATCTGCCCTGGGGGGCCTGACAATCGCTTCAGATGGGATACCATAATTGGACAATATGATCACAGCCCTACGATGTACTGAACATACTGTAGGCGGAGCAGAATTCAATATGGACCAAAGTATCTTTGTCGAGTTACCTTCAGCCTTAGAGCTCCTTGATTAAGATCCAGAAGACTTTCAGTTGAGCCCTGCTAGAATAAATTCCTTGTTTGGTCAGCCACAATCGTGTAACATCTATTTTGTGTACAGTTCGTTCTGCCTCCAAAGGTATGGTGAACACTAACAGGCGAACACACATACTTGTACGTCCTGAGATACATGCGAAGCCATTTAAATCTAAACCAAAAAGCAGTACGGAGCAATCCGGACACATGGCTGCTTTTAAGTGATCCACTACAGCATATGTCAGCAGTGAGGCCGACAACAAGGACAACACAACCTCACCACACGTGGAAAACAGTCACAATTCAACATCGCTCACTCAGATGAAGGTCTACGGGTAATAGGGTGGGCGCTATTCGTAACAAATTCAAAGACGCAAAAAGTAGCACTTTAAATAAAGATCGACTTCGAAGCTATGAGTTGCAGCGATACCCTTGCAAATGAAGCGTTATCACCTGCGTCACATTGTACCTAAGCGAGAGTCAGGCCCGCCATATGCATTCCAGCATAGTCCAGCTCTGGATTGAAGATGAAGCAGAGAAGGCGCCCTTGACCGTTTTTGTGCTCATACGGGATGGGAATATCATGTCCTCTCCTGAAGATACCTCCTACACCGCCCCCGAACCAGGTATGTATGCCTGAGGATGCCGGGAAAGGAGAGACATATATCCTCTCTCCCTCCACTATGAAACAATTCTCAAGGCTCGGGAATCGGTATCGAGATCAAACTGAATACATGAACGATCATCCACTTTTTCACCAACTTTGTTGAAAGGAGAAACAAAACAAGAGCCAGAACAGTATGACAAGGATCGGAAAATGCGACGTTTGTCGTCAAAGAAAAGTAAAGGTTAGTATAGATTTATTATGATTCGTGGCGAGCATGATATAGTCAACCCGGGATGAGTCTTATGTGCAGCGAGGCTGACCAACCCCCTCCTCTCCTCTCCTCCAGTGCGACGAGGTCAAACCCATGTGTGGTTCCTGCGTTAGAGTGCGTCGACCCTGTCGGTACACATATGGCAAATTCTCGCATTTTGTCTACCAATCCAACGGCGGCCTTGTACCGTCGCCGCCAGACCACCCAAACGGAGATTCGTCGTCGGAACGAACCACTCGGACAAACACCCCTGACGATATCATCAGCACGCCACTGGCCATTTTGTCCTTGAGGTCGAGCTATGCTGCCGAATCTGGGGATGGGCTTTTCCAGAAATTCGCTTCAAAGCCCACGGATAGGAAGAAAATGATGGCGATGACGAAAGGCAACGACCATTCTGAACAGCAGAACAAGAACCCTCCTCCTCGTCCTCCGCATATCCCACGACAGCCGATTTCCGATCAGATGAATTTGGTGTCGCGGTTTTTGACACTCACCACCCACGGTCACACCCGCCGATCCAATAGTCCATTGGACATGTTTGGGGACCTACAGAGGTGGATCCCCAAACTCATAGGCTCAAGTGAAGTGGTGGCCGCGACCACTCGTAGCCTGTTGGACAGCCTTATGACTTACACGCATCGAAACAGCACCACTCTCGCCATGAGTCGCAGATCAAACGGTTTGGCTTTGCAAGTCATACGTTGCGCCTTGCAAGATAGTCCTCACGCGACGCCACCGACCTCGGATATCCTT